TATATATATATATATAGAGGACGTATATAGTCCTCATTGAAAATATCATCAATCAGATGACTTCATTTCCTTTCTGGATTGGTCCTAGAGATATGTTTGCCATATGGCTGAACCAATATATAGTAGTATAACACAGCCCCATCGACGTTAGTTGCCTGTTTAAATATATAATGTGTATAGGAGTTAGATTTTGATCTAGAACATGTTTTCGGGTACAAGTTCTAATTATGTGAATGTTATGTCGCTTAGAATGGAAATTGCTACACACCTACTAATTTAGCTAGGTCTTAGAAAGTACTGGTTTTGCAGTAATTAGCTTTTGAATAAGGTCTTCGCAGTAGAAAAATCAAAAGGGATTTCGATGCACAATATTAATTACTTACGTACTAATGACATATGAGTTATTCTTTATACTACAGTGAACTGTGAGAATGATAGAAACGCTTGGAGGACTAAACTGAATTACGGTCATGAAGATATGCAGTAATTTACTAATGGTGCTCGAATTTCCCAATAAATGTCTTACCATTGATATGGTTCATCACAACAGTCATGAGTTTAAAATGTATAGTGTCAAACTAGAGTTAACAAACTAAATAATACTTTGTCTAATAAGTACAATCTCATGCTGCCTTCAGTGAATATTGTACACGACATGGTATGCCAATTTTCTTTATATCTCAATTGAAAATATTTGTACTTGAGCCATTGAAAATTAGCCGATATCCAAACTGTGCAAAAAATAGGTTAAAAATTAGATTGTTAAACTAGAGTTTTTACATTCGGTAAGTTCCATGCAGTTTTGCAACAATTGACCTATTTGTAAGTGTTATTTATCAGGCCAAAATGGTTGTCTCTCAAATCGTTTCCACCGTTTTGGGGTTTCTATTTATAGGTTCCGTCTGCGAACAATAGCATATATTCTAACGGAATGTTATCTCTAGACGAACTCTAAGATTATATCATAGATGGTAAACTTAGTGCCAATCTGTACCAAGACGTCGTCTTCTTATTATCCTACCCTAAAAAGGATGCTGAAATGGAATCGATCGGGTCAGAGCCATTTATTCGTACTCATTTACTCGAAATAAGCTTAGCTATGAAAGAAATATCCTTTTCACCTGACATAGCTAGATCAAAAATCATCTAGGTTCCTTATCGAAAAAACTCCATGGCTTTCCATAAGTAGGCGACCAATCCTGTAAGTAGGGAAACACTGTGGATTTGGATTCATTACGGGCGTCCTTGCTATAGCCAGCTAAGCTCATTTTACGTGAACTTCCACCCTAGTGCCGCGTGCGATTCTGATGGAATGACCTTGTTATTCAAGGCCAATGCGACGAGGGCATGGTTGTGGTCGGTCACGGTCATCGAGGCTGTAGTGACAGTGCAAGTCCTGACCAACTTCTACGTGCAAGTTTCACTTAAAGCGGATTATTATCGGTGCTATGAACTATCTACCGATATACAAATAATTGAATAATAACCCATGTTTAAGTATCATTAAATCATACTAATTTAATCCTACTCTATATTTTAATTTATTGTAGACATTATGCAGGTGTATAATAGATTGGTACGGCTATAATATAGTATATACGAACTCGGGAAATAATAAACAAAAAAAGCTCATTTTATTCACACAGGTTGTGTAATATGTGTGGTTGGGAAAGCAGCGAACCCTGATTTTTCAACCAGAGGTTTAACCGTCTAAAGAGGATAGTAATTTCAACTAACGCACATTAGGAGCATAATGATGAAATGGTAGGCAGTCGTGCACTACCAGGTTATCAGATATTCAGGTGGTTATTTGTGGGCAAATATAAACCTTTAGGCACCTATATTTATTAATATTCCGTTGTTTTCAATTAACTCAGGTAGTTATGTCAATCAGTAATGGTGAAAATGAGGATTATGGTAAGCATGGGTTTTCGCGAGACTGCTGGTTAGTCTGCAAACGTACACCGAATAAGGTAACGATCACTTACTTCTAGATATACTTGAAGCCGAAAGCATTCGAATTTTTTGTAAATCGAAAATTTATCTCGAACCATCAGGGGCTTGTTATGAATCGGGAGGAAGGTTAATCGATGTATGCCACTTTTGCCGACAACATCACCTTTACATGTCAATTTACAATGGACTGAAGGCTATCAGAGAGTATCATCAAAATGTGAAGACAATACTAAAGAGTAATTCGTTTCTGGTAAACAAGTAGGATTCTATTTAACGGCAAAGAACTAACAACTGCTTAGAGCATGATTTTAGTTACTATGAAATGAGCTGTAATACCCAAAATTGACGCCATTATAATTATTGCTTGGTTGACAAAAAAACTAACCCAAGCTGGCGGTTAAGCCGGAGTAGTTCGAACCTGCCAGGTAGGCTAATACGATATGCAACTGCCCCCTAGGAAGCTCAGGTTCGATTAATGGTTGGTATCGAAAGCATAGCGCAAAGGTAAGCTAATAGAAGTTGAAACAGCTAATCAATACACGTATCGACCCAGTGCAAGATATAGAAAAACGTGTGACTTTAATGGGCATAGTCAGAAAATCCTTGCAAAGGTACCCGTGGCAAATATTGAAGTGAGGCTCGGTGTTTATTTATTTTATTTATCGACCTCTTAATATTTCCGTTACATGCAAACCATTTTCCAATGTTATTTCTTGCCCCCCCCCCCCCATTAATATAGTGCTTGTGCTTACCCCCTGTCACTTGTATGACAATATGGGTCATGAATTAGTTTTGCATATGGTATTCATAAAGTTAAACTTAATTGTTACGTTACGTTGTAGCTTAAATAGGCTAAGACAAATATACTATGGGGGCAAGCAATTCCGGGCTGAATTACTTGCTTGAATGTCCTCCGGGCTCATCATATCTGGTATGTACTTCATGTTTTGGTATACCTTCAATTAAGACGTTTTCCAATTGAATTGCTTTGGTGTAAAGACTTATGTAACTAAACTAAAATAGGTGACGTTCATATCACTCAAACACAATTTAGCGCTTTTAAGGAAACCGCAGATGCAATTAGTTCTGCTTCCTTGTGGTAATTTGGACCTTAGCAGAGGGTCTTCCTTACAAGCCGATAAAACAAAGGCTAGGTTGATAGCGAGTTCCTGTTTGACACTACCAGTTCTCGCCATTCTGACCGGAGGCACCATTGATCGTACAATATATATCAGTTGCCTATAAACATGAGATGTCATCACAAAGCTTGCTGAGTCTCTCACTTGCGAAACACATAATATAAGCGTCCTTTGTTCGGTCAATGCGGTGCTCGATAGAAACGCGGTGACCCAAGCCTCGTGTTTTGTTGACCCTGCGATCACAGCAGCCTGTGCATACATATTCGGAAACCTACATGATTATCTCAATTAATCCAATTACAATTGATTTCGTAGATCCGATAGGTCTGTATACGTATCCTTTTTGTCTCCAAACCGAACAGAGATACTTAAAATATGTTGGAATTGCATTTTTTGTTTATAGTATGACGATCATATCATTCTATGCATAGCAAAAGGTTTATGAAATGTATCCGGTAGATTAGAATGTATTGCCTGAAGGAAATGCCTGAACGGAAGCTCTAATGTTTAACCAGTACAATTCAAACTTTAATCAATAATTTTTACGCAGTTTCCTATGGATAGGTTATCTAACTACTAGTAGAAAATATTCTCGCTCGATGTATTATATCGCATCATCAATACATGTATATATATATATATATACATATGTCTAGTTAGTAAGCCAGTGAATTTTTCGATTGACCGCAAAGATCGCGATTAATTGAAAAAGTCCATTGATATATTGACGGACGACATATTGTAGATAATGTGAATTCCGATCAGTCAGGATTCAAACACTGACCTTTGTTTCCCAAGTGAGAGATACGATTACGGATTTGAGTCCAAGGGTGTGCTGTCATTTGATTGTGATTGCTGATCTTTCTAATAGCCTAGTATCTGACGGTTATGATAGATTCGCAGATTATCATTGATGTGTTCGGAAACATGCGGGGCCTCATGTCGGAGACTATTAAAGGTGCAAATTTGCGTTATGGTACCGACACACTGTGGTTTTCTTTGTGACCGATTGTATCTATAATCAATTATTCCAATAAGATAAATTTTTCATCCATGACGGGTCACAGGAATTTCAAGTATGTACAGACGGAACGAATTTCGTGTGAAACAGGTCGAATACGGCGTTTGCTCAATTTGATCTAGTCCATCCAAGGATATGATTAGACGGCGTAGGTGATTAAGCTCCGAAATTTTAATTATATATTATGTTCGGCAGTTTAGTTTTTATATTAAAAACAATTCAAATACAAAATGTACGACTTTGCCTCGCACGGAATTTATAGGAAGTTATTACTGGTCAATATATTGCTGATTCACAAATATTTCATTTGTTGTTGTTGTGTCGCATTCTTGCTTAAATGCTTGCTAAAATTATATATATATTTGATATTTAGGATATATTCACACGACGAAGCCTATTGGCCTTAGGTGGAACCGGTAGGGTATTCTATGGGAACTTTTCGTCATCAGCTTATCGATTCTCATCTTTATTCTCATCGATATGTTCATACATCATGATACGGATAATACTAAAATGACCGGTAGCTTAGTACCTTTATTGTTTTTGAAAGATCATCTTTTTTTTCCTATTCTGCGTTACGTGTATGCCTTTTAGATTCCCGTGCATACGCTGGCATTCGCATTTTTTTAATACCTAATTGTCGCGTTTATTAAACGTCGTCCATCGGGTGAACAAACTTCACGATCATTCAGTCTGTTTAGCCTTGAGTCTATGTGTTCAGGCGTAAATAGGCGTACTCTAGAAGATAAGAAATGTTGAATTTAGCCAGTTATTGAACATTGTGCAATGGCCTTGGCATAAGTTAGTCTTACAGAGTTTAGGCTTGGACACTTAAGTTGTGAAGTTGACAAGAATCAATGGTTGTTCAATAAAATTGTTCCGACAGCGAGAGCTGGATAGTGTCATTAGCCTATTATGAATTCCACTACGATAAATAGATCGTTTTTCATAATTGTCATGTGTTTAGTGAACATGAGAAGAAATTGTTGCTTTCAAGAACCGAATATATCATAATACAGCGCTGTTCTCGTCCACACTGGCCCAAACTGGCCACACTGTCATAAGTCAGATAAGCAATATATAGGCCAGACGTCAAGGTCTTTTCTATTCTGTCACTTATTAACTATTGTGTTCATTGAAGTTATCGAATTAAGGACATTCACAGCCTGTGAAAATGTGGCGAGCCGTTATGGATGAGCGAATCTGCTATTTAGAAAATACGCATCCATAAACTAGAAGCAATCATATGGTGATGCTCGATTTCAGTAACTGTCCCCTTTACGATAGCTATATGAAGGGCGTCGTTAAAGAAGCATGTTCTGAATGTGAGTACGGATTTCTGTCGTATGTACTAGAGACATAGCTATTACAGTTCTTGTTACATATATCATAAAATCAAGTGACACATGTCCGACTTTAGAGAATCTATGTTGATAAGGAAAGCAGCTCGTATTTACGGATCTGTTTGTACGAGATTTGATTTTTATACGACCATTGTGAGTTAGGATTCACTCGACGCTTTGTGCATAGATCACAAGATTAATAAGTCAGTAAACAAAGCAAAAAGCTCTATTCATGCTACTGTTTTGTGGGCTGGTAATTTGTTGACAACCTAATCAGTTACGTGTTCGCTTACGAATAATCATCAGGAAGTGTTTTGGTGCTACAACGTCACGTCGAGTCCGTAAAAATCAAGTGACTATTTGGGTCGGATCGATCCCACCTTAACAACCGGTAGTGATCTCTGTTAACATGTTGTATACTGATATTCGAAAGCTAGTACGTCCGATATCGGCCTTCATGGTTTGATTGTTGTGTGTGTGAAGCTTGCTCCGCGCGATATACTGTTGAGTTCCGGTTGAGTATCTTTGCTCGTTAGAGTCACTCGTCACCGGGCGTCCACCAGAAACGTGTCGCTTCATGAGAGAAAGGCAAGCTAATTATTGGTGGTAGCAGCACTGTGGTCTCCACTTTACTGAGAATGTAGCGTTGTTGAATTGGTCAGGGTAACGAACGGGTCTGATTTACGCTCCTATATAATAATGCGCTATATTAAGTGAGGATATATTTAAAACTCGACAATGAGCAAGTACGATGATTTGATTTTACAACTCCTCGCGTGGGCCTGTACAGTATGTAGTGTGAATATAGTGTGGCGTATAACTCTGCGTATGGCCATATGTTTTCTTGCTTTTTTTCTTTAACCACCTCAACCTGTTTCCCGTTACTTGCTGAAGTATATGGTGAAATGGGCGGTGCCATTTACCTAATTTAGCCCTTTCATTAAATATCGTAACGAAACGCCCTCGCAATAGGCTCGCCTTTTGAAAGGAACTCGATAATAGATGGTCTTACATGCCTTGTTCTGCTTTTCATTGTGTTCTTTCCATCCTTTTAAATAAAAACTTATTTACTAGATTTTTCACGATGTTAATATATGTCTTATCAGTCTTCATCATATCACTACCTTTTTAAATGCATATCTATAATATATTAATATATTTAAGCTGCGAGCGAAAAATTGTTAGGTGTGGTATAGAAGGTTTTTGTTAAAGATACAACGTGTCTAAGCAGTTATTTGCATCTTCTCGTGTTTTACATCTAGCTTTTCTTTTTTCTTTAAATTTTTTACTTTTCTTTTATTGATTCTTTAATTATTGCTAAATTTCTTTGGCATTTCCACCTGATCTAAACTGCACGGTAAGTAAACTACTAACTGTTACTATTATCATATCATCGTAATTCTATAAAACTAAATATGCATGTTTATATAAAAAAAAAAAAAAAAAAGCTATTTTTAATTACCTTTATGTAGGTTCATCTACCGGCATAACCTAATTATACCAGATTTAAACATCGGGAATTTTCTGTCAGTAACTTACCCAGTGAAACGACCCTGCTACATACATACAATATCTAGGAGTTACCTAAACTAAGAAATAGTAGCCAAATGATGTATGCGATGGTCATTAATAGTACTTGACCCTTATTCTACATCTACATATATTCTACTTATTATTTTATTACAGCCACCCTATATCAGCCTGTCCTCCTATTTATTTCGTTATGGACCTAGAGTACGTTACCATCGCCAGGACCACAAGGAGGTAAGGAAGTTACTGTGAGCAGGCTAAGTGCCGCGGCAGCCGCGGCAGAGCGGGCGGAGTGATGCGATCTGGTCGGCCTCTACGTTCTCGACCACCAACGGCGACGCCCTATCATGCTTTATCTATGTCTGCCGGAGTCCTGTTGCCAGGTAACGGTACCGGCGTGTTCAGAAGGGGCGTAAACTTTCGCCTCCGCGTGCTTCTTGTTTTATGTGTGGCCATTGTTGCATGCGTTCTTCTGGCGAATGTTCTTTTCATTCGACGTGAACGAAGCGGTATTACTGGGTCGTTATTGTCGAAGTCTGAATCAGGTAAGAAGGGGCACTGGATTTTTTTAATCTGCTCTTTTTGTAGATATATTTACTGGGTTTTTCGTATTGCCCAATAATGCCTTATAGTGGTGTTTGCAAACTCAGCACACAAATGCTAAAACCCTTGCCCATATTCTTTATTATAGAATCTAAATCATCGCGAAAATTAGTTTTTTATTCCTATCGAGACAAAATACATGAAATGACGCTGGGCAGCGTCCTAGCGATCCAGCACTACTGATGTCGTGGACGTGATAATAATGGAGAGCCATTGCCATAATGAATTTACGGAAACACGTGTGGTTTTCTTTTGTTCTGGCTGCAGATACCCAAATGGAGGGCGCGTCTTATATTGAACGGGAGGAGGCAATGCTGGAACGAATTCGTCATGGAGGTCGGCGAGGACATCCGGCTGTAAATTTCCCGCATAAAATCGTACATTTAGATCTCAAGGGAGCTCCGTTAAATGTAGGTTAAAAGTCTAAAATTTAAGTCATCATTATTAAATGAAATCATGATGGCCAAACCTGCGTTCTCAAAATGGAAAAAATACAAATTTCTAATTTGTATTTTTTTATGTTATTATGTGTTATTGGGAATTTTTCAGTTAAATTAAACGTAAGTCTGCATTTAGTTAACAATAAGCTTCCCGTTAAGAAAAGAAGCATGAACCAGGTGTTTCGTGAATGGTTAGACAATTTCCAATGGACGTAACTTTTCTTCAATTATAGCTTTTTGTTTTATCGTACTGAAAATTAAATATGTTTTCACCCCATTCTATAGAAAACTGCTCAATTTCGCCATTCTTTTTCGACATATTTTTCATGTTAGGTAGCGTATGTGGAGGAAGTTTTGCCGCTGCTAGCAAAATTGGGCGCGACAGGCCTTCTTATAGAATACGAGGACATGTTTCCCTATAACGGGCTTCTAGCCGAGGTTGTAGCAGGCAATGCTTACTCGAAAGATGACATTCGGCGTATTCTTCAAGCAGCTAAAACCAACAACCTCATCGTCGTACCGTTAGTGCAAACTTTTGGACATCTCGAGTTCGTACTGAAGCTCCATGAATTCAAACACCTTCGTGAGGTACGCACTATGATGCTTGGGAGAGAAAAAAACATCATAATCTTATTACCAACACAGGTTAACTATTGTGATCGTGTGATTTATAATTAGAGTAATATTATACTTTTGCCCAGATGGTGAATATTATTGTGCAAAATGTCTAAGTTGATTTCATCAGAATGGCAATCAGCTCGGTAAAGAGCATGAGTGTCGTTTTCTCTAAAGTCAGCTCTCTATCATAGATCGTATCCCGACTATATCCATATTAGTAAACATCCATTTTTCTTTTCTTATCTAAGCATCGTATGCATGTGTAGGGTATTACTTTGTCGTCGGAAGAGTGCTTTGTAACATTTATCCCTTATCATATTCTAGGTAAATTAGCTTGTGAACGAATGCGAATAGGGATTTCGTGAAGATTCGTTGCGAAAGGGTTTTATTGCTAAATGCATAACGGATAAAACTGACTGCTCAATATATTTTTGTGTGTTTAACAGCGAGAAACATTTATGTACAAAGAGATAGCTTGTAGCATCTACTGTGTATTTGTAATTTGTAGTATATTTCGTTTTCTTTTCGCACGTGTCTCGTTTTCAGCTCGCGCACAGCCCGCAGGCCCTATGCCCCTCGCATAATGCAAGCGTGGCGATGGTGCATGAAATGCTTCGGCAAGTGATTGAGCTTCATCAAGGGTATATTACTCATATCCACATCGGCAGTGACGAGGTGTTCGTGCTCGGTGAATGCGATATCTGCCAGGAACGAATGGCTGAGCTAGGTTGGACAAAAAGTAATCTCTTTATTAACCATGTTACCAATGTTGTACAGTTCGTAAAGAAGATGGGAGTGCAGACGATATTGTGGGATGATATGTTTCGACAGGTCGACGAAGACGTTCTTCGAAAGTCGCCGCTCGTCAAGCTTGTGGAGGTCATGGTAAGCGTGAGTTTTGCTTGCCCTATCACAGACATAAGAAAAAAGAAGTTTCGAGTTTAAGTGCTCGCTCTCCGTCAGCCGTCCGACTCACAATCAGTCTCAGTGATATAATAGCAACCCCAGCAAAATAACGTTTAGGCAGCTCAATCGAGCCGGTTTGTCGCTGTGCAAAACAGGCTTTCGAGATAGCTTTTAGCTATTCGATAGCATGCGAATGAATTTTCAAGAGTTTTAATACGCATTTATCCTATGCCTGCATACAAAAATCTATCTATCTAATAATAATTCCCAACGCTTAAATAAATTTGACTTTTTTGCTTTAGATCGTGTAATTACAATCCTGTCATCGACAGCCTGATCCATCACGGATTAGGCTTCTTGATTTATAATATGCTTCAAAGTTAAGCACTACAAACCAAAAACAACTTAGTCGAATAGTCAAACTAACAGAAACCGAATTGACAATGAATCAATAAGAGTAAATATAATACTCACAAACAGGTGTGGAACTACGCTAAGACCATTAACCTGGCTGGAGTACTTGGCAAGTACGTTGCGGCAGGCTTCCCTGGTGTATGGGCCGCTTCGGCATTTAAGGGCGCTTCAGGCCCCTCGCAGCAAATGCCTGATTTTCGTTTACATTTGCTCAACCACTATTCGTGGATGCAGCTCGTACGCCAGTTTGCCGACAAGATCAATCTGAAAGGAATCGCCATCACGGGGTGGCAGCGCTTTGATCACTTTGGCGCGCTCTGCGAACTGTTTCCCGTCGGAATTCCAGCACTTGCATTGTGTTTGGGCTATCTGCGAGTCGGCCGCGTCGATGATGAGGTACGTTGAAGCAAGCTCAACTGTGTAGTAGGCGTACCTCTTGAATACGAGAAATACGCTACGCATCTGAATTTGTTTTACTATATGCGTCTGTGGTATAGCATGTTAGTAGATGATAGACATGTGTTCTCCGTCAAGCAGTAGGTCTTAGAGTACGAAGAACGATCTGTTTCATATTGAATATTATTATTGCTGGCTGTTTTCCTCTCAGATGCTTAGTGATATTCGCGCTGTGCTCAAGTGCAATCGGCCTCTTCCAGTTTTTGAAGAGACAGGCTACAGTGGGATTCCACTGATCTGCGACTTTCCAGGTAGCCAAGTGCTTGCCAACATCTACCAATGGGCGGAACTTCAGCGAGCCAAGCATCAGTTGACGAGCACTAACCAGTATCACGGATGGATGACTGACATGAACCGAAAGTAAGTTCGCTTTTATAGTACTAATTTTAGATAAGCTAATATATGGTGAAGCATTTACAGAGAATTCCCGCAAATAAGCTGCAAAAATGATTCAAGCTTCACTTAGCCTTCCAGCTTAGACTATGAATCACATACTAGCAACTATGTAGTAACACCTACTTTCTAAGCTTAGGAATACTACATTGGTTTTTGTGAAATTGTTAGAGGATTTTTGTGATATCGCACTTTATATATTAATAGGCTGACAGTTGAATACATGCTTTGTTGTGCCGTCTTACGTTTGTCTGGTCGATAGGTACCGGTTCAGCGCTCCGGAGCATGTTATTCAAGGCACCCGGGAGTTACCAGATCTGATATCAACGTGTACACGTCTGCGAGAGTCGTTCCTCAGTAATTTACTTGAGGTCAGCGACAAGTATACGGCTGAGGAATGGGTAACCACCTTCATCGGACCGCTGCAGAAGTGGCTCGACCAGCTGCAAGCGGATACGCAACAGATGTTAGCCAAAGACGAATGGCCGAAAAGACCGCTAATCGGTGGTGCTACCTAAAAGGGTTTGGTTTAGAAAGTGAACATGGATTTAATCGTGACCTGCAATTAACCGGCATACTTAACGAGCACACGTGGAGATGAAGACCCGCTGTTAAACCGAGATGGTGAGGTTATCAGGGGACAACTGTTTCGGGTCACTCAAGATCGTCGGGGATATCTGCAGACGCGGAGCTAACCAGCGATCTTCATTTACGTGTACTTAGCTGTTAGGCAAACACCAGAACTCTGTGAGGCGGTTGAAATCCATGGATTGCTCATGTCTCCCCCGTTCCCAATTAAAGGGAAAAACACACAGCGTAGAAGACTCGATTCCTTACAGCCAAAGGAAATCGAGCTGCAGTTGTATGAAACGTTTTGTTGACGAACGAACAATGCGAAAGCGTGATTTACGACCTTCAATACAAGAACGAATCTCAGCGTAAGCGCAGGCTGTAGTTCGACGGGAAGCGTATCTTCTCAAACCACCGTTCGATCGAGTATAAATCACGTGCAATCAAGCATCAATGATTATCTTTCAACTCAATTCCAGAAATTTTTGTCCCTTAGTTCCTCGTTAGCAGGATGGTGTTTTTTTGTTTTGTATGATCTCGCCAGTAAAACAACACGGAAACGAAATAGAAGACCTTTCCCAACTTATAATTTGTTGCTTTCCTTTTGATGGGGAGCTCCTTGTTCACTCAAAAACCCAACATCAGATTGTTGTTGTTGACTGCAAAATCGAGTTGTACATTGTCACAAGAATGGACGTGAAGGTAAATAGGAAAAAGTGATCGTACGTTTTGTGGCGGTAAATACTCAGTAGTCAGAAACAGCTTAGGCATTATATTGACCGTGTCGTATTGATACAACAACAAGTAATAACTGCTCATTGGCAACAATTCATCGCGTAGGTAAATAAAACTGAAAAATAACTAATGGTAGTATCAATTATGTGGAGCTAGGGCTCCGATGCTGCGGATATTTTCCACTCGTAGTATTAAATGCATAGACTCATATATACATATATATGATTACGACAGATAACCTCGATGCTGTACATTGGCCCATACAAATCGAATTCTGCTGCGATGGCAGAGACTGTGTGTGATACACTGTACAAATGATGATATATTAATGGCGTTCATGATAATAACTTCTTATCCCGTTCATGGATAATAATGCAAGAAGTAAAAGTATGGTCCGGTCCTACACAAATACTGAATAAACTCTATTCAGGCAGATGTCTTTCACGGTGTATTTACTTGATTGAATAGCTAGTTATTCATTAACAAAGGTCCCTGACGAATCTATACGGCAGTATTCTTTGTGCACAATGTTGGTCAACTTTTCTGCCTGATGATACCCCTTTATTTTAGGTATCCGACCCTTAATCCACTGGTCGAGACCGTCTTCTCTAACCAAGATTTATCTCGAAATTTCAGCGTCGACCGCTTATTTTCTCTACACACCTTGCTTTAACCGGAATTTCTACAACGTTGTCGCATCTATTCAGCTGAACAACGCAATAATGAGTTCGCAATAGTAATGAGAAATGTACAAACATCATGGAATTTATTGCATTTTAATTAATTTCTTCAAGCTGCCGCTATGGAAGCGCTCTAACAAACACCAGGCTAAGCTATTTTCTCTTTCGAGTACAGGTACATAAATAAGAATCATCATGTAACTTATCTTACGCACCAACACTTATCTTTTTTATTTCTGAAACCTTATGCAACCTTGCATTTTCATTGGCATCGCCAAAAGAACTTGCCAGTGTTTTCTTTCAGCGTTTATTATATATGTTTGACGCGTTGGATTTTCCACACTGTCATTATAAATGCACATTGTTGAAAAATCTTTAGCTTCAAGCCATGTCTAAAAGCTACTTGTTTCTTAGAAGTCTGTCCATTGTCTGTAATTGTGAGTGCGCTTCGTAGTAACAAATCTTCTCATCATTTTAGTGCAGCAAAACAATTCCGTGTGAATGTGGACGGGTGCACTTTTAGGCGTGCTTGCGTGTGTGTGATCATTTACCTATTATCTATGTACGCTAAAAAGCTATTAATTAAATATCATATCTTTGTAGCACGACAGAAGGTAGTACATGCTGATGCGGCAGCTCGTGGCCGAACGCACTAGAGTGAGTCGGTCCGCCCGATCAAAGTTCGACTTGACCAACTCGAAGTATTTGCCGTCACTCAGCACGAGGCAACGTAGTCGTAAGCATTTGACGCGGATGGTGTCAATGGCCTGGAAGTGAGAAATTCAGAGAAGTGTTCCAGTGTTGGTGGTAACTTTCGCTAAACGTTCGAAGTTTGTAACTGCCGCCGAGTATTGCAGACAGAGTGAAGCGAACAAACTCTTTCTAGATATGAAACAAAATATTCCTGGTCGTTTTAATTCGTGTTTTTTTGAGAAGATACAGCCCTAATTAAGCATTATTTCAGACGGCTTGCTGTCACCATAGTCGGATTTAAACCTAGACCCCCTCACATTTCCCCAAATTCTGTAGACAAGAAGGGCCTTTCCAGATCGTCTAAATTACCCGTATAAGCTTTTTGTCGCAGATTGGCGTGGGGCAGGACTAAGCGATGGAAAACGAGACGTAAATCCGACTCTTAACAGCGACAGTTGAAAACTACTATTCAAATTAAACATTGAAAAAGAGTCGAGTCATCACTGACCTACAAAACGAAATTCGGGGTTGTTCCAAACAAGTCCATTCTAATTATTCGGTAACGATTATACTCGTTCATCAGCTGCTCGGAATGTCCTCAACACGATCTCGGATCGCTGCGAAGCTCAATAGTAATACCGTCGTAGAGACGATAACGTAACTCATAATGTTGGTTATCTATTATAGAAGTTCAGTCTGATACAACTAACATGCAAGCTCATGACACGGCTATAGGGGATAGTGATATACTTTATCAGGCTTACCTTCGAACTTTTATCACTAAAACGAAGTGTCTCGGAATCCCAACCGATCTCAAGCCTTCGAAGGTCAGGGCAGTTGTTCGCAAGATTATCGAAAATCCCGTCGACATGGATTTTGGCGGTAATTTTTTTACAGCAGCCTGTCGGCATACCCATCACGAGGATTCTGATCAAAAGACATGCATTCGCACGTGTTTTAGATAAAAATATAATATAGTTAGTGTTCCTTTCGCGCGACAACTCTGCCATGTCTGCGACCTTACTGCGTCGTATACTTTCGTTTTCTATTGTTCCTGTAGAGTGATTTAATTATTAAGTATTGCTCAAGTTCGAATAGTCCTATTTCAAGCCTTATGATTTGTAATGAGCTTATAAAATCTTGAAAAAAACACATCTGAGAGCCATTAATTACGTACTTGATCTTCTTTATGACTGAAATGGTAGTGGACCAAAACCCTTCGCAGAGATGAGGGATACCCGATAATACGAGCCCCTGCAACTGTGGTCCGATGAGGCGCACGATTTTGAGCAGCATTTCTTCCGAAATATTTTCATTTCTATCGAGATCGAGCGTTATAAGATTCTTGTAAGTACCTTTCTCGATCATGGTGTTCAGCACGAGGTCATTAAAACCATCCTGTTGGCCGGCTGCAAAGTACCGCAAGTTGGTACAGCGGCTCACGATATCGACGAGACAGTCTGTGGAAAGGTCGGTAGCGGTGATGTCCAGCTCCTGTAAATTTGTGCTTTCCCACTCAACGGCCGTTACGTTTTCAGGCTTGAGACCTTCAAACAAATGCGGTACGCAGACATAATGAAGCCGGCAGATTAGCCTTACTCTTTACACCTCGTACCTGTAGGTTTGGTAGTGATCGTAAGGCCAAACCTGTACGGCATATGTTGAAATCGTTATATGTATATTCTACCAAAGCTCTATTTTATATTTGCTCCTTAACTCTATGCAGACCTTCAAATTCATTCTTCCATGAAGAAAAAAGAGGGAACAATTTATTCGGGCTTACCGGTGTACGGTGCAAGCAGTGTCTTGAGCTTTTTGCATCGTGAGAAAAGTATTTTGAGCGTCGTGCCAGCCACTTTGTTGCAATATGGCACTGCCAGAGTTTCAAGCTGGATGCAGTTGGATGAGAAGGCTTCGACATGTGAATCGTCCACGAACGCGATTCCGTACATGTTGACACATCGAAGGTTTGGTACGGCGGATTTAAGCTTGTGAATATTGATCACTTCGTAAATCTCTTCCTCCTCTTCGCTGACATTCTCGTACGTACCTGTGTACACCATAGGAAATGGAAAGTTTAATTTAAAAATTACCGTCAAGCCCTCGAAATCACTTCTTTCAGTCTTATATCAAACATTATTTACTAGAAGATGAAATCGGAGTGGGTTATAGTATGAGGCTGAAAGGGAAACAAAAGTTATTCAATGGCAAAAATATACCCATAAATAATGCGCCATATAAGTTTATTGCTACAGGAACAGATCAGCGGAAATAAAGTTCATATTGTCGTGCGCGGAATGGGCTAGTCAGAGTAGCACATACGAAGAAAACTTGCCATTAGAGAGCATAATTTAGGATCAAACACTGTCGTTGTAATACTAGAGTAATGATAAAACATAAACTTAACAATTGATCATATGTCATCTATCTAGACCTTGCCTATCAAATGTAAGACCTCGAGTCCGTTAATAAAGTTATAGATTTTTCTCATGAAGCCTTCCATAAAGATGACTTCCGAGAGGCAAATGCACATCACTTTCAGTTTAGTTGGAAATGCGTTTAGGTCGTTGAAATCATGGAGCTGCATGGCTGTGCTAAAATCGAGTAACATATGCGTCAAATTTGGACATTTGTAGCTCAATTCGTGAAGAACGGTGTGCGTAATGAGCTCGATAGGCAATTCGATGTAACGAAGCGACGCGCCTGAAATTGAAAATGAGCCCGTTAAGGAGCGAGTTAGTTCCTTATCCGATTTTTAACAGTGCGAAGTAAACACTGGCTTACCCCTTTAGAAATGCGCAATATATAGAATAAGGCATGGGTTATAATTATCCGGAAAAAATCTTTATAATAATATCATATAGGTAAAAATGGATAGTATTGCAAGCTACGAATGGGAAAATATAGCTCTTGTGTTGTATATATGTGGGTACTCTAGACAATAGCTGCAATGTCTAGTACATAAACGGTGTTATACCAAATCTGACTGAGATGAGCTGAAGAAGTTTATCTATATTGGTGATATGGAGTCCAGAAATCTCTGGCCGTAGAGACACATGCGACCACAGTCGGGGATCCTGTGACACTTGGCGCCATTTGCGGCAAACGCGCGCGAGACGACCAACTTCTCGAGATGGCAGATACTTGAATATGTTGAGAAGAACTTTCTCCGGCAATTTGTCGATTGTCTGTTAACGAGTAGTTTCATAGCAGTAATTTAGAAATACACATTTAATAAAATTCGCTATAGAACAATCGCTGCTTTATAGAATCACAGCCATTTCGTCAACCCTTTTACGCTTCTTTGGAGAATTGTTTTTTAAAACGATGTATCAACTTCAGGATCAAGCTGGAAAGCTTGCATCCTGTGTACCACGATAAAAGTACAGTTATAAGGATAAAAAATAGTATCTTTTTATATATTTTTGTCTAATTCGTATTATGCTTTCAACGCGTGATGCGTCGTGCATGCTAGATTTTGTTCATTTTTGTTGTATTCAGTAAAAAAACAAATCGTTTGTTTTATAATTCAAGTTTAATAGTAGGTAAATGACCTGCTTCCGAGACTGTATTGACCTATGAAGGTTATACATATTCTTTGCTAGAACCTGTCTAATCATCGGGTCATTCCTCAGTCCTTTCCGTTGATCATGGATTACGATGTGTACCCGCTCTTTCAAAGTTGTTGTACTCGATGTGGGCAAGCTCAGCTCCGTAAGCTCCAATCTGGTAAGTACAAGTTTCGCTACTTGGCACTCAAAATAGAATTTTACGGAAGGATCTCAGCGACCAGAACACTAACTTTTCTTTAAAATACTCCTCTACCACGTTCTGATTTGGAGCCCTACAGTAAATCATTAAGGCAGCACCCTGTAGAAATGCATACCGTTGTACAGCTTATTCGAAATTGGTTAAATAAGTGTTATTTTTTTGTAAACCTAAAATGTTTTTCTCTGCGCCGCTAAAGTTATACAGTCAAACCCTAATCGCTGTTTGCCCTGAAATCTGCAGGTTTCCAAACCTGTTAAGCGAGACCACCAGGGTCTTTTTGAGTCTTTGCATGGCATGCGGCTAAGAAGTCATCGTTCTCGTTATGACCGCACTGCACTGCTGGCTTGTTTCGCTCACTAATTCATAGCATACAACAGTAGGATACACAGTTAGTTTGAGGGGGTCCTAGGCAAAAGCGACTTCTTAAGCTCGTAGTTTCGAACGGGGTTTCATCCACTGGGCCATATAACATTGTTTTACTATTACTCTACATTGTCGTGTAGAACGAAGATATGAGCCATTAAGCTTCAGTGTAGAGAGGCAATGTAGATAGGTGGCTGCTGGGCAATTATTGGATCGAAGACGCTTGGCGTGGCCAAACAGTTCAGTTTTCTCACTTTGTGAGGTTTTTTGAGTAATATATATACACATATGTTCCGTAACATACACTTGACTCCATTCGGACGATAGAATAGTTTAGAAATTTAATGGATTCGGTAAGATTTTATCACTTGTTTCATCCACGATGTGTGTTAATAGAACTCTGGATTTGGGCTGAAAAAGCAATGGTCAATTTTTCCGAAATGTAAGAAATATTGATTTAACTTTAATTTTTTCCAACGTCAAATTCATAACTTACATATATTTGAATATGTTCATTTTTGCACACGTTCACTTCGCTATAAAACGTTTTAATGTTATTGATGCAGTAGAGAGTTCCCTGTTTGGTCGGGTATAATTGAAACCGGTCACAAAACTCAAGGCCCATTCAGGTCGATCGTATTAAGGGACGCAGCACAATAATGATGATTATTAAATGAAACCATTAACAATGTTCGAAATGAAAACAAACACTTACCTATCTTGCCTATATGTATATATGCTTATATAATTATTATTGCTCTGTGTATTTACACAGATAGAAGTTACGTCTGATAAAAACGAATCTTACTTTTCTATATATATATTGTATAGAACGTACTGTATCCCAATACAGTAACGGAAACCAAATTAGTAAATCTACTATCAACGAAGACTTTAAATCAGTCGAGTTCAGCCTTGCACATTTCCAAAAATTGTTTTTAAATCGATTTGGGCTTCATCATAGGACCGAGTTTGTTTCCGGCAAAAAAAAACCGGCAAAAAATCTTACCGCAATAATAAACGCAACAAAAATAATCGCAGTCAGAAAATCAGGACAAATACAGTATAATGAACCTTCAGATTGTCGAACAACTGCATTAGCTGAGCGAAAAAGTCCCTTTCGTGCCAGTAACGAAGCAGGAACAATCTAAGCATTCTGTACATATATATATAGCAGATTCTAGATCATTGCTTTGAATCACTTAATACAGAAAAGCTAACCACGATTAGTTACTCCTTCTTTTCGAGTATTATTAAGCGAGGTTATAATGGCAAAACTGCTTAAGAACCTACATAACACGTGCCCGTATACAAAAAACATGCCAGTTGAACAAAGTCAATGAATAGACAAGAGTATATAGTTAAAGTGATAAACCTATTAAAGCGATTTGTGCTTATGATTAAACATTAGAGTAAATGTAATGTAAACCGACTTGGTTGAGTTGGAGCAGAGACCAAGTAAACACTGTCCTGATGATATCATTCTTAGTACTTTCTTTCTTATTTCAGAACTGAAATGAGGGTCAGCTGCCTGAAAGGCGAAGGGCTTACTTAACCATCTCGTTCGTGAGTGTTGGAGAAAGACAATTTCAATTATGTTCGGAGTAGGCGCACCTTGACTAACTTTATCTGCCAAGCTTTTGCGATCCTCCATGGCGACGATATAGCAAGTTAAGTACGCAAAAATCAACTGAAAGCAAATATTCTATGGCCAAAAAGGAGACAACTGAGCGACCCTTAGGGTCCTTTTGTTAATGTATGTAGGGCGATCGTACGTTTGTTCGAACCTCCATAAAACAACGTCACACAAGGGAAACTGCATTACGTTAGTGAATTTTGCCAATTGCCGTCATTGACAATTATTTGTTCTCTCACAACCAACGAAAGCATTTTCAAGGAACAGTTGCCAATCGGATACCTCTAAAACGATAGAAGCGATCTACCTCTTGGATAATAGATTTTATTTGACTCCGCTATTCTTCAACATACCGCAACAATTTTCGGCCTTTGTACGGAATCTTTGCCATCTTTTCCACCTTCTTTTAGGTTGGCAATAGTGGCGGAGGACACCTCCGTCGGCAAACCGGACCACATCCTGGCCGCTCCGCGCCTTATTCGTCGAGTTCTACGAAAGAAGCTTACGGCCGCAACAGCACTCCGTCACCCTCACCCTTGCTACGCGATAACAGTAGCACTCCACACTCACCCACAACCCGAAAACGTAATCCAGGAATTGCAAGACATCCAAATCCGTTCAGCTATTGCACACACGGAACATGGCGTCCTGGCGCGGCAAACCTGCGGCGAACCTGCGACAGACGGCTTTCTAGAGAACACGCTACAGTAAGGGCTATTTTTAGATTCGATATTTTCTTGGGTGGTGGTGTCCCATTGGCTCTGAGGCAGGCGAACCGGGAAGGCCTTTTGCCGTCCCCAACCCGAGTCGATGTCACTCGTCGGCGAGAAGAACTTGGAGAGAGACCGAGGCGAGGGTCTCGCTGTCGCTTTTGAAGCCGCGTAACAACCGTTGGTGGAAACTCCGGTGTTCGAAGCAGACTGGTCATTCGAAGAAGCGAACCGTGTATCGGGGACCAGGTACGCGTAACGAAGGGAAGTCTTGGCAGGGAAGCCGGCACCTTGGCGGTGTCGCGATCTTTTGTCTATAAACTTTATTGAGTCGCGTAACCTGGAGACGTTATGGGTCGATGTGCACAGATGTACGAGATACACAGTAGCACTCGATGCCAATTAATGCCATATCGTTGACTAAAACGCTTGTGAAGCTATAATATAAGCACTTAGCCAAACCATACGAAGGGTCAGTCCTGGATAAGATAAGTTGCTAACTTTTATATGATAGATCATGACAATACGACCGAAAACATACCATTTTTATTATGATTGGCTGGGCAAGACTCATTAGTGAGCATAGCGAATAAACACTAACTCGAATAAAGTGTCGTTAGGTATGTTCATTGATATGTTTACGCCATTCTAGAAAAAACTTGCAGAAACGCGGCAGCTTAGCGGTTGAAATTAGCCATAATGCAGTCGCGTAACTTGCGTTTCAGTTATGAGAATGTTTACTGGGACAAGCCCCCCATAGATAATATATAAGCCCCCCTGATGTCAGATCTTACATTGTATCCGACTATTTTCATATCTCTCTTGGTCCTATCTAAGATGATCACAGTCACCACACCCAAAATCCAGTAAAACGAAGAAACATGTGGCATACACGAAGCCCCGCTATCGTTTTTTTTATTTTTTAGACGTGTCGTCTTGAAACGTAGAACTCATTTGAAAATGATTCCGTAGCAAACGTGACATCTGCATTTTGCATTTCAAAGTATGATAAATTATTTCGCTAGTGAATTTCAGTTAATTATTCATTCGTTGAGTAATGCTCAATTTTCAGCAGTCTCCTAGGAAGCGTAATAGATAAATTTGGATACGTGAAAATTTAGTTTGGAGGAAACGATTTTTTTTTTACGGCCCACTGGATTTTTTTTACGGGGACGGCCCACTGGATTCTACCGTGTAAACCAAGATTTGGTATAAAAGTATGCTAATTTATTTTATAGAGATCTCATTCAATCAACAACTCAATAATTCGGCTAGCAGAACGTACTATAAGGTCGATAAAATAGATTCTACAAACAAAATAAAATGAGGGTTATGTCATTTTTATAAGCTTTGTTTATGAGATGACTGTTTAAATCAAGGAGTCAACTGACACTCAACTCCTATGTTCGAATGACTTCAAGCTTTTCTAATTCTAAATTTGTGTTTAACTTTCTTTACGTTATTAGTAAGCATCAAAGATCAACTATATTACAACGACTACTACCGTAGTAGTCGCAGAAACGATGCGACTTGGACGCTGATTTAACGTTCTTGGTCGAGCCCTCCTGAGTTGCTGTTGTTGATGGTCCTTACGCGTGCCTGACGCCTCTCGTCGGCTACGCTCGTATCTCACTTCTAATCTTTTTCGCTCAAGGATTGACTTAATGGCCTTTTGCATCGTGTCCCTTTCGGGCGGAACGTAGTCGACAAACTCAATTTCGTCCATGCTCTAAAACAAATCAAACAACGGTTTTTGTCAAGGTCAGAAAAAGTTTGCACCATAGGGGAGACGTGGTATACAGGCAAGGTGTAATCTACAGACATTTGGTAAACGTTACCTTGAGTCAATATTATTATCTTTGTTCTACTAAGTTTCATATAGTTTGTGATAACAAAAAAATATATTATTTATGTGCCATTCCTCTAATATAAGGGTGTCCATTTTTAGGTATTGTTTTTTTTTGAGCTGATTCTTAGTATTCTCTTTTAAATTAGCCAATAGCGCTCGTGTACAGCATTGACTTTAAGCCCTTTTAGACCAGGTCTTATTGGACTTGATTGGATTTTCTTTAATAGATCTATGTGGAGTAGTAGTAGATCTATGTATCTACCTTATAATTGACGATTTCTAAGAATCCACTTAGCAGTGCGTTAGGTGCTGTTTAAGGACAATTCATTGTCGCACTCTCATAGCCTATAGTCGAAATTCTTGAAAAAAAAACGCAACGAAAAATTGACCTATATCGGCATTACAAAGCTGACCTTCATTGCTACACCGTCTTTAAGTGCAATGAGCTCTGCAATCGTAAAGAAACGGATTGATGCGATCCTTAGGGGTTTTCGTCGACACTGAACAAACTGTAGAAAAACAAAACTCATATCGTTTTGCTCTGAGAAACCAAGTACTTGGACCTCATATTCAAAATTATACAGTTTCGTCATATTAAACTTTTTTTAATCGAATTTGCAAGTTTGAATAACATACATTTTTTTTTTGTGCAAATTGAACACAATGACTGTTCAAGAAGCCAGGAAATAATGTCGCTGGGTAGAGTTTTTTGTTTTAAGTCAACCACTAAAATATACTATTTGAGACGAAATACTTATAGCGTTTGAGGTATATCCACTTTGCGTATAGTCAGAAAATTTGTTTCATAGTTTTTACAATAACGTTCAATTAATTTATGGCATGATCATATATGCAGTTAAGACAAACAACCGATGGATCGTACTTTATAAAAATACATTTAGGCCCACAAGAATAAATCTTCAAAAAATTATAGGTAATTACCAAAAATTGCACGGAAATTTGCTGCATCAACCAAGATTATTATTAAGTCTAACGGGGCGCTATACAGTGGGAAAGCAATGGAACGTGAATACGCCATCTGATCAAAAAAGGAGTGGTCTTACGTTTTACGTTTGCAACGTTATCAAATATGATCATAGTTTCAGAAATAGCAAACTTTTCCGTTGATATCATAAACTCAACTGTAAAATGATTTCTGGGTTATTAGTGGCAGTTAAGCATTATGAAGCGTTGTTGAAAATGTAAAATTATTAGGAATGCAAAAATAAAAGAAAAAACACGCACCAATAGTATATCAGACTGTTCTCCTAGAACAAGATAAAGCATGGCCTGTGGGCGAATCAGGAAATATCTGGTTGCACAGATTAGATAGAAGATTAGAAGAATATTCGAAATGAGTTAATTTTATTGGTTCATATTTGTTCTGATTTTGTGGTGTCATAAAGAGTGATTCTTGTAGAAATCCGTTTCTAATTTTAGCCTGTATGAGTCCGACCTAGTCATATACATTAGCGTCCGCCAAATTGTCAATGTGCCTCCGATTGCTCTGTTACACTGCTTCTGCCTCGCACTCACCTCACGCTGTTGTAAATTATGAAGAAACACAATATCCTTCATTGAGGGCACCTCCATCTTGACAATGATGTTGAAAAAACACGAGTCGATTCTAGCACTGGTACTATACGCCATCGACATGGTCGCTCGACCTACTTTGTACAGTGTTGGCCGATAGGTAAGCGTCGCAAATGATAGAGGTTGTAAAAGATCGATTTGTAAAGTTGAGAGAAAGCTACGTGGGTGTGTTTATGCCGCCATAAAATCAAAGCAGGTTCCCAGTTCACTTCGGGCGCAAAAGGGAGGTGCAATCAGGGACTGTCGCTGACCCGTGTAGCTGCGCTATCCACTTGTAGATAGAATACTAGCAAGTTTTTTAGAATGGCAAACAATTTACGACAAAAAAAGGTTGCACCATTCAGTAGAACATGGAAACGCCAGAGAAAGCAACGCAACAAAAAAGTTCCAGGAAAATAATACAAGTTGAAATAGTTAGCGTTTTGTGGAATGAGGCTGCAAGGCTACGGCACACCATTATCAACGACGTGTCTTAAGATCATCCTGCAGGGAACTGAGTGTGATTTCCTTTATCGATGTGCTGAGGCCTCACGTATAGCGTTTCCGATCGACTTTAAGCTTTTCGCTCTATTCACTCTTTCCAAAGCCTAAGCCAAACGAAAATATTTACATTTCATTCTTTTCAGAGGCCAACCGTCCTTGATTGGCCAATGATTTGATCAAGGCATATCGTTGGTCCGTGTATTGATTCCGTGAGCCTTGCCCTCTGAATCGTCTCTACAAAAGTTAGCTTTCGCTTTTTACATCTTACCAACTACGGAGCAGTACGGGTTTGAGATATTCAGAAATCGATTCGACTACTGGTGACCGTTATGGGTAGGCCATTGTGAATATAGCGTCTTTAGTCGAAGTTCCGGTAAATCATCGCTAATATTGTCTATTCGTATAGGTTAGGTTGCGCTGCGTACTCTAGTAGATCGTCCATTCATAGAGGTTGTTCGAAATAAACTTAAAACCTTTTATTTAAAATGAAATGTTGAGCCTTTTCAATTAGCTAGCTGCTGTCGGCTTTCCATTATGCCTCGTAATTTTCTAGAGTTCTACAAAAGCTGCATAGAAGCAGCAAAAATGTAAACCGTCGATTTCGGGTAACTGCATAAACTCGATGGAAGGTTCGTTCGGGACGAAAATATTGAGTAATAGATAATCTTCCTTTTCCTCCATTCCGGTTTGATTCTAGGGAGGCTCGGCTTTTTTGGGTTGTAACAATGAAAAATGTATACATGCATGTTACGGTCAACAGCCTGCCACATTATGCGCAGACAATTCATTCGAAGCACCTCGTATAGAGATTTATATGAAGGTGTACGCATATGTAAACACAGACGTATCATTTTAACTGTAACAAATAGCGTCGGAGAAGAGTACGAGCGTAATTATTGTTGATGTAGGGTCTAATTCAAGCAAGCCTGTCAACCTAATCAGTTATCGCGATAATACTTAATGTGAGCTAGTTCGTTGCTAAGGGTATTTTAAAGGTTGATAATAGCGTAAAACTTACTTTCGACAACTGAATACAAACAGAAGACAGGCATCAATGCGCTGCAAGGAACAGTATTTCATCTGAAATATCGTTTTTTCGATCAATTACGAAATTTACAGTTATCTTTGATTATTTGTCCAATTTTACAATTATTTAAAGTATAAAATATGGTTCCGAAATGCTAGCTGAAATCAGTTACACATACAACGTCTAGATAGCTGTACGCGTTAGAAGCGGATAACGCAATTATACGAAGGCTCAATTAGATTACATCATCCTTTATTTTCTTTTTGATTGAATTAAATATAAAATAATATAAAGTACTCTAAAATAAATACAATAATATATACTTAACAGAAAAAACTTCTGGCCAATTCTTCGCCCCGGACTTACTACGTGGTAACCATTGTATATAAAAGTTATTTTCGTCTCTACGAGTCGTGTCACCATTTCTAGGATCGATTAAAGCCTTCCAAATATGCCATCGGCAGTAGACAAATTAAACGTCACCTTGCAACTAGTCGATGATATTAAACTATCCTTACTCCGTTTTACGACAATGCCTATTGAATTCATAAAGAGCATTGGGACGATAACGTTTGATACGAAGCTGTAAGTTCTATTATTTTGAAGTAATATCACTTATATACGAATACTCGGATAAAAGAGTTGCGAGCTTCGTATAATCCTACGCACATGATTATGTACGGCATCTATATTGAAAGCCTTTGTGCTTTGCTTCTAAGACTATTTTTTTTAACCAAAAAAACAAGTCTTTCAGCGAAATTGTCTGCATGTGTTGGAAGTGTCATTCCTCACTGTTGTGTTTATTCGGTATAGCACCATCTATGGCGATTACAGCTTCAGTTAGGTTCCTAAACCACTAACTAGCCATTTGAAAATATTCCTTCTTTATTTCGCAAGTATTTTTTTTGTCAAATTAACCGTACATTAACTGTACGTAAAACCCGTACATAGCCGTAATACAAAGCAATATTAGTAGATATAAACTTCAAATATGGTGGTTCAAATGTTACGTACGAGAAACTCCAACATATTTACATTTAGAGCTAACACCTGGCTAAAGGTCTACCAATGCGAAGGCTTAAGACGGTGCGATAAGGCACAAACAGTTTTGAAAGGACTACCTGTTAGAGCTGAATCGGCAATTGATATTTTCCGTTTGAAAATGGCCGTTAAGTTTTGAAGCGAGTATGCAAGCATATCAAAAATGGATTTTTAAGTAACTTTGATGGATTTCGCGCCTTTTAAATTTAAAAGCTATTCAGAGTATCTTTCAGTTTGCTTTACGAAAACCTTCTTCAGATTTTTCAAAAACAGCATAAGCACTGACAACAGCGTAGGTCACCGATTTTGGACGAAGGAGACGTTCTTGATCTCTCGAGGGTTTTATGATGAGACATTGTTTTCTACCTCGAAAAGTTTGCCTTTTTGCTTTCTTAAAAAAAATATATATTTTTTTATAGTAGCAAAAATGGCGAGTGACCGCATGCTTGTTATGATAAAGAGCCCGTCAAAGTGTGTCCGTCCCGATTTAAGTGCTGTTCCCTCTAGTAATCTAGTGCGCAAATGCATAATTAGAGGTTTATTGCATGATGGGATAGACTAACATCTTGTATCCCTAGCATCAGAAGTTCCAATCAAATTGAAAAGTTCTTGCCTTCTGTAGTATTGCGTGAAAGCATTTCTGCTTCCATCTCAAGGGAAAAATGTGCTAGTATCGCATTAAATCTGATCAGACGGGCACTATCCGCAAACACAACACTTAGTACCTCCATAAACAAAGCATTAAAGCTTTTGCTGGCTTTTCTCTTGGAGAAATAAAGATTTTACCCAATACCCATTACGGAAATAAATATGAGGGTGATTCGAATGCACGAAATTGTACCGTAGAGAAGATTCCGAGCATAGATAATTTTTGGGAAATTTCTCAGAATATTTATTAAGATATTTTTCTTAAGAAGAAAAAATATAGTGTTTAAGGAAAAAGATGTATATAAAATAATATAAAGTACTTTAAAATAAATACAATAATATATATTTAACAGAAAGAACTTCTGGTCAATTCTTCGCTCCGGACTTACTACGTGGTAACCATTGTATATAAACCCCAACCGAACTTCTATTCAGGTCATTCGACGAGCAGAGGGATCCAACCAAGATATAGAGAAACTTGAATACGGTATCTTTCATATCATGGATATTTACCCTTGGTCTTTTTATTCGGTTAAATGCGCGTATATAATAGCAGTTGAGCACCCAGTTCGTTATACTGTAACCGACTTAAGTGACAACAACGGAACGTTAGCAGGTGGTACCTACAAGCCTCGCCCGGAAGCACTGGTTGTCGTGTCCGGCATGGTCTAGTGGCTAGGATACGCGGCTCTCACCCGCGAGGCCCGGGTTCGATTCCCGGTGTCGGAAATTGGTTCCATGGTGTAATGGTTAGCACTCTGGACTCTGAATCCAGCGATCCGAGTTCAAATCTCGGTGGAACCTTACTTTTAATTTCATGAACTATTGCTGATAAGTTACGTGCACGAAAAATTACACTGAAGTACGAATTCGCCTCAGCTATATCCATTTTCCACTAAATGTATCCTCTCTTCAAGTTATGTGCAACATACCATAATTATTTTAAGCTATCATAATAATTGAATATATATTATTATTCTTTAAAAATAGAGTCTTGTTGTATTCGGTAAAAATACATGCGGTCTAAAAATACATTTCCTTAAAAGAAAATTATTTTATTGGCACCCTTTCTCAAACCGTCCATGCCATAGCACAATGAAAGCTTGAAATCTATTTTTAAACATATAAGGCATATTGAATATAAATTTCTAAACAAACAGATATAAAAATTTTAAAAAAATCGCCCAACGTGGGGCTCGAACCCACGACCCTGAGATTAAGAGTCTCATGCTCTACCGACTGAGCTAGCCGGGCCTCGTATTGTATACCAATTTAATATAGCGGCGATGTCGACTCGAGTTTATGCGATAGCGTTGCAAATACCATAATTCACTTTTTGCCCTTTTTTAACATAGCTAAAAAAAAATGGTCAAAACACACTCAAATGCCTTCAAGTAAATTGTCCAACTAAGTACATTCCAAAAAGGAACCCGCACGACTTTACCAGTAATACCCATTTCTTATGTTTATCATATTGGTTTCCATGGGCACCAGTTTTTTTTATAGAAAATTATTTTTTTGGACATGTCTGTTAGCATTTTTGCAATGTACAGTGCGTAAACAAAAATCGAATTGATCCAGTTAACAAATTCAAGATTTTTGGTTCGCACAACGTTTCGTGTTTATTTTTTTTCAATATTAATCGAGCACCTCTCCGTAATTTTCACAAAATGTGCTAGCAGATAGTCGTAGCTAACGCAAACGAAGCCAACGCTACTCTACTGGGTCGGCTCTTTGGGCCACGTGTTGACGCCATCATATTACCTATGGAGTTCGGTTAACCGTCTGTTCTAATATACTTATCGGTACTGCCGGCCGCGGCCCATTGCCCTGGTACAAAGGGTTTCTTTTTACGGGACGCGCTTTCGCCCCATATCAGAGCTAGGTGCTAGTAACGACCCCATAACTTGCAGCTGATCGGAGTGCATAGTATTACCCTGTGACCAGTAGAATTACCCCCAAGGCCGCTATTGGAGTGGCCTCGTACAAATCTAGCCAGCCATCTTTAATCTCCTAGGGGGGTCAGGTAGTTTAATCTCTATAAGCTATACCTAAATGTTTTGGTTCCATTATGTGATATTTATGAAGCATTTACTAAACAGGGTCGAATTGATTATGGCTATGTGATAATGCATAAATATATTTTGTTCTTGTAGGGGTGAAACAGTGTAATAATAATAATAACATTGAACAGTATGTACAATAGTGTCACCTTTCAAGTATTTCAAGTACGCAGTCTCTGAAAAAAATGTTTGACGATAATGCTGAATCTGAACCTCCAAACATTTATTTCTAGAGTGATTTCATTATTTGTCGTCTTAGAATAACATATCCTTTATAACTTATTTTTCGTTATGCCATTTGCGTATGTACCCAACAAAAGTGTAAATAAATATTAATAGTAATTTACTGCTCCTCAAGGGTTAGATAATTCTCCTTTCGACAAGTACAATTTAAGCTGTTGCACACCGTAGCAGCGTACTAAAAACAATTCAATTATCTCGGCGTAATAACAGTTCTATGCTACTCATTGCTGAAAAATAGGAAATTATGAATATATATATGAATACTCAGGTTTCACCGTATTTTTTTAAAAGTATACAATGAGCTAATTAAAAGGAGTCAAAATCTTACCTGAAAGCACATTTTTAAATAAACAGGATGATCTAAAGAATCGTTGTACGTCTCTAGTCTCGAACAAGTCAATAAAATAATTGCAATATTCGTCACGGTTAACTAGGTAAATGACAATGTAGTTACAAGTACCCCACAGTTAATATTCATAAGATCAATTTGTGTTGAAATGTACTCCGCAAGAAACATTCGCTGCCAGTCGCCTCAGCAAAGCTTGTCTACAACGGATGCTTCTGTGGCGGATCTTTGTTTACGGTCAATCGTAAACCCTAATAATGTCAAAGGTCAATTCTATTTAGATGTATATTTCTATTGTTCATTTTTATGCAAATCTGTATAGACAAGTAGAATCGAGATAGAGTTCGCAGTGCTGCACAGCGTGAAAATTAGGTATAAGGTGCCACGAATTTTCATCCACTGAACTATGATATTAAAAAATATTATTCGTTGAGGACTGTAGAAACACAAACACGAATGAAAGTTTTCCTGCTCCAACCTAACTGATCACTAGGATATCGACGGGGTAGCTCTGCCGAAAAGGTTCCTGTAAACAGCGTTCCTTAAATTAGTAACGACATATTTGATTGATTAACTGAACCATCGTCGAAAAAATGAATTTGATACTTTTAGCAACCCTGTGCGCAAACCCATTAACACATGCGCCGAACACAACATCTGTATAAACCGAACCCATATCGGATTCACAACGGCAGCTGCAATAGCACTTAGTGCTAAATCGTTCTGCTTAGTTATTGGCCTATTGTATTCGACCTTGTGGTCTATGATGACTCAAACTCACTATTTACACCCATAGTGGCGCTATAGATGATTTTTCATCTGGCAGGCACAGTATTTAAGTTTGATGTCGACCGAGGTCGACAACATCGCAAGAAGTGTTGTAGCCTGTGAAGAAACTAATGATTCGGCAGTGTACTGCAGGTAAAACATAATCACCACTCCTTAAAAGCGGGTCAACGGAGCGGCTTAGTGAACGAAGTAGAATGATTCAGCTGAAAAGGCAACCTGATCGTTTCGTGAGGTGCGATTTTAGGTGCACGCTGGCACGCCCTAATCGTGAGTCCTTTTTACTCTTCATTTCCTCCGAACACAACACAATAATAGCCGATCCTTGGATGGACAACAGAAGTAGAAACATTCGTTTGGCATTGTCATAATCAAAAGAAACACGAGTGCCCAACGCTTAGAACCACACATATCTCGGGAAGGCTGGCTTGCAACCACCACATAAACATAACGACCATTGTATGCCTGAGCTCGTGCATGGAAAGATGGAAATCGGGTGAGTGTTAAATGCCCGGCGGTCTCTCAGAGAGACGGACCGATCCATGCAAACTACTGTCTCTATATCGATCAATAGTGTGAGCGATGTTGATAAGCATGTTAGGGTGGTTTTCCAGGAAAAAATTACTCGCCCCAGCAGAGGAGCCCCCAAAAGGTATGTTTGCCGATTGCAGAGCTTGCGTCGAGCTATATATGAACACTGCGTTAATCCTGTAGATAGAGTACGCTACAATGCTGAGCGCGCTAGAATAAGTAATCTTCATATAAGTGGAGTCAAAAAACTTGAGTTTTATAGAAGGAACGTTGATGTCGACTGCAAGCTGAAGTGAAACTGGAAGCTTAGTTTATACCAAGCACAGGTAACAGAACATGATTTTAGTATATTTCAGGGCATATCAAATTGTTTGTTTGTTACTTCATTACCATAACTTCAGTTTTAACATTCTGTGTTTAATTCTAAGATATACAAAATGACGTGATCAGCTTTTATAGTAATCAGTGATGGTTTAAAAGGTCAATAAAAGAATACGAGTGGAAACTTCTGCTCTAGATTTGTTCGAGCTTCTGAAGCTATTTAACTGGATTTCCGCCCAGAATATTGCTAATATTTTTAACATCTAAACTTTCTTGAAAACGATTTAAGTTGACTTTAAGTTTAACATACGAAAGCTCTCTAATACTTTTCTGATGGCCGATGCCATCTTCTCATCGATGCTCAAGTGTAGATAGGGAACGAAATATATGAAGATATACTTCCTAGATGAAAACCGTGTGCCCCATGTTGGTTGACGTCGAATTTCATTGAAATTACCTCATCCACATTCTGTCTAATCGATGCTTATAATCCTTCACCAAAACAGAACCCCCTCCAACGAGTCACAGATTGAGCGTCAGGCATGTTCAAGCAAAAGTCGACACATTTGAGAATATCGGCTACAGATCGCACCAAGGTAGTTTTAGGGTAAGTGTTTAAAGGGCAGAGATCTTGCCATTAGATCACGCATATACGGAAAGTTGACGATACCATAGGAGGGACAATATTGAGCAAAAAGAAATAATTTGACAATATGTCGCTCTATGAATACACAGGAAAGCTTGTGCTCTGCAAACATATTTAAAAACATGTTGAAAGTAAAGGCCATCCAGAGGACGCTTTAAACCAGGATAGGGGGTCATCCATACGATTAAGGTTTAGGTCCATATGTGGTTATCAAGCTAGATTATGAGCGATATCTAATAATTATTGGACCTGACTAACCTTTAATAGTATTTTTCCTTTGTTTATTACTGTTTATATATTTAGTGGCCTCCATTTACAATGGTATTTATTCTATCCATCCGTATGCTTCCTGCAGGGAACAGTGTCTAACCGAGCTGAATCGCTTTAAGTTTGACAATAATTATAATTGGTATGAATTCCTATTTTTAGATCCCTAAACACAAACTTCCATACAAACGGAAGGTTCCATCAAGAATCGGTTCGCTCAGCAACCTATGTCACAAACCCGGAGGGGGTCAAGTAAGCCTTCAAATTTTTCCACCTTTATTTCATACTGGCCGGCACAGCACGCGGTCATTTTAGGCTTAAATCGGTCTTGCTCTTTGTGAATTATAGATACTAGCGTCTGGCACGTACTGACGTAATCAATACATTCTGCAGTTTTTTCATTGGTAATCTAGTATATCTATATGGTTGCAACGAGGGTCGGCTAATTCTAAACAATGTAGCAACTAAATGCAGTAAGCACCTGGTGGATCTTGAGTTCACTTTATTGGTCAATGTGCGCAATTCTTATATCACTATCAGCAGGTTAAGGTCTTTTCAAGGCGTGTTGATTTTCGTTCCGGAGCGCAGTCTCGCATAGGTGAGGTAATTCATGGAAACGTGCCCTCGACGACAGATCGTTTTGACCAAAGGGGCAGTATTGTTGACAAACTCACCGATAGCTTGCGCTCTACAACCAGCCTGCAGGTAGTAAACGCTAGAAAAATATACTCACGAAACATAGTGTACCAATGCGCCCAAATCACATTGCTGTGCTTTTATCATCAAAAAAGGATTAATATTCCTATTCAAGCATTAGTTTAAGATAAATAAGTACACAAATTTCTAAAAAAGTTCATCGAAGTTGGGGGGATATGTTGATAGTTTCTTTACACACAAAAACTAGACCTTGATTTTTCGACTATTGATGAACCAAGTGAAAAGGCTGCTTTTGTATGCGTCAATGTGAAATTATGCGAAGACAGAGTCACTATCTCTTAACAAAGAAAACATTGCTATTAACAATTTAAGGTTTTGCATAGCTATTCAGACAAAAATAAGCCTCATAACGCGCAGGCTCCATGGTCGGGCAAGGTTAGATCTATGACACGGTTTCCTGTAAGTAGATATAAATTTCAGCGTCACTGCCGTTGAAGCCCTACATCGTGCAATTAATGGTATACAAAAAATAAGAAGTAAGAAACTACTCTGATTTGTAGCGTTTTAGATAGTTTTTTTTACTTTTGCATTTTGACGTTGATCATAAGTGAAGCCGCCGCCGAATAACCCGGTGGATGCGTTTTGTCTGCGAGGGTGCATCAGTATTTTTTTTGTGTTACTTTAGGTTGGTTATTTGTTTCGGTGTCTGGCGCCTTTCTTGTTGACAATAATAATTATAAATCTGATGCATGATGATTCACAAAGATCAAGTCATCGTCCTTTCAGGAGAAGGAGAAAACGGACGAAGTAGGGACAGTAGAGCTATCCGAGGAACCTCAATCTGAGGGACAACATGAAATCACAGCTTCGAAACTGAATAAACATGGCGCTTACATTATAAGTGGGACATTGTCAGCCGCGAACACTAGACAAGAGGATGGAGATGGCACAGGGAATGATGGGTACAGTTGGAGCGTAGATAAAGTCGATGAATTATTAACGTCTACGCAGACAATTCCTACAGATAGCGATCCATCTGCAGCACTAAAGGTTTGTAATTTTGAATTGAACCTATCTGAGTATGAAGGTTCTAACAGCGGTCATAGAGAAAGGTGTCTTTAATAAATTAAATATTTGCTTAGCGATAATGCAAATTGGAAAAATTATGATTTTGTGATAAATATCTATTTTCGAAGCTGAAAAAATATAAGATTTTTTAATAGAATCGATCGTCACTTTTTTTGAAATTTTCCCAAGTAGCACAAAGTAGAAACTTCGAATAAAATTGCTGAGAAAAACCATTTGTCCACTTAGTGGTCTTAACTGTAGGTCCTGGGTTGATGAGGAAGAAATACCCCAATATGTTAAAGGATTAACAAATAAACTGTTCATAAGGGCCTTTTTTTTTCTGTAATTCATTTAAGAATAGGAAGTAACAAAGTGGAGGGTACCAGGATACATTTTCATAGAGTCATGTAATAGTCTGAATAGGCGTTATGATTTTCCTACAAATCGAAATGTTTTTTTTTTGGTTCAGATACTGTTAGGGCTTGTCAGAGGAGTCGCCATAGAATGTATATACAATTTTTTGTTCGGTCGATAGCATTGTACTAGCTTACCTTAGCTTTACATTAAAAACTTATCCTGGTCTTTCGTAACCTCATAATATAGAAATTAGACTAAAGAAGCGTATATTGCATTGCAGTTGTATCGCCTGCACAGAGTCGCGTGTGTGTAAAAATACCAGCGCGATTTGTGTGTTATTCGTAAGCATTGTTTAAGCTTGAAATAAGCAGACTATTTGATTTCAGAAGGACAAACGAGCTGAAGCTTATCTGAGACCTGGAGGTGATGAACAGACGAGCTTGACACTGTCTGCTGAGGCCGGCGGATCACCGAAAAGAGCAATTCAAATAAACACAAGTAAAAAGAGTCAGGTCTCCCATGCTAAATGGAGGTTCTGAGACTCCTCTGTCCACGCACTATCCAAACCTATATCAAGCGACTATTTGAAGAATCGTCAGATTTTGTTCACGAGTCTCCCATTGGTACGTGTATGTATCGAAAACGTTCACTCTAAACCAGATCTACTATTCGACGCCTTGTTTTCGTTTACGAAGCATACCGACTTGTAGGTCACAGACATGTTTAGTCCAACTTCATGTATAAATTACTTAGTAACCCCTCAGAATTGTCAAGTGCATTTTTCGCTTCGTTAACGCCGGAGTGGTCTTCACCAATAACAGTGTTTCCATTATAGAGACTCTCCCTAACACTCAATAGACACGCTTTTTAGACGAAACGATTTATTAGTAAACCTAAGGCATAATACCGCGTTGTCAACTATACAGTTGACAAGCATTTAAATATCTGACAGATGAAAAAAAAATCAATTTACGCTTGTTTTTTATATCTTGTAAAATTTATGGTAAAGAATCTACGCTGAACGTAACGAGTATGACCGCAAGCTCTACAAAAATAAAAATAGAAAAATAATGAAAGAAGAGCTATTTCTTTAATTAACAATAATATTACGGTATTGTTGTTGTTGCCGTCGTTGTCGAAATAGAATTCGGTGCGCATGTGAGCGATTTGAGTGGTTGTTTATTTTCAAATGAATGGCACATTATGACGTTTCTATCTCTCATTGGCTTTTGTAGTTACGCTCCAAATGTGCGTCTGCTCCATGATTAAGTATCGTTCAGTCTTACACCCAGATATGCCAGTTTTCAATTTTTTGTTTGTATTTGGAATAGAGTTCCGGAGAGACGACAAATTTCTGTGAGTAGCATAACATGTCAAACACGGCTGAGAGCCCGCGTAAAGGTTAATTAAGCTATTAACGGAAAACTCCAACAATCGTTCTTAGCGTACTTTCAGCGTTGATGGTTTCCCCGCTTCCACGAGGTGTCTATCCGTAACGCAGAGTGCGTTGCCAGTGCGATGAGTGAATTGTTATTGTCACAGCTGAATCTTACAGAAATCGTATATAGCGTTGTGAGGGAAGCGTTAACTAGAAACCTTACGACACTAAAGAGTTGACTGCGAGTCCCAAGTAGACGTGATCAGATCTGCATAGGCACAACACACTTACAGACATACCTAGGGAACAATTGATCCTTGCAATCATTTTGACCGTCTCATCAAATCCTCTCGACATTCGAAATATCAAACAGAGAACATAAAGCAAGGCATTCAACTTGATTGAAATTCTCAATGAAACATTTTGACATTTGAATACTTTTTTTTTTTATTTAGCCGCGAATGAACTTAGGATCTTAGGAACTACTGTTATCAATCGTCCAGGTGCTTCTTGGAATGAGGCAGTAAATGCCTTTAGCATGGTATGGTTCTTGGCCAAAGCTTCATCTCGACAAGAAGATTGGCCAAATAATAACTAAAATAGCAAGTTTGAAGTTAAACAAATTAAGTGATTTCAGTAATTTCAAATGACCGATTGGATTTTTAAGGGTGCTATTTTCTCCGATGAACAATTGCACACACGGATGATCCAGGTGAAGAATATTGAGAAGATGTGCCACGTACGAGTTTAGTTTCTGACACCGCTTTTTGGTTATCATTATTATTTACTATTATGTTCATCGAGATTATTTAGTACAGTGCTTATCAATCGTTATATACTTATATCAAAACTCCCAACGTAGACATTTATAACAAATATCAATAATACAATATATGTTCATCGTACAATCACAACAAGTACAATTTTTCTTTAATAAAATTTTTCTCAACATCAGGATAAATCCTTAACGTGTACTCTGTTTGCCTGCTGGAGTACATAAGACTGTTTAATCAAGAGCTAATCGAATACTTTGGCCAATTAAGGAGATCTACCTCACTAGATAACGTGATTTAGCATACTTTCCGGATTCGATGTCCACGTTGGCATTATGCAGTATTTCGTTCACAGCGGCTATATAAACTATTTCTTAACTTTGTGAATGTTATCTGCCGATAGTTTGTCTGGGTCATTTTCACACATAATCAATTAAAACCCAAAGTGAGTAGCTACGCTCCTTCGTAGAATAGTTCTTTTCCGTTTCAGCCTTTTATCACAATAACGTAAACACTTGACGTGGATGAAATGCGTCGAACAGCCCATAATAAGGCGCAGCATCGTCGTATCTAATGCGCCCACGTAAGAAGCGAGGCTCCAATACACTAGAAATTTAAAAGAATGCTGAATTCGTTAGTAAACCTCCATACTCTTAAATACTTTAGCAACTTGGTATTGCTTCAATACCTTGATCTGTAAAATAAAACAGACAGAAAAAATGCGGCATTATGATTGTGGTATACTCCAGCTATTTTCTTTCAATCGTTTGCGCTGAGATCGGCTTCACGCTGCGTTATGTTCCCATCGCATTTTACCTTTTCTCTTTGAACTAAATATATAGTTCATTAGCCAATTAATAGTATTGACTTAGTGGAACTTCATCGTATGCATGTATATTTATATATATTATTATAACGCCCGACTAGCAGGCGGAGGCCATGGCAACATACGGTCTGTATATGGATTTGTTAGCATTAGTTAGAATATATTCACGGTTGTCGAAGTCCATTGTTGACGCTATACAGAAGATCAGAGCTCCGCTATCGAGAGGGGCAGTTTGATACGATAATTTACACATAAGTATTGCAATTACAATGATTACATACATATTTTGAAAAAAAAATGATACATTGCTAAATATAAATTTTTAACGATACCGAAACCAGCGTACAGTTTAGCGTCCGCTAGCACTCGCTTTAATTTCGCCGCCTGACGAAACACCTACATCTGACATACAGCGTTAGTTAAATATATTTTTACAATCTACAAAGATTCAAGGAACACATTACCATTTAATCATAGTATCGTTAGTCGCTCGATTGCCCGCGCTAGAATTTCGTGTGAGTTTTTTTAAGGTCAAGCTTACATCTCACATAGCAGGTTGTTGAAGAAGATTTGTTCTGGGGTGGCTGGCTCTAACAACAGATTAAACCACCCTCAGCTCTGCTTCCTTCTTGCTTTCTTCTCGTTCTATTAGCCTATCATTCGTATTTTTCTTTTTTTTTTTTGATTTTTAACTAACATCGCCCGAAAATTCACTAGGAACTAGTCGGCGTTTCAAAGATCAATCGTTTGCATGTAGGTACTATTTGAAATTAAACCTAATAGGCTCAGTACAATTCCTTGGCAGTTAGATTTTCTGCGCCATCTTTTTTTTTTACCAACACCCTGTGAGTTCTTTCTACTCGGTTTTCGTGTGAGGAATTCTAGATACTCCATACGCAGCTTCTTAGCCTGGGTAAAGTAGCGTTCAAAGCAAATACGATTGATTTGGCACCCTGTATAATCCTGCCCATTTCTGGCAAACAACGTTCTTGCTCTTTTTACTCTTAACCGTTGCCGTCACACAATAACAATACCAGTCATAAAAGATAATAAATATCAAACAAGTCACGTAAAAAATGCTCATCAGTAACAGAAAAATTAATTTCGTACTTACCACTCCACCATTCCAGAGCATTTATATAATTATTATTATTAACGGTATTAAATCTGCTTTTCCTGTTTTGTCTGATTTTTTGTTGACTTATGTGTTGCTTGTGTGCTACCTATGATAAAATCTTAGCTTTAAAGAAACGTAAGGGCTACAGAAGTTCCAGATGCGATAGCGCAGAACTCGGAGCTCCCATTTAGCATGTATGACGAACCCCGAAGCGAAGCCATGTACTACTATTCAACATACGTTGTGCTAAACGTGCCCATCAGACATTTACGTAACACAATTTTAACAACAGATTTACCCTTGCACGCACACATAACAGCCATGAGCAGATTCATAGAAATTTGCACGTGGATCATCATCAGTGAGCAGCTCAATTCCGTAACTCCGTTTCGTTCTTGCGTCTAATTCGCACTTGATGTTCATCACTATCATTGACTCTTTTACTGTGTACTATAGACATTAGGTGCCGTCAATGGTTGCTGAAGATATCTCGTATATCGCGCAACGCTTGCAGAATGTGACCGGCAAATCTTACCGAGTTCTAAAAATCCAAAGTTTAAAAACAGGTTATAAACGGATATGACAACCGAAGCGTACTATATACCAGTGAGTCTGAGTTAACGCTGAGCGGCAGTACTGAACGTAAGAGCAGAAGCATTTTTTATGTTGATGAAGAGGGGAATCTCTGTCACGTCATCATGAAGCTATTAGGACTGAAAAAGGTTTCTTATCTTTTCTATTATAAGGAGTGCCTCTATCAAGATGAGGATCTAATATACAGAGTTGAATAACACTCATCAATAACTTACCGTATCCGGAGAACACCTCCGGCTGCTAACATGGAAGAAGAAATCACCTCCTCCGACAAGCATGTAACTTACCCCGTAGCCGTCTTTTGCTACGGGACCAAACCCCCCACCTATACGCGCCGATGAAAAGATTAAAGCATAAAAATCAAGAACAATGCTTTAAAATGCAATAAGGGCATCGAGGCGCTGGATAAAATTCGAATTACGCACCATGGAATCGTTGAGGCAGATTAGACATCCCACAATTTATATAAAATAAATATGTTATTTACTATGGTACAGTAGCTAGTAAGCTGCTAATGAGATAGGTAAATGGGCTGAGCTTCAACGTTTATTCGAAGAACACGAAAACATGTTTTTAGGCCTTGAGATCAATAATCTATCGTTGTTCCTTTCTTTTGTAATCTGTTCTTTGTACATATTCAGGAGCTCACTTAATTCTCTAGCATATGCATGCACAGTTCGGGACGCTCAAACTAATAAAGAAATTAGAACGATATGACCCTTGTAATTTTAGAAAGCACACAAGAAGCTTGTCTCGCAATAACTGATGCAAAAGCATTTAAATACGAACCGGCGGTGATAAACTCTGGCTGTGAGTCAAAGTTCCAATACCCGGACTGGTTGCACGACGTTTGCGAAGTAGAAAGTCTCCAGGACTCAGCAAGGACCTCTCGAAGGAATGGAGACTCCAGTTCGAGATATTTCGAGGTGAGGTAAAGGCAGAATAAATGTCGATCAATTCCCTCGCCCCGCATAGCTCGTTGGTATGCTCTGGAGACAAATTCAACAAAAAAGCGAGTCGGTTTCATTGAGATGGCGCAAAAAATAGATTTCGACAAAATATTAGTATCGAAGAAAAATTTTTATCTGTTCCTGAGTTTTCGATAAAAGAGTGAGAGACTGTCGTTGTTGAGATAAAACAGTTCCACACGTACCGTACGTGCTCCTCGCAGGCTACCCTGAGAATAGCTCGCTTTTCCTCATTGCACACATTTCGATTGTTCATACACCGTACAAAATCACACGACCATCGATTAACGGGGCGCACCGTCTCAGTTCGTCCTTCACGAAATAGACGAGTCATCGCAGCTTCGTATGTTAGGCAAAATTTGCCTATCCAAACGCCCAACGAAGGGAAATACAGAGCTGTTAGCCAAAGTAGATAATGTGCGACAGCAAGTTGAAGGCGTCTGCACGAAAAATATAAAAATACTTTTGAGACTTAAAAAAAATTTGAAAGGAACCACAAATCGCAATTAGTTGAAAAACAAGTCATTTTGTATTTTGGGTACTAAATCACTGAAATGATGTTCCGGTCGGTTACGACCAAAGGCAATTACCGACCGGCAGCAACTTTTCACTAGTCACCTTTGTCCCGGAAATGTGCCAACTGAATTGCCATTTGTAGGTAGGCATCTGGTGAAAGATTTTGTTGTTTGATGAATGTCTTTCCATAATCCTGAAATCGGACGAGGTAAAGGTCTAGGTCCTCCAACAGAGATTTCGCCTAAAAAGGAATACATCGTAAAAAATTATAGCCATCGAACAACTAGGTTAACTTAGACTACACTACCGAATGGTACAGAACATAGTGAATTTTCGGAAAGGATATTGTGAAGGTTCGTTCACAACAAATACGATACAAAATCATGTCAACTGACGAAAAGTATGGATGATTCTTATAACAGACCTTTGTGACACTTAGCTGCATCTGGTTTACGCAGGCTGACGTGATGTGGAAACGCAATCTCTCCGGAGGGGCGACTGTTGTTTTCTGAACGGGTTTAAAAACGCGAGATGCCAATAGAAAAATTTAAATATTCTGTCTAACGTAAAACTGCAATGGTAACTTCAGTAGGCAAAGAAAATGTAATCCAAAGTCGATCTATCAACTTGTAGCTAGTTTTATTCTAACAAAGGGGCATTTATCAAACTTAGAGATCTTGCAGCTAGTACAAATATTCCGCAGTTCGGTGTTATTGATCATTCATACCACCATTTCCAAAGGAAATTACGTAAATATGTGCACGCTAAATGCCCGTCCTTTGGGCATTTGACCTTGTTGGCAATTTGACCCTTCGAAATTTGCGAAATGGCGAGAATGTTGTTATTACCATAAAAATTATAGATAAGCACCGCGCACCTTTGCTGTGACGACGTAGTTCATAGTATTTCCCTCATCGTCATACTTTAATAAACATCGATCCTGAAATAGTGGCATAAATCCATGTGTATGTCAGAGTAATATAACAGTGAATAACCAAAAAAACACGAGGTTTCTATATGGAAAACTGAGGTTGCTCCGTTAGTCATAAGCATAAAAAACAGATGTGTGCTCATATCGAGCTGAAGGATCGCTATTGAAGTTGTTTTTCTCAGCTAAGCAATACGATTTTTTACGAGAAGACATTACTTACACTATGCATCACAGTCTCCCATAAATGGCCCATAACGGGAGCATCGGCCCACGAATGCTCCGCGTTGAATCCTCCTTTTCCATTGGCACCAACTATCAAATTGAATGATTTATCGAACCTGAAATAAATGGTGCAATGTACCTTACTGTTTTCTCACCTACCTATACATTTAGGGAAGTCATTCATTTAAACAAAATAAATTTATTCACGAACAGTCGCTGTAAGCAGTCATTAATAGCTTGTTGTCAAATCAACACACGTTTCCTAGATTTCTCTTGCAGAATAACCGACATAGAATGTATTATCACTATGGATTATTTCGTATGATACGTTGAATGAGTTGTGAAAAATTAATTATAAGCAGTAAAAATTGAAATCGGTGGACTCTATTGGGACACTTATGTTATTATGTATGGCCCCGCTTATATTTCGTATCCGACGACGTCATCTTGGTTTGAAATGGTTATTTTTTTATTCAAACAGTATTTTCGCTACTAACGACAGATACTTAGAATAATTTTTCTCTGGCCTATTTGTAACCATAGCAACATGGACATATAGAAGATTTTTGGGATACTATACGGAGAATCTTAATCGCAATTCTGAATATCACTAAATTGACGAGACTCTTAACATTTACACCGCTGTGATGTAATGATAAAATATATTTTTAAATAGGCTGCTAAATTTTGTTTATATAAACTTATATATGAGGAAAACCTTCAAACACTGTACTAAATGATCTCATATATATATATATATATATATATATGTATACTTTTTCGACAATTTGTGTTAGCTTAATTGTCTTTGTTTACATAGGTTGTGCTGTCCTCCCACATTTTTCGGTACACTGGGTTATATATACTGCTCGTATAATTCAATTTTGCTTAATAATAAGGCAACAAAAAGCATCCGGATGCAACTGGCTTACCAGCGATTATATCCGTTTCCATGTAATAGACTTTTGGCGTATCGGTTAAGTTTTTCGGGCTCCGAGGGGTCATATTCGTACTCCTCTTCATCCAAGGCAACTACAAATGCCGACGATTCAATTGCATCAAGTGATACTCTGTGAGGGCATGAAATACAATACGCAACACCAACAAAGAACAAGTATTAAAGGCTCAAAAAATTCAATGTGATTGAATGAATTGACAACAGATGCTTCAACGTACCTGTTGAGTCCTGATCGGAAACAATTGGCGCGTGTTTCCGCCCATATCCGGCGCTCTCCGGCAGTTAACGATGCCAGATACTTTTCGTCTTCAGCTTCACTAGGGTCACACAATATTCTGTAATAATAAATCGATAAATTCAGAAATTTCCAACATCAAAAAAGGTTCACTGTTATAAGCATGTGTTGCTCAGACGATTCGCCCAGGCATCACGAATCTCGCTATCGACCCTGTTTAACTGAATTTACTAAGTACCTTGCAGATTAACAAAATCAATTGTGTACCCTTGATTGTGCGGTGAAAATTCTGATATTGAAATGTGTAGGTCTAGTTTGGGTCTAAACACAACACAGCTGTTACGTAATAAGAGCCTAAATGTTTGACTCTAGACTCAGCGTATATGATCTGATTATTACCTTTCGAACTGTATCTGAAGTTCGGCAGACGAAAGCAGCTTAGCATTGTGATGCGTAAGAACCTTATAAAAACGACCGCGATGCATGACACATATGTGGGTCGAGTCGACCAAATGCTGAAGTCTGAAAGCGATTGTAGACACCTTTTAGAAGTCCGATCATTTGAAATCTGCATTAATTTTAATATTCAGCACATAAAAACTTCGTAGAGCTACATAAGGTGATGCATTTTGCATGCTAATGCTAATACATATCTATACTGGATTGGCAGTGGGGTAAGATCAATAGTAATGATAGTACCAGTGATTATTATTAATAATACACGAACCGGTCTGTCTCGAACCCAGGTATCCTTGTAGTATTGAACATTCGTTCATATTGGTGACTGCACAAGGGTACCAAGCCATTCATCATGATAGGCTGAAGCAATTGTACGTCAATGGCTCGACGGAAGATCAGCGCTGCGTGCGTCTGTAAAAATCGCATTTACGCATAGAGTAGACGCTATTACAGATTCTCTGTAGAACATAAGTCGGAACTGCAACTGCGTTTCATTAGCCTAATTTGTCGAGTGCGTACATTCAAATATCCAGATGCCCAATTAGAATAGTTTGTTAGAATTTTTTTGAAAGAGAGAAGTTTTTAGAGTGCTACAATGTGATATGCATATTTTAAGAAGGTTACCTCTTACCAGGTTTGCAGCTCTTGCGGCCTGATTTTTAGTGACGGACGCCAGAAGAGGATCCAGACAATAAAAATTTGAGTACGTCTGCAAGCATCATCGATAAGAAACAAAGAAATATGGCAAACAAATTTCAATATTAATGTACCTACGCTTACATAAATACGGTGTCTTGAGACAAAGAAAAGGTGATGAAGAAAAACGACTGTGATTACTCTAAATGCCCGCTTCTTTTGTTGGGTGGGCTTTAGTCCTGTAATAGGAACTCACCATGAGTGGTCCTCGACCCCGAAGGTAGACGAACTCTTCCCACCAGTCAGACACATAATTTGAAGCCCACCATGACTTAAGGTACAGGTACCTACATCAGTAATAACACAAAAGACATTCACAAGTCGATTTAATTAATAAGCAGGAGTTAGCGATGCGAGGCGTATTCATGTAGTGAATTCGAAATTAACCTTTTTCTATATCCAAAACCCATGAAGATGCACAGCGGGAGAAATTTGACTTGTCGCATTGCCAAGTATATGAATTAGAGAATCATGAAAGTAACACAGCATCACCTCAACGTTGACTAACTAATCGTTATGCCTTGATTTGAAGTTGGTACTATGACACGCACACACAGATTTATTTTTAGTACCAGCATAGATGTGGTCCGACCAACCTTTGCAATTTTGGTGCCACAGTATTCTTAAATTCCTCCGCTAATTTCTCAAGCCGTTGGTATTCTTCCACCGTTACTAATGGTTCCACCGATGCTAAATACCTGCAATTCAAATTTTACTATCAGAGTCGTACATTACACGGGTAAAAATAGAACGTATGCCAATGCTGGCTGATATCCATGTATATCCAATATGTAAATTCAGAAAAGATTACATGTTCATGTTTCAGGATGTACCTGGCCATGGTGTCCTGCACCCGTGGCACGGGCAGCTTAGGAAGGCAACCCTGATACGAAAACAGGCGTGGAGAAGACCCCGACAATAACTTTACACCAATAGTCCATAATCGTGTTGCTAGCGATACTTGCGCCCCTGTAAAGGATGATGTGCAAACCGTTAATACGTTATTAGTAACGAATTAAATACTTGGTTGACTGTGTCTATCTCGTACACATTTATTTATCATCATTTCTGTGACACATGTACAGCTTTCTATTAAAAACAGGTGCTGGCTAATATACACTTTGCTAATAATAGTGAATATTTCTAGTGATATAAATTCTACAACTGCGGCTAAGGTCCACTATGACTGAAATAGCCTGACCGTCAATGGGGTCCATGTTATATACTTTTCATATATTTAATTAATTGAATGAGCTACACTAAAGTGTCAATATACATCTATATAATATGATATACCTCTTGCTTCAATCATCCATCCTTTGTAACTAAACAGTGTCTTCAGAGCATATTTCCGCAGTCCACTGCACACAAGCCATACGCAGCTACCGTATATCTGAGTGACAACAAAACGACACCCTCTTTCTGTTATTAGAGGGTCACTTATTACCTTGATCAGCCTAATCATTTTTGTCTCTGACGCCTACCAAATACTTAGACAACTGAATCTTTATGGCCAAAGCCTAACTTCTAACGACAAACTTTCATGGACATTTTTGAAAACTAGCGAATGGTATTCTTTTATTTGTATACTCACATTAGACCGGTACATGAGTGACGCCCGTTGCTTTAATAACTAAAAAAACACAACATTTCATCCGAATTATCAATTCACAACATATGAATTGATTATGTAGTCGTCCTATGTTACGGCCTTGTGCTACCTGCCAGCCAATTTTTCTGATCCATTTTATTAGAAGTTTTCAAGTCTAATATCAAAAGCTTTTTTAGCCAGTGCTTAAGGCTATCCCTATTGTCAAATGTATGACTACTAATTTTGTTTAGCAGTGGTCTGATGTTAATCTGAGTAAAAACTGCGAATCCATTGGCGATTCAAGATGCAGGGCAGCTTCAGCGACCTTGGAATTATGCTGGATAATGATGGTTTTATCTTATCTATCCGGTTTTCCCTGTTAAATAGTCTTATTTGCTTGATGCAGCTGGACAATATCCTTGTTGATCGTCTGGCTTTTCTTGAGTATTTCTCTACGTATATGGCGCTATTAACCCCGGCAGACTCAAATACTTGACTTTATACGATGCTCATGGACTTCGAGTAGCTGATCATCCTTTACCAAAGTCATTCTTTGAACGATTTTCACGGCACAAACAACGCAAGCTGCTTCGGCAGCTTTTTAATATCGGCAATCGAATACTATTTAATACGGCAAGATCGAATAAAATGCATATTGAAAACACATTATTTTTCATTTGATACTTGGCCTCGAAAAATACGCGTTAGGCACAATAGTGGGCTTGTAGAGAAGATACAGTTTTGTCGAATGGTGGTGGAAAAATAAAAGCAAAAAAGAAAACTAAAAAATGAAGCCGCTATTACTCAATCACTAACCTAGTACACTGTATGTTATTTATTTAAAAATATTAAAAGCATTCATTCTTGTCATAGGGGCACGGATAAATTTATCGTTGACCATCGGTATTCATAGTTAGGAAGATTATTAGTGTTATTTAATAGTAAAAATCTACTACTATACAAACCAATGTGGCAACAGATCTGCGGAAAGTTCCGCTCCTTGAAGGCACCCCCACGAACTTCGCAATCACCGGGATTGCCCCGAACGACGGATCCATTTGACTCGTCGTCTGAATGCCTGAAAAACAGTTGATATATGTTGACAGCGTGAATTGTTGAGCAGACATACAGGACACATTTGCACCGCATGGTTTCACTACGGAGATTTATTGAAGGGGAAAGGTAATATCATACAAACAAAAGGCACTTTCTACAATAGGCGTAGAAAACAACTTACATTTCAGTAACAGTATGACAGCAACAAGTTTCATAACGTCATGCGCCCTACCATTGATGTAAGTCGGGGCAGTCTCGGAGATCCTATAATGAAGAACATCATATCTCTCGTGCCACGCGTACAATTACGTGGTAATTGGATGCGTGTTTTTATAGTAACGAAGCGTGGGCAATGAATGATATAAGGATACGACTCCCTGTGACTATGTTTCTTTTAAGATACTATGCCATCATTTTTTCGTATTCGCATGTCATTGACGCAGGAGGCAAATGAGTGTCAGACAGCTAAATATCAGCGGAGATGAGACTAAACGTATGCAGTAAAAGAGTAACAGAATTAATTTACTCTTATATGCTTTTGACAGCAGCCGCTAGACTACGGGAAACCTTTAGGTAAGTGTGGTTGACAGCTACCGTTGTCTACTTCTCCAATACATTAAATTGATTCATCGTCCATATCACCGTGTAGCCAAGGGCGGTGAATGAACGTAAATCATGGAAGTTTTCATTTTTCGTAAAGGTGCCAACAACAGCAGCACAAGAGAAAGGGCTACTATTATCCGTCTGCATTAAGGGCTGACATCCTAATAGTTTGTTGCTAAGGTCAAGTTTATAACTTTGTCATACAATATTTAATGTTTATATGATTTTGCGGTCAGTTAAATAAAGAGCCACGCGTTATGCAGGGGAATGAAGAAAAATCGATTATTTTGTAGGTTACATAATAATGGGTCTCTTTTATGCTGAGAGGATTCAACTTTGGACATGGGAACCTCGAGAAGACGGATAAAGTTATTCAAATGGATTGTTAATTTGGTGTAAGTTGGTAGGAAAAAAATCGGTAAATCGCTACAACAGCAGATAGTGGCCCCGTCGGTAGCCTCTTAACCCATATCTGTAGATCCACCTATTGGCCTACGTGTCCCTTTCTTTCTAACTGTGATTAAGTGTGTGTAATGCTAAGTAGCCATTGAAAAACTAATTTATTGTGTTTTGTAAATAAAATTTGACAGCCCACGCATGTTAGCTTGAGATACCACAAGGCAATGGCATCTACGATATCCCAGAGTGACAAATTAGCTGGCTTTCCTACCATGTTAGAAGCGAGCAGTAAGGCGGTACGGTAGGTATGCAGGTAGAAACTAACTTTTCTTTCCACTATATGTCATATAGACTGCTAAACAAGCTCTGCATAAGTTCACAGAAAAAGGTCAAAACCATCAATCATATTACCCACAACTAATTAATTAAGACTGCGAAAAATAAGGATTAATATCAGCTTTTGGCAGACCTTTAGACAAAGGTAATGGTTACGATTTAACCTGTATTTATCCGCAACGAAGTGAATCACGCTAGTACCAACGTTATGAACGAACAAACTGTCGTTATCATCGACAAGGAAGAAAGTATAGTTTGTATATAAGAGAGAAAAAGCTGATGATTTCTCAAAAAAACCATTTCGTTTTACCGAATTGCCTTCTTGACTGCTCCCTTTATTTGGAAGGCATGCTTTCCTATATCTAACGTATAACTGGACATAATGAAAGGATAAACTGTTGGTATTATCTACTTGATTAGGTGTGATACATGATTCGCGAGAATGTGTCTGACTTACTGCGAAATGTAATGTCAATATATGGTAACACTTACCCGTGAGTATGGCAAGAATGACCCATAGCGAGGAGGCAGTCTGAGGGTAAAATCCATTTCGGACGTTATTCGCAAACCGAAAGAATCGTTTCTTCCACGAACGCACTCCCGATCGCCAGACGATTGCCAGTAACTATGAAAGAAAAATATTGTTATTGTTGAAGCATCCAACGAAGATCAGTTCTTCGAACGTAATTAAATAGGAAAAAGTGTTATATCTGAACTAATATAAGGCATCATTATAGCTTTGTACATAACTTACCTTATTATGGAAACGAGTTTTTTTTTTAACTTTCCTTGAGATAAGATGCTATCATGAACTGAACTTGTAAGAACCTTGTAACAAAATCACAGCCCTTCGCTATATATTTTTCATACACATTATTTTTTGCATGATGGATTAAGGCGTTAACTGTGGATAAATCAATCGAGGAAAAATAGAAAAATTTTATATACCTTTTTATACTTAAAGTTGTACCTACAGGGGACATAATTCTTTCTATTCCTTAGATACTTGAGTGATATGTCTGCTAAGCAGTCACCGATATTAATTGACTAGGGCCTTTAATTAATATAATTAACTAGAGCCCCGTACATTACGTAAATCAGTCAAGAACTTCGGCGAAATCCACAGAAGCTATACGCAGCTATATCATCTTCATGGTTTAAGGATTTTAACAATAAGTTTTCCCGTAGTATCGCTACCTATGTAAAATACTCAAGGCTTTCATATCTGAGTTCGTCATCTCATCGGCGATGGCATGTCATGTGCATTTGGCCTTAAGCGTCAACGTAAATAGACCATACGGTTAGTGAACGCCTCTCGACACGGCGGATGACCAAGTACATATCCTTATCGAAACGACGGCAACTAGTGCGACTGATATCAGAGCAAATACTCACAAAGAGCACGAGACGCTTGGCAAAAATTTTGTTTACTTAGAAGATGAAACAAAACCTCTCCATAGTTGCATTGGGATCTACAAAAATTATCAAGGTAGCGTTGGCCTTTATCGTTCATGTTAATACAATTTGTATACACAATATTTATGTAGAGGACCGAAAACGATGAAATAAACAAAAATTATTCACTTGTGTGTTTACTCTTTGTTGAATATCAGGTTAGCTGAAGATTCGATAAGCAATATTTGACCGTTACAGAAACAACGCTAGATATTCAAACACCGTTAACAATATCCTATCGTCTTTAAGAGGGGCAGAACTACTAACTATAATGTTTACTTATTCAAACGAATACATTTTCGAAGTTCGTCATTGGCCGAACGGTAGGCAAGATTCGTATTGCGAATGAGATTTGGTTCATTAGACCTGAACCGTAGGTAGTGGCATTGGCGGCAAAAGGTTGTTGATACGACATGAAATCACAATTTTACTGTGATAACAATAAGATCTGCTTGCGGTATTCGCCAGTAAAAGACTCTTCCCTGCGACTGTCACGCACATGGGTCTCATACACGAGCAGACGGGTTAGAATGTTCTTAGATGTGCAGCTTTACTTATTCAGCGAATACGGAAGCAAATATGCGCTTTGGCACATTTGCAGCCCATTTCTGCAATGAGCTAACAAAGTTTAGGGTCGCGTGGAAAGAAACTAAATTTAAATTGTTCCATTTTATTCGCAGCAATTCATTTATAAATAGCCTTACTGATCCTTTCGCTACCCGAACACTGTAAACCTCGTCAAATTCACTCACTTGTCCACTCCGCACTAGCCAGAAAGGGTATATATTAGAACATTATGTTCCGTTCGCTCTTCTCATACGGAACGAAGTTCCCCTTCTATCAAGTTTTCATTGGCGACAGCTTCAAATTGGACCACGATCGAACTTACCTCTCTGTTGTAGTTGATGTTGACTCCTCGGTGCGTTATCGAGAAGCTAAACGCTACCGCCGAGTGAGCTTCAGCCATCTTGAGCGATGTACAGCGGTAGGTCGACTAATAACGGCAGCACAAATGGCCACTGTAAGGCGAAACGTCACGTTCAAATTGAATATAACAAACCACAAAGGCACGATTTAAAAAATATAACGATCAATAGCGATAAGGATGGCCACAACGGAAGGGCCCGAGTTGGAGCTCTCTAGAGAAGACCGATTACAGGATCGATAAACCATTCTATCTGCCCACTAACCTTTTGCAAGGCAGCAAAAGATAATAATCAAAGCTACAGCGACGCCGACTGCAACAACATCACAAGGCAAGATGACTATAGCTGTTTTAATTATCAGTGTAATAGGATCCAGCCTCAGAAAGCGAGTTGGTCCTGTGGCATGAACTCGAAAAAATTACCCTTTATATATTTTTGACTTGTGAAGCGCGTTTAAAGATGTCGCCATGTTCGTAAGGCTGTATGCTAAGAAGTAGATGCTCCTTCACCATGACTACACAGTATGTGACGCACAGAGTGAAATAAAGGCACCAGGACATTTGCGCGAACTTGAACTTTCGCAGTGAAGGAAATAAGTATTCTATGTGTGTAATTGGCACTTATGCGCGAAATATGTTAAATGGTAGCTATAGTAGATAAGGCGGAGTCTTCCTATCAATAGAGAAGGCTTGTTACAATGCAGTAAAGCTGCCACCGCTCCGTTTTAGGTGGACGATCCATTCCACCAAAACGGTGCATTGAACAAGTTTAGTACAGAATTATGTATTTGCACTACCCCTATCGTAAACATTGAGATTCATCGTGCAATGTCCATGCGTTTGTTGTTTGTCTGTTACAACAATCCACCCAATCAAGTTGGCATAAATACCTCAACTCGCAAAACCTGCAGCGAAAAAATTGAACTTTTTGAATGAATAAATTACGTCCATACCTACAGTGAGCATTACGTTCGTTACCCTAAAGCTAGTTTCTTATTTATTGCTCTAAAGATGGATTAGTTCAATAATGAAAGACTGAATAAAATAATTATTTACTTGTAAGTGGTTGGAAAAAACCGTTATGAACTTGAAGGATGGTAATTCTTGTTGGGATATGTGATGTATAATAACAAACTATACTATAACGATTAGATTGGGACAAGTTCAGTGGTTATTAACGAAGGCTGCATCGAAATCGACTGGGATTCGATCGACACCTGGATAAATTGGTAAGATCCTCGTAGGCAAACAATTATTACCAGATATCGCATATGCGGTCCTTCGATGGAAATTCTACTGTTGAAAATTAGTCAAAAGCGAGATTTGCCTGGAACAAGTGTAAGCTTACGCAGATTCAACGTTGAGCTCACGCATTGTCAGCTGCGACCAGCATCTGGTTTACTTCGAATGTCAAGGAAAGATCTCAAACTTACTGTATTAGTAAATGCGTCCTTCTAGTGACGTACCAGAATCGCGTTTGCCTATAGAGTAGGGGAGCGTGAAGGATTACCACAACCTTACTAACAATAAGCTTGGAAAAAACGCTGTACAGGATAAAATCGAGCTAGATGGTAGAAAAAGTGTTTTAAAAGGAACACCCTTTAGAGATGATTCAACCCTTTACCTGTCAATGGGGTTTTAGGCGGAAGCATCGCGTGCTTCCTGTTTGTTTGCCTCATCCAAGGATATCGAATGTAGCATTACTACGTTGGTTATTGTAGAGCTATGAGACATAACTTAGTCTTATTCTTTCTGTCCAGCTTTCTGGTTGCGAACGCTGGATGTCGCTTCGAATCTGTGTCACCTAATTCGAATTGTGACACTTTCGTTAACTTTATATAACAAATCTCAATTGAATACTTCTGTTGATTTGACCTCTCCCTAGTTCTATTATGTGAAATAGTATTTTATATTTTGTGTACAAATTGGAATCTTTCAAGCACGCTTACAATAGGCAACAATACCTATAGCGTAATAGGAAATCTATTTCGACTGTATCGCGAACAGAGAGTGAACTGAAATTTACCCTATCAAACGTAATTATACGGGAAGCTGAAATTTCGGATTTAAATAAATTAGGAAGATTAAGGCATTCACACAGGAAATTGGCAATTAGTTCACTATGCTACCTTTTTCTGCAATCGCCTCGACAACAAATAAAAATTCTGAACTTACTATTGCAGCGGAAGTTTCTACAGTTAATGTCTTTCGTTGTTAAATATTGTCCTCTTTTGGGTAAAGGCTTACCAGTAATTAAAAATGTAAGGGGTGTACCACTTTAGTTAAAGTAGTAAAAACTTCCAATGTGCTTGGAGGAACTTATCCTTAAAAGATCAGATGACATTTATTTCTATTCTAATGGCTTTATTATTTTATAAAGATTTGAAATTTAAACTCTTTCGAATTTTCCAAACTTTTATGTTATCTCATTCCATGGTTGCACCTAATAAAAAAAACTCAGTTATCCCGCTTTGATCTGCTCACCATCCCTAAAGTTGTTTGACATCTAATGGACCTTTAGACTAGCTTGTTAGCTCTGTACTAGTTCTGAGGATGTACTTTCATAGAATTAGCGTTATAATTAAACTAATTTGATGAAATGAAAAAAACTCGTTAGAATTATGCCAAATCCACTATACTTACGCCAGCTAAATGCATCAAGTTATTCGGATACCTTACTGTTGAACCGTATTCGTATTTAGTCCACGTATGTTATTGCTGAGCTCACTTGAATAAATTATACTACTAAGCTCTCAAGGGATAATGTTAGCAACGCACGCTAAGTTCTGAGGAGCTTGAATATACATAACCAGATCGAACCAAGGACCGCAATCAGTAACTTAAAATAAGCATTGCGGAACATAAAGGTTCAACGTTCCCAAATTAATAAAAAAGCTATCAGTTAATCTTAAGCTTTCCATTGCCGAACAAATCTTAGCAAGCATTTCGTCAATCAATATGGAATAGCTTACCTCTGACAACTTACTTCATTAAAAGCCTCACTATCATTTCTTCTACTACTCGCCACAAATGTAATGTCTCCTCCTCAAAACACGTGCAACCAAAAGCACACGTCTTCTTTCTAATTAAAATCTGTAAAATCTTAACGAATTAATCTTTTCCCGCTAAGCGACGTTTGACTAATATGACAAATGAGCGTGGCAATCCGACAATCCTTACCAACTCCGTCCGTTTTTAGTGTTTTTACCCGACCTTCTGTGGTGATCAATACTGTCTCTAGTTAGGGGAGTGATACTATCAACGCAGCAATAATAGTAGTCGTAGTAGTACAACCACACTGCCGCATAAACAACGTTCAGCGGAATGATAGATTTTGCAAACAGAGTCGCGGCCGCCAAAGTCCTACGAGACGGAGTCTTGAAACGTTATTAACTGATAAGCAAATCGTTGCAGTACGGTACGAGAAACAGGTATTTACTATACGCTACTGCAGAGGGAGAGTGCGCAAAGAGAATTCATAGTTAGGAAAAGATCTGGGGGAAGATCGTGTTGTTTGTTACACTTCGCCTTCCACTGTTGCAGTTATAAGCGCGTTAGGCTAAAAAGGCTAACTACAATTACCCGCCACTTGGGGTTCAGCCCGATGCTGCTACTGACCGCCGGCACGGCTGTAAAATGATATCATGACGACCGCTAACGCTGCGGCCGCTGCCAATTAGTATAGCTTCCAGAGGCCATTTCCGAGGAGTCGACTCCTCGATGGAATCAAGTCAGACGTCGCGACGACGATCCGATAAACTGTTCACCGTAGCTTTCATCTCCGCCGTGGCTGCCGCTGCCAAACATTACGGCACTCAATGATGGGAAGTCATCGGAGCTCTGTGTTACGCTGGCACAATGTGATGTGAGCGTCGGCTTTGTTCGATCCGCCTGTAACACGTACGTTCTAGCAATTCGTTTGGCGTTTACAACAGACCAACAAAATGAAACAAGCGCAGTGCGGATAATCACAAGCAATAGAAACATAAACGATAAGAAACTGCCACGGAAACGGCTCAGTTCGTAAATGACTTGTTATTGTAATATAAGATGCTCGTAGCTTAAATGGCTGCGTAGTGAGATGGTGGTGGATGATGGATCAGAGAGAAAGATGTTGTTAGACATATACGTTGTTTGCTCACAGCGCGATTGAACCGTTGTAAACTGACATATGAACACAAATGAAGAACGACAAACACGTTTGGTTGGCAATGTTAACTGTTTGATTTCAGATTAATAATAACATAATAATTACAATAGCTTCGCATATAAGCACATAGGTAGGAAAATGTCACGTGACCGCTCTGATGAGCTAGAATGTTCTGAGCACTACATCCGGCACTACCACTGGGAATAGTTTCAGACAATCGACTTCTTTCAACAGAAGCAGAATGTACTCTGCTCCGTCTCAGACCAAGCCACCTTCCATGCTCCTCTGGTTAGTGGGCAACCAATGCCTACTACATCATCACGGGGTCTGATTTGAAAGGTCACACGTATTTCTGAGTATTCGATACCGCCTCAAAGTAGGAAACAGGATTATGCCAATGAAACGTGCCTCGTTTCAAGGGAACGCCTAGCGACTAGCTTTGCGGTATTTACCGCTTGTCTTCTTTCGTTCTTAAGTAACCAAACGATCCTATCGTACATTTATGCCCTTCGGACACATTACAACTAGTAAAACTGCCCCATGTAAAAGTCAACGTGCGCGACGACGGACGCAAACATTGTGCCGTCTCTCTCTTAATAGAATTCAGCACTAATTATTGCTTACCCTAATACGATCCAGACACGACTTAATATCTTGCGTTTATATCCTACATGATTCACTGAATATAAATACATGAATAAAATATTCACTGAACGAACGTTTCAAGAAAGGAAAAAGATACATCGCATTTAGCTGGTGTACGCTTTGTCACGGGTGACTATGCTTCTGATTTTTGTGCGGTGCGTATTATTTTCGCACGCGAAAAGACTTCCCTGTTTATCTACCAACTGTATCCGGCGGAAAACTACAGCATATCCGGAAAATAGTTGCTTAGTCACAAGAAGTTCACCTTTTCGCACTGCTTAAATGCAATATTGCTCATGCGCTCTCTGGTAATGCTGTGTATTAGCGTAAAGATTTGAAAATCGATTCTTAATGAAACAAGACTTAATCATCTAGGAGCATCATAAGAACACACTTTGAAATGGAGTGTCGAATATGCTTGTCTCATTATGCGGCCGATTAGGAACATCGATAGACCTAGATTTTCGGGTACTGCAATAATAGACCGCAATTACCACCTTATTATTACGGGGTAAGCAGTACCGCCGGAGATTGTGTCTCCGATTCTAATCTGGTTGAGCACATGCAAAATAATGCGATTTTGAACTTGCGAATTCAGAGAAAAACAATGATTATTCTTTTCATACCATAATTAGCGTATCCTTACATGCATTTATGAGCCGCTCATTAGTGAAGATAACGCTAAGCTCGGAAAGATATTAAAAGAGTGAGCACAATTACCCCTGCCTAGTTCACCTTAAAGCATAATGTTTTTAGCTAGTTACATTTAAGGCTAGTTTCTGTAATTTATACTTCTTTGAAATTTGAAAGAACACATTTATTATTATTGCGGCTTCGTTTGTACACCTTTCTGGCTTTTCTATATATATCCTTAGAGCTTCTAGACAGCTTGAGCACACTATTTGAGGTATCTTTTCAGTACGGCTTCTCTCACGGAGGCACAACCGCAGACATTTTTGGTATTTTTCGCTGGAAATTATTTTTTTATAGCACTCAAACCCAGTTGGTACACTCAGACATACGTTTTAATGTTCGTACGGCGTGAAAGACAATAGTGGGTCTAACGATGAATATTTATTAGACGAATGCTATCTACCAAATAGGGCGTATTGACAGCATCACGTTTGACTACAAGAACAAATAAACAGCCACTTTGTCGACGCTCACTATGCTATCTGACCTTATATTAAATTGGTAGTAACAATAATACACAACACGATAGGTACACTCCACCATTTACCTCTGGCCTAATCAATCGTACAATGAAGGGGGGGCTTGCTTGTCACAGGCTGCAGTAAGATTTTGCCGTCTTTCTTCAATGGATTCATGTTGAGATTTCTCTCGATTTGAAAGGACAACCAGGTTCGGTGGGAGACTGTGCGTTTACGTTTGTTGGTTATGAAGTTACGACGTTCCGTTGCTGTTGTTGTTATCGCGGATAAATCGTGTGTCCCGTAGCGAGTTCACTTGTGGGGCGTCTTTGGGCACAAGCAACGGCTGGAGCACAGCAGAAGGGGGTCCAAGAACCGCAATGCCCAAAAAGTTGATAACGCCAGCTGAGTTGCAACGACATTGAAATATCGCAACCACCAAGACAGTTGAGATCGGGTGACGTTTTTTTTACCGTGGCGATTATTACGGTGATGTAGGTTTTATTAGCGGCAGCAAAGCCAACAGTCGCAGAAGGCTTAGTGACGATGAAGGATCCCCCGTGCAGATGATTTCCTCGGAGAATGTGCTGGATTTGCGTTTTGTTGCTCTTGTGATTCCTGCAGTTCCAGTTGTTGTTGCTGCTGCTGCTAACTTTATAACAATTATAGGTAAAAGTAATGTCACAGCAGCTAACGGTTTTGTTGGTTACGTTCTTGGCAGCTGAAATAACAGTAACAACAATTGCACCGCCACCACGAGCCGGAACTGGCACACTCACAACGGATACATGTGAGAGATGTCACGCAATTCTAACTTGAACATGTACCTATCTGGCCGCTTGCGTTCACCTTGTTTTTGTCTGACATATGTATATATATAGATGACTTACGAGCACGCCCTTGTAAACTCCTGTGTCAGTAAAATCAGAAAAAACGCCTACGAAAAACGATGGGACGAACGCAGCCAACTTTGGGTCGATCCGTGTATCTGGCATGATTGGGCGGACATAGCTGCAACCACATGTTTACTAAAAAATAGACAGCATGATGATCAGGATAATACCGGAGGCAAGATAGGTACGTTAGTGATAACAGGGCATTTCTTCTCGTCGTCTTCGTTGTGCTGAACTGATAGAGCGCGTAACTTTTATAAGACAACAGTCATACGCACACACATGTCACACACAAAAATAATTAATGTTCCCAAATATAGATATCACTCTGATACAACTATCGGCACCATTGTTATCTGAGCTCGCTCTGCCAACGACAGAAATTGGATTTTGAAGATACGATAATACGCTATTCCATTTCTATGAAAACTGCTCACAATACTCACACTCACTCTTCACTGGGATGAATACTCCACGACGCTTGGCATTCACAATGACACACACTTATAACAACTAGTCGACCATATTATTGCACACTACTGATATGCACACACAGAGAGAAAGGACAGATTTCGGCGCGTACACATAATAAAACCGAGTATGCCTGGGGCGTTTCCTTCATTTATTTCTCGGCCCATAAAAGCGACAACAACAACAACGACATCACGGGGTCTCAATAACTGCCAATGATATTGCTTTCCCCTTTACAGTTCGCAGCACATAACCGAAGTACCACAAATAACTAGCCACGTTCTGGCGTCCACGGCTGGCGGCATCTACAAAACAGAGCTATCACAGCAACCGGTTGGTTTTGTCACAGTTGCACCGGGGCTGCAGTTGTTTTACAGTTGACGTGCAACGGCCATGATAATGCAAGCTTATATTATATCACATTAATACGACAACGGCGAATACCTGTAGACACAACGTCTTACGTCGGTTCTGTCATCTCCTGAGACACTTTGTTGTAAACCTTTCTACACGCATGCTGCTGGGTCGCCAACGATAGAGAGGGAGAGCTATTAACTGTGCGTCATACGGCGACAAGTAAACCCAACAAGAAGCCAACACAGCTGTACAGCTTCCTCAAATCAGCTGACTAATAGCGAGACCAGTAGGAGACTGCGGCGATTCCCAGCACAGCCGATACATGATACTCAATAGCGATAGCATCAGCTTCTTGGTCCCACAGCCTTCGCATCACCCTGTCAGCCAAGGGCCCGATCTAGTACTAGCCGTACCTTCTTCTGCTTGCTATCTTCGGTGTGTTACGACTAGGGTTGCAGACGGTAAACAATAAGAGCAGCATCAGCGACTGGAACAGGTGATGGTTGTGAAAGAGGGCGCGGAAGGTGAAAGGGACAACCAACGAACAAACGGACGATGTTGGGGCAGAAAATTGCAAAGCAACAAAACGTTAGACAAAGCTGGCAGTGGCCTGTTTAGCAACTATAGATGGCAATAGGTAAAGGCAGACAATGAGTGAAGATGTAGTGAGGCGAAGAGGTTCGGTCACCCTCGACAACACTCTACCACTATTGAACAAACAGTTAGTACGGTACCAGCGGTGATGGCGGGACATGCTAGTTGACAGATAGTAGCACTAATACAGAGTGATGTAGGTGGCGTCGTAACGCACACATACATACACAGAGCAGTAGCAACGGTAGATCACAAGTCTGCGTATAGGAGACACTCTTCCTGACAGCCTGTTAAGGGCAGAACGGCTAGAATTCATAATACCAAGCTAGAATATGAGAGAGAGGGCGCTAGTAATAATGGGTGAGGGGTTCAATTATACCGAGCTGGCGGCTGTGATAGCCAACACCAAACCGAAACCACTCCGAAGTACAATAACAAGTGAGACAGATAAGTAAACAATGGAACAGGGTTATGCGCGAGTGCTGACGCTGAATGGCGGACCGCCTGATTTCAAAATGAAGACGATGGAACGGATTTTGTGGCGATATGATCGGTACGACAATCAAGGCATATACATGAATGTCTGAGGACAGTTGACAACTAAGAAAAACATTGAACGAGTTAAATGCATCTTGTAGTCTAACGCTGGTCAGCTAAGTTTAAGTAAGCAGTTACGCTAGAGAAACTTCTTCGGGTCGTAGACACTTTGCACCTAATTATAATAAATGAGCTTCGCTCCAACCAACCTTCAATATTAAATTTAAGGCTAATTCAATTTATTTGATGTACGAATAACTGGTTAGTTTTTTGCTTGCAGAGCGATATTTCATATCAGAAGCGGCAAAGTTTAAACGCTCGTTCGATTAAACAGGAATCCTCAGAAATATGTGTCCCAACTTCGTTGACTGTATCGTCCAACCTATTGGCTAGTCTTATCAATGCAAAATAGTCTCCAGAAATGCTCATTCCGATTTGTCTAAGACAAAATACAGAACTAACGCAGAAAGTTGACTAGAAGTATTGGTTGAACAACATTGGAGAGAATCGAAGCTTAAATGACCTAGATCATTTTCGGTCATTTAAAACTACCCTAGTCGGTCCTACTCAACATCTTACGAAATTACCTGCTAGGATGTTTTACTAACTGTATAAGACCGGTAATTGCTGATCGAATGGGATCGGTCTAACAGAGAACGACCATGCAAAATATTACTAATAATAATTTAAATTATAGATTTAAATTATGTAATTAAGCAAAAGTATCAGTGAATGAGACAGCGGACAACATCATTACGCGTTTGTCAGTCTAATGGTTCGAGGCTTTTAACGCAAGTAAAACATTTTGTAGTAGTTTACTTTTATAGCTTACTTTATTATGGATTTTGGCTGTTTTTTTTTTCATTTCGAAGGGCTTATCCTCTGTTAGAGGATATGCGCCAATTACGAATGGAGGCAGTGAGGCAGCATCAGGCACGTTAAGCACAGTCTAGTGAAATTATCTATTTGCTCTTAACTACTGCTTGAGAGATATAATTCTGTATCTCAATGGTCAGTCATAAACGGTTATAACCCTAGAATTGACTTATATTAGTGATGAATGCGTTATATAAGAAAAAAAAAATAAACTCCGACGAGCGACCTTTTCGACATCGCGTCTAAGCTGTTCATAACATCCGTACCCTTGGGTGCTAGTAGAAGCGTAACGTCCAGAAAAATCTGGATATGCTCATAGTGCTTTCAGTACAATAGACGGTTTTTGATTTGACGAGTTTACTGAAACCTCGGACACTTGGAAGAAGTTTGGAATAACGAAGCACTAAATTGAACGGCTGATACTGAGATGAGGGAGTAAGTACAAATAAGTGATGACGAGCTCAGAGATTGTCAACGAAATGTAATCATAAAATGGCCATCCCGAACGTGTATGTTTTGTATAAATCACTGCCCAGAATCTAACGGAATTGCGCTCGACTATTCTAGGTAGAGAAATCGAATACGCTCCCATGAAGCAATCGGCATCTAGGAGCAAGGATCTTTAACAAGACGTACAAAATTATTTGAAACTGATACAATATATATTGTCATTCGAGATGGATCAGAGAATGCTGTCGATAGAGCTTTATGTTTGAGTTGTATTGAGATCGTCTGCGATTGCGCCGAATTCTTACAAACACTTCCTATGTTTAAATTGTCATACCGATAATTTTAGTAAAGGCTGATACGCGAATTGCTGCTTGACGCTATCTGTTGCGCTAAAAATATTTTAAAAATTAGAGACGTAGGCAGAATTTTGCCAATACGTTATACACTAAGCTTTCACGTAAAGCTGGAACCTAGTTATATCTTGATTTGGATTGTGTACTATGTATGTATATTATAGGCCTATGAAGACTGGTTTATAATGGTAATGATGACGAGAACCCCGACATTTTTAGGAACAACTCAGCCTTATTTTGTTTACAAAATATACATTTATTTCATATATTAGTTATACGAGTTCAAACAGGCAATCTTAGCTTGTTCACATTTTGATGATGTAAATTGTTAATGTAACTGGGAAAAATAGAACATGAAAAAAATACCGCAGCTTTTTGTCCGTGATTTAACATGTTACGAAAAATTGAATGAATCTCCATCAGATTCAGTCAACTAAAAACGTATTTTTCGTTTCTCTCTTTAGGACGACAAAAGCTATCGAGAGTCAGTTTTTCTTCTATCAAAATTGAAATGCTTTGAGCATGGTGTCTTTATCTAACGGTAATAAAGTAGTAATAATAATAATAGTGATGAAGTTATATATCACAATAAAGAGTGTAGGCAATACTATGGTTAACATCGCACACACATCTTCAACAAACGCCTACTCGTTGTAGGTGATAAAAACATTTGGCTGATCCTGTCATTTTGCGTAGCATTAAAGACATACGTTATTACTAAAGATTTTTGCAATTTATATTGTTCAGCTATTTATCATGCACAAATACATGGATTTAGAGACGATAACGAACGGATAATTGACCAGGCTTATTAACGGGAAAAATTCACTATGAATAAAAATGGCAATGATGTAGTTGAAATGTATTTGTAATGAAATATTTTTGTAGGGCGTTTATACTCTCTTAACAGAGATCATGACAAGGGTAGTGCTCCGTAAAAAGCTTTTAAAGTGGGTAGTTCTAGTGGCAATGGCATGTAACTTTTTAAACATCAACCAAATTCACTGAGCAGGATCTGCAAATGATTCAGTTTCTTTATGATCTTTTGCAGAAATTGTTGTCGTCAGTAGCGAAGCACACCGCATAATGCTCCGTAAACTTACATAAATGATTGTCGTGATAAGCAGAAATTACTTATAAAATACGTCCTAAAATCTGTCCTAAGGATATCCCAAAGTTCTGTAATTATTTTGGATTGAAAGTACTAATGATAATAGTGCTAACAGCGACGGTTAAATCATTGTCATCGTTCTTCGGTGTTATTTAGTAGGTAATATGCGACTTTACATGGTTGTATCATAGGAACCATACATTATGGCATATGCGTTTATAAAAGTTCGTAAAGGTGTTAGATTATGTCAGTATTTCGTTATAAAATTAGCTAAATTCCTACACAAACACTACCTATCACTAACCATTTGCATAGAATCTACATTTTCCGTTTGGTGAGAAGAAGGAAATCCCATGAATCAATTTTTCATTTTACCAAAAAACACTCAGTGTTCATTGACGGACACATTGATGCAATGTCGCATTGTCCGAATTTACCAACATGGACACGTTTCAGGGAAGTCGACAGCAGATAAGTATATCAAAAACTCGGTAGGATGTCTTATGCAGATTTTTGTTCTGTGCCCGAGGTCTTTTAGTGACCTATGTAAGAACCGTGTCACTCTTCCGGATACAGATTTTAAACGTAGTATGTTCAACGAACATTAAATTATTGTCAATCGGCTCTATGATACAATTTAAAATAGAATTAATACGCTTATGGATCATGGATTAGTATGCATGCCAACCGGCAACTCAATTTTTGTAGTTCATTCGAATTTTTTAAGTGCTTCGTTTAATCTCAGTCACTTACTTCTCTATCTAAATGTTGAACTACTCGGTGCATTTTTCGTGATAGCAGGTTCTAAACAACTCACCTTTAACGCTAACTTTAGTAACCTCACGCGATACATACTTTTGTACATCTTTATCTGGAGTGAATAGATAGAAATAGAAAGTTTGCGCGCATGCAGAGTTTTATAGACATTTTGTTCTGCCTATGTACTTAGCGCACATCCATACGTCTTTGCTATTGCTGGTGCTGCTTTTAAACGACGCGTTTCCAAAGAGGAAATTGCACATTAAGCAACATGTCGCTTCAACAATCTCTGACGCAAAAAGATACGGGGCCATCTGCTTTATGAAGCATTTTCCGAGATGTGCTTTTCCGTGTATTATCGTTGTGCCAAAACTACATAACTACACGTACAACCCGAGTCCTGAGAATATGATTGCAATAGCACTGGGCTAGAATGATCATTCATATATATATACTAGAATTCATATCCCTGTAAGTTGTCTATTTGTTAGATTGGCTTTCTACTTAATGCTTTTTCCGCCTTCCTCCGTTGTGGCAGACCATGCTTCTTAATAGCACTCAGGATCGTTCGCCCCATAATTGGCATTAGTCTTTTCCCAACATGCGACGGATTGCATGGTCAACATGTATTGACGTCTAGAAATAGCCCTATTATGCCAAATTCGCATTAACGTATTCCAGATGCTAGATATTGAAGCTGATTTAATTTCTGTTCATTCATCTATTGTTGGTGTCCAAATTTGTTGAACGCTCGAATGAGACACTCGACATTTGCCCTCATGCCTTGCAGAAATACTCCCATGATGTTGTACACTTGTTGTTCGGACCTGTCGCCTTTGCCCGTTAATACTTCAATCATACGTTGGCGGCTAGGCGCTGCGTAGACGCAGACCTGTCAAGAAAACAACCCACAAACGGTAAGAAAATCAAACTATATTGATTATAATGTATCTATTCAAAGCGGTTTAAACAGCCAGTTTCGTCATAGCCACTTACCGCTTTAACTCAAAAAGATCAGTTATCGCTGTTCGTTCCACCTTTTGAATTATGACCTGAAAACAGTAGAAGATTGGCTTTCCACCCAACGACAACCCACGAAAATAGCCATGCTCAAATACTATACCGTACAGGATGGATACTGAACAGTTAGATACGCGAAGCTATACGAACGTATGCAACAAGATTGAACTACCACTTCACGTAAATGGGCCACGGCGTCACTTAATTCCAATGAAGTACGGTAGTGGCGTCAAGTGTTACGCTTAATACTGGTCACAGGTCTACGAAAGGCCAGACAAGCCGCGTTCGAACATTTTAAGTGGGATGCGGTCTCCATGGTGTAACGGTTTGCTGTTGTAATGAGTGAACTTGTGCGACCTTTTTGGAAATCTACTCAGTTTAACAAACTGCGCGTGAGTCCTTCCAGCTGCTATCAAGCACTCTGTGGTCATATTCTAGCTGAGCACGCATTAGGTATCGATTCTTCTCATCCAGTTGTGACAATAGATAGGTTTTGTTCATATTTGACATATTGGTGTCTTTTCTATTATCACAATATTCGGGCACATAATGTGGATAACGTACCTGAAAGATCTTTTGCGCGAAAAAATTATGGTGCATCTTTAACTTGAACTCGTATGCCTCACGAAAGTACGGCCGTATATCTTCCTCTTTGAGGTTTTTCTTTTGTGAAAAAAACACAAAGGAACAGCTTCTATTAAGTAAACGTTATGCGTAATATTTTTAGCTCCTGGAATTTACTTGTATTATCGCTAAGGTTGGTGTAAATTCAAAATATGTTTAAGCCGCTTTCATTGACTGCTTTATTATCTAGGCACCAAGTCTAAAGCAATCAACTAGCCTTTCTTTCTATTTTATAATTTTTAAATAAATTTCTATTGTAAATATTTTGCAACTATGAAAGACAACACTCAACTGAAATCCTATTTGACCTCAAAAGTTACCAAAAATTTTACATAATCTGATAAACTCGACAATAATATATGTTTTCGTTCTTACAAACGCCTAAACCCAATTGAAGTCATAGAACAGATAATAATGGTGTGTTATTGACATATGGAATCTTACGGGATCAATAAATTTACTGAGAAAAAAAAGGATGAACTCGCAGCTTCGTTTAAGCCAGGTTAACGAAATCACTGCTTCCTGCCGACGCTTCTGTTCTTGATTGTCGACCTCCACTCTTGGATCGAGCATAGAGTCTAAGTACTTGAATTTATGCGGATCAAATAGCACCAGCTTCTTCACCTGTACAAAGAGGAATCTCAGTACTGTTATGCTATTGGTTAACACACGTCTGCTACTGAGATATGTTAATTGTTTTTACTACGAGTTGCAAAAGTGTTGTTATCTGTAATTCTTCAATGCCTTATTAACAGAAATCATAAGATGAATCATGTTTTGGGAAAAGAGAAAGAGGCGTCATAAAGTTCACAGGTGCAGGAAACACCGGATATCCTCAATATTCGCTTCGTTGCGTGCTGGAGGGCAGCAAGTGCGCAGCTTGGCGAGCAACCCGTGGCAAACTGATTTTAATGGGTGCACCAGAACAAATTGGTAGGTGATCCCAGCAATCGCATAATTACGAAATCAATATGCCCAAGAAAAGATTGAAAACGGAAATGCAGCTCGTCTTTCTCATCGACAAGAGCGAACAATTCTTAACGCCTCGCTCTAAAAAATTGATCACTTGGTACACTTACCTTCTCAATGTGTCCATTAATGTCTGCCTTGACAGGCGAAAAAATACCTCCAAGCATCGCCAAAAAATCAACGACAACATGGGATGCTGCTAGGAAAGGCTCCGATAATATCCGGTCCGTCGGGGTGATCTTAGGGTAAAACGTTGACTCAAAAACAAATTTTGAAGGTTGTCCAGCGTCCGTTGCAGTAGTCATCCTTCACCTAACATCCGCAACAATCGCATGCCAGTCAACAAAATACACAGCAAAAACATCGTCATTGCTTACTAATAGGACAATTCCACTGTTATACACCGTTATACATCAGAGAGGGATTTCAATGGTACGTGACTGCAGTAAATATAACGGTAATAACGGTTAAAGACAACACGCGAGAAAAAGATTTCGAAAGTAAAACTACTAGAGTCTGAAGACCTGTAGTTATGTGCACATTATTAGGGCATCTTGAGTTACGATCAAAGCGAGTTTAGTTACACCAATCATACTAAGGGACAGAAAAGCAAATAGATTGACACGAGAATCAAATGTAGACAGTGGTAGCTATCTATATGCATTTATCATGAAGCTAGGCGCGAAGGAACCGGCCAAATTTTCAGGTTTACGCAATTTATGTTCATGACTGTGCTCATCTGATTTCTGCTAGCGCCCCACTTGGGTGCTACATCAATGATTTAGATAGTATCAAAGAAAATCTCTGTTGCCAGGTGCGACGAAAGATGCTGAAAATCGAAGATCAGATTTTTTTTTCTTAACCTACTCTTCACTTATTCTAAGCAAAAAAAAATCTTCATTGAAGCCGGCGAGCGGAGATCTATTCATTGGTTGCTGCTAAAATGATCTATTATACTACGTATCAAATGAATTTTAATTTATTTTCAGTCTAAGTTCACTCAGGACAGGCCGCTGCATACTATACTTATATTTTAGTAGGCCTATTTCTTATGTTTTTTAATCAAATATAAACTATAATAAATAATTATTTAGAGATAAGGCCGTAAATATTATTGTATCTACTCTTGATGTTACCAATAAGAACAGGGATTCTCGTCAGAAGAAGCAGCACAATGCTACGGCGCTTCACCGTTATCAGATTTATTACTCCTTCGCCATCCTCAGCACGTACTGCTAGCGATAAGCCAAGGCAAATATCTAAGTCTAAAAATGCTTATGTGTCCGCGGACGTTGCTGCTACGCGTTAATAACTGTCGCAGTGGGCCAACCTTGGCTAGTTAGGATAACTTTCTATATTTTGTTGATTTTCTGAGAAAACAGATCGTTGAATACTCATGGATAGACGCTATTCTGCTTCTGTATGGCTATGCGTGTGTATTTTGCGCTCTTTGGTGAATTAAGCGAAAATAATTATGACTAAATATAAGGGTCCAACAATGAGCGCATTAACTACAAACTTTGACACATTTAACATCGCTTGTGAGGATTAAATTATCGCATAAAAATGCGATGCACTCGTAGAAGGAGTTTCAGGAGGTAAATTCTAAGATCCCTTTACCCCAAGGGTAAACAAGGAGCATTAGATTTTCTATGAAATCCTTTAATTATTCAGTTTCCGACAGTTAAAAGATTACAATTTAAATTATTTCATATAAAGTGTATTATCGAGCTTACCTAAAAGAATTATTTTTTTTAATAAAAGGACCACCTACAAACAGGCTGGCTAAATAGATCGTCTCTTTCCATTGTAGATACATTAAGAACATATCTAGGGCTGTGTTTACGCTGGATAGTCTAATAGTTTTCTAGGAACCTTCTGTTCGACAATAACGACAGCCTATAATATGTACATGAACAAAACGCAATTATATAAAACTGAGCAAACCTCAAAGCCCAACGATACTGATAGCTATTAGTCTCGCAGAGAGCGCTTGCAGTATTTGAAGTCAGTTTCCTTGCATCTGCCATATTTCCTCAATGATTATTGAGCTAATGCTACACGCAATCCTTATTTGTTAATGCAAATTTGTTAACGATACGTTATGACTGGATATAACACGTAGTTATCTGTAGATACTCTTAAATCTGATATCGTTTGCCTGTCAGCTTCAGTGGTGATGTTTCTTGCAACGTGGCGTCGAATGTTAGGAAACATGAAGGGTCGTTTTGACTATTTAGATAACTTTTTACAGCGACCTTGTCTGTGCTCGTTTCAAAACCTTTTCAACACCTTGACACATCTAGCTTATTCCAGAGTCGGAATAATTTGTGTATATATGTATACACGAAGTACTAGCAAAGAAACATTCTAATGGATATATCTAACATTCTAATGGAATAATCCGTTACATAAATATCTATATGTCGTCGTATAATTTACAATTTTTTAGAACTTCTTCTAAGAGTAACTTCAGTAGAAAAACTTATTATTTTTTGGGTTCTAGTGGGTATTCTAGCGGGTCTTCGAAAAAGTATTAACCGCTTTCAAGCCAAACTAATGGCAAATATTTTACATACTACAAACGAATATTACTAAGTTATATTTTTTTTACTAAGTTATATATATTTTCTGATAACATCGCAATCTTATCGCCATAGAACTTTTATTGTTTTTGAGTGACTAAGTGTTCTTATTACTGAATCAAAATTATCATCGTGATTTACAGAAACCAAAACAGATGATAGATTGATAATGCAAGTCCGGGTTATGTGGCAGATGCATTTAAATTTCGCGGGCAACTAAAAAAAGCAATGCCATAATAAATGAAGGCATCTTTTCTATTCACTAGTTCCGATCGATCTTTTCAATGGCTTGTTTTTGAGCGCTTGTTGGTCGTTTACGATGAAGCTCATAATCAATTGTTTCCATAGATGCTGGCAACTCATACCGCATGGTTCCTTCCCAAACACACAAGTGTCATTTCCTTTGACGTCAATCTGGGCTTTACTACAAATTGTAAAGAACTACTTTGCGGCAATTTGCGTGCCACTCAGACACATCGAGCTTTTTTTGAAGCCAACCTCCTGTGAATGACTTCAGATTAAATGGCCGGAGTTTTTTAGTGATCTGGAGACATTATGCCTATTCATTCTCTTGCTCAAACATCGCAATCATTTCATCAGCTTCTTCCGTAATTGGTCAACCACTAGGCATAAGATAAGAAGCATCTTTGCATCAAAAGTTCCAAAACGAAGACAGCAACACCATCCTGGGGCCGTTTTTCCTGACAGCACAAACTCGTTTTTAAGCCTGGGCGGCATTTGTGACGCTATGGTAATAAAATGACTGCCGAAATTTCGCTCATTATCAAGGCGATTCATTCTAGGTTTACACAAAGGCGTTCTAACTATACCATTAGCGCATTTGACTTTCGATGTGATTCGTATTACTTGATATATGTGACTCTACGGATATCTAGCTAGAGAAGCGGTTAATACTACAATTCAATATATTATGTAAGAGCAGGCTTTATAATTCGATAGGAGATCCTGGTTAATTACATAATCTTATCGATAAGACGATTTCGGTATAAAAGACCTACTGTTCGCTATTAAATTCTAGCAAAGTTCTTAGGCTACTTTGCAGGGACACAGTGGCGAGACTGAGCTATACTTTATACTTTGAGGTTAACGGATTTAAAGCTACGCGAAAATGCATGCAGTCAACATGCCAAAGGAAAACAAGTGAGGATTCTCTATGTTATAAAGAAGCATGATATAAGTTTAGCTTAATAATAAATTTTGCTAACATTTGCACTTTGACAAAAGTGTTTGGTAACTAACCAGAATAAGATTCAGCGCTCTTAATAAACAGAAAACAAGTTGCTTTATAGCAATGCGTAGCCCTTTCTTGGGGCTTAGGTTTGATACTATATAACTATATGCTTCGTTTACTAATATTCCCGCTTAGTGCAGATATAGAAAACTCTCAGCGGACAGTCGGTTTATACCCGGGTAGAACACAACGTTCTTAATAGAAGTACTTGGCCCGTCCTTATTCTAGACTAAGTCTAACTTTGCTCTGCAATTGTGCTGGTAGCGCTAAAGTAACAACTTCGTTCTACAGGAAATAGTGAAGGAAATCGAAGTAGATTTTTGTTATGACTACATTCAGATTACGTACCCCGTAGATCGGCGTCGTCCATGAAAACCCGTCGGCTAGGCTGTGGCGGTTACGCCGTACTGGTATAGTGTTTGTTTGTCTGTCGAGTCACTGTGCTAAAACCGAAATAAAAAAATTTACCCTATACCAATATGAAAACACAGGATGAAATCAGTTAATGATAGCTAAAGTTACCCGCCAACATAGAAATCGTTTCGGTTTTTGAATTGGTAATTAGTTTCTGTCAAAGACAGCCTGATGACGCGCGTTGCAACGCAATATTCATAGTATTTTGCAACGAGCGGATAGAGTGAGGAGTGTGATATCGTAACGAACGGGAACATCAAATATAAGTTAGTGTCCGGACCAAATGGTTTCTTTAAAAATTGAAGTAATCAGCCGCTAACATCGCATCCATCTTCTTATATAATATTATACTGTCGACAGTCTTGATGCTCGAACATGGTGAGAAGAGCATGATGGAAATGACAAACCTCGCAAGCAACAGATTGTGGTTCGCAGCAAAGATTGCCTTCAACCGGGGGGGGATGTATTCTATAGGAATACGGAAAAACCTGTCGTTGGCAAGTGTCGTAGCAAGATCGATGCTGAATAACAGAAATTAAAAAGCAAACTGCTGAAAGATACACATATATGCTTACAGAGTCAATATATAATTAATTTAGCTTCATCCACCTATAATTGCACTTGATCATTCTTGAACAGGATACATATGTCTATTTCTAAATTAAAACAAATAACACGATTTATATAGACAAGATTATTTCCTTTAGTCATGAGGTTGATTGTATTGTTTTCTTTTTTATTATTGGCGATATACTTTGCTCATTCACTTAACAGTCATTTTTTGATGATTGTCAACTGATCAAGGAAATTACCAATACGCTACATCAATATTCTATAATACGATTAACAATTGAGCAGGTTCGTAAGTATGTTTCTTTGAATGTCTTGTACCTAGCTAAAAAGTATGCTAGAACCAAGTAGGGAGCAGCGCAGTGCATTTGTTACGCTCCCTGAATTAAACTCTTACGTTATTATGTAGTCGCACTGCGTCCAGTAGCTTGTCCAACTTGACTATCTAGCACATAAAAGGTGTATGCTTGCTTATTCCTAGCTTGAATCACTCTAAGGTTTGAATCTCCCTTTTTTTGACAACTACGATTTTCGATCTCGAATCAGGCGTGGTTACACATTCACACAGGTAGGCGAAACCATTCGGTTGAACGTTTTGCTCATTCAACGACCAACCCTTTCAGTGAGCTTTACATATTACTTTAAACGCGGCCAGTTTGAGTCGATTGTACGATGGAACATTGCCAATAAGATTGTGTCGATATTTGTAAAGGTTTAACCTCTGGGGTTATTTGCTTCATCGTCAAGATACCATTACACGAGAAGCAGCCAAACAGCTCGACGTCCCTAGTTGTAAAGGCTCCCGTGCGCAATACGTCATTATCGTAGCGTTCAACAGGAAGTTTCGTTTTGGTTTCAACGTCGCCGACGACGACGACGCCCACAACAACGCCTCTCAGCACTCCTCACCTTTAACCATCACTGAGCATCGGCAATTGCTTTCACCGAGACCTGGATAACTGTCACAGTCCCGACGGACAGCACTACTGGCTGCACTCGAATACTACCGTGATCATATTTCCAACCAGTACGCGCTTTTGGACCGATGAGCACATTATAATCGTTTAATCAATTATGGTAGTCATATGCCTTTTTGTCAATATTTCAAGGTGATGCAGCCTAATCATGTTAAAAAATAAGGTAAAGTAAAATAAAGATTAAGAAAGACTGATAAGGTCTTCTTTAATATAATAAATAAAGGCCTTTTTTATTATTTTTTTTACTATAGGCTTAATAAGAGCCTTGACCTGTCACTCTCTAGCTGCGTAAAATTCTGATTTGTTGTCGTAAATAGTAAGAGTCTTACCACCTTTAGCGAGTCATCTATCTGCTGTGTTGAAGGAAATCGCATCATAGGTCTATTTTGGTTTCGTTATCGGTATCCCTCGTACCGGTATTATGTATATAAAGAAAAGGAGACCTGAAAGACACTTCATATTCTTCACGAATTTTTGTGAGACTTGCCTGATGCGAGATCAAGAAATAGAATTAGCATGCAAGCAAACCAACTGAACCTGAGGACACCTGCTTATTTTAGATGTATTATGTTGTAATAGTAGAATATTAGGCTGATCATTGCAAATCAAACTCGCAACGAGCATGTGCGCCGCTACCTCTTTAAAAGCGTATCGTTTGTATAAATGCTTACATAAGTTTACTTATGTAAGCATTTATACATAGAAATGACCAGAGTAGAATACTCGTAAGCGATTCAATCTACCTTTCCACCAATTCTCCGAGATCTTATACTGGATCATTAGAGCCATCATTTGAGAGAAAGAAATCTATGTTTAATTAGACAAATGATTAGGAACGTTCATCTATAGAAATTGTTAAAAAGAACTGATGATCTGGCTTGACAACATTTCATAACCGATCGCAGTTTCTCTTCGCTGGAGACGACTAAACCTTCTCCTGAGACAGCCTTTAACCTGTACATAGTGCAACATCATTAAACATTTAATCATCATCAGAAGTCGGACTAATGCATACTACCTATCACAGCCCCTTTTCACTCGGTTGGCTGCATAGCACGTGTTCACTAGATTTATTTGGCTGTTTCACGCGAATCTGGCGAATTCTGAGACCGCGTAACTTTTAAACTAGTTAAGCATCAGTTCTTGATATTCGTTAGAGGTGCTTTCCTTTATTTTTACACACTTGTCCCATCGTTCCCACGTGTAATTTCTTTATTTGTGACCTTTCGAAGCAAATGATAGACGTTCCTAAGAATCGCCCTCTTTAGGACATTGAAAGTCCTGTAATAACACGGACCTAGCTAGACGGGTTGAAACCAACATTGGATGCTCCTTTGCTCAAACCAGAAAACAATTAAATCATAGCAGTGTTTCATTTTCGACGAGTTTTTCACAGTAACAAATGCCCCTTATGTGCATTGCAAGTTCTATCATCATCTTACACTTGAACCTACTCGACACTGCTACCGAACTTCATTTTTCTTCGGGGCGACGTCACTTTCGTCGGATCCCTTTTCGGCTATCGTTAAGGATTAAATCTATGGCTACGTATGCTCCAGGTAGATTTTTTTATCATTGAAAATACACAAGTTTTACGTGGAATACGCCACACGCATTTCCTACTGATGCGAAGCCTATTTATGAGAGCTCCAGTTTTTTTACCAGTGTTTAGGTTGTGATTCTGTATCATGTTGCAAGCAAAATGCCAGCTTTAACATCTAACATTTTCAACCGCCTAACTGGTCTTCAAATGTTTACATCATTTACATGCTGTATTCAAGACCTCCTTGCCTAATGTCCTCATCAGTCTTTGATGAATTTTCGCAACGCTATGCCCCTTGGGAAAACGTGACCACATACCGTTGATTTTCGAAACTAAACGATATTTTTTCTCCCAGACATATTTCTCCTGCACTAAACTCAATCGATTTTTACTCACAACTTTCTAGGAGACTGGAGTATTTACCAGGCAGGTTCCGTCTGCTAGTGGTGCGTAGTTCAAAAACTATTTCCAAAAAAAACTATCCAATTTCAAAGTCCATCGAATTCACTTGTAACAACCTAATATATCGAGTCTGAGTAACCAGTTTATTGACGTTTCGGTATTCTGGAATTGTCGCAGGCCGCTATTAAGTTTCTGCTTCTGGTGCCTCAGACAACTTTCTCAAGCGGTGACTTTATCGATATTATCAGTAAAAGTGGACCTTCCTTTTTTAGTCTCTGCTGTTGCACTCAAGTTCGATAGGTGACTTTTTTCTGTTAGTCTCCGGCCGTCGAAAACCTGTAGTTTGTATTCGTACATCACTTAACTGTGCATACAAACTGCAAATGACACTGAAATTGGATAGGAAAAAAGATAACAACAAAGAACTAGACCGCAGACCATTACGGACTTGTTCTCTCAGAACCATACAACCTACATTGTCGATACAGAAAATGAACTGAGTTAGAAATCCAACATTGTACACAACTCCCATCATATTTACATTATATCAATGTATACACTTGAACGGAATGTCAATTGTCTGTAATTTATTTATCTTTATACTATATATCAATAGTAACTAGTGCAAGTATTTTTAGAGGCAGCAAAATATATATAACGATCAAATAAATGCGGCCTTCCGAATTTTAGATTTAAAGATACTAGTAGCGTAAAGATAAACATTTGAGACGTCACAGCGCTACTATAGCAATGTTTCTTGCGATAATCTGGGATATATAACAATTTCATTGCCTATTGAGCCCTTTGAAAGCGTCACGTCCCCTTAAGATCAATCTATTAAACTATGAGCTCGTCGCCCTTTTTTTTTTTCTCCACTCTATTATGAATTATTTGTTACAACCATAAAACATTGCGCTTCGACACATCTTTGTTCCCGTGCTAGTGCAGTGGGTAACGTATTTGTCTATTAAACTTGTATAAAACATACGCGTAATGTCTGAACTAACACTATACAGTTCTTTTCTTCTTTCAAAAAAAATCTGTAAAAAATCGTTTATAGATCGTTAAGTATAAGTCGTTCCTTGGCGTAATTTAGCTTCAAAGCATCGTTTTATGTGCTCTGCCAGCCCGCTTATAAACAACAGACCGGTGTTCATGTTATTAAATTGCCACACTCACGACTGTTTGTCTCATTGCGCACGGAAGGGGAAAGTAGCTGAGGTACACGCGCGAGAAAGAATGAGAAACATGATGAACTAGATTTGAATCCGCATGTAAGCAAACCTTATTTCCTGCTGCTGCCTAAAGTAATGCCTAACGGCTTAAGTAGCAGACATTGAGCACGAAAAGCATATATACACATAATCATCTTACATGACGACGTTAATTAACTAAACATTGATGACGTATGCAACGTTGAAAGAACCAACAAAAAGGATTAGATGCAATAAGTAACTATATCCCATCAACGAGCTCTACTTTAATCAAGTCTATTCGCTTACACACAACTACAATGGTTGCAGTATTGAAGCGTAAACATATATTTCTATATTCTTGCTTCTCGCGCATGTGCCTTAGCTGCTTTCCCCTTCCGTGCGCAACGAGACAAACAGTCGTGAATGTGGCAATTTAATAAGATGAACACCGGTCCGTTGTTTATAAGTGGGCTGCCAGAACACATAAAACGATGCTTTGCAGCTAAATTACGCCGAGGAACGACTTGGTTATACTTAACGGTTTATAAATGACCTCTTACAGAATTTTTTTGAAAAAGAAAATAACTGTATAGTGTTACTTCACACATTACGCGTATATTAAGTAGAATGTGTTCGGAGTGAAATTTTTACGTAATGACTTTAATTGTTTTACGTTTTTTGTGATAGTAAACCTACCTATCTTTAACAAGAACAATCGGACTGAGAAATTTTAGTTTTGTGTTAAAAGTTCTTACAGCTTGCTTGCTTCCCATAATAACACCACATGTATAGTGTTTTCATGTATAGTGTTATGAGCGCTAAAAACAACTTTAAATATAATGGTGTACTGAAGTGTAATTGTTTCGGGTTAGGAAGAGCTCTAGCGTTTGCTAGCACCATAATGAAAATAATCATTCGTAGTGATGTGATTGCCCGTCTGGACGATTTGAGATATGCTTGGATAAAGCCGTACTTCCGCTGCCTTCCGTGACCAGCAGCTGCAGTGTGTCACGCAACGGCTCGAAACTACATGAGATTTTGTACTTGTATACGTATCTTTATCGATGAGTCAAATGAGACTAGTTGAAGAAAAGTTGTACACATAACTATTATAGAAGTTCTTTCTAGTCGCATCCTTTTATTCTAACAACTAGCGATAATGAAAAAAATCATAGTTAAAATTAAATAAAGTAGGATTCATTTTATATAATATTAGCGTGTTACTCACTGTTTGACGATTGCTCGCTGCTTGAAAGAATGTGCCGCTACGCGACGTCAAATGAAATATACCAAGGCGTTATCAAAAGAAGGATTGCATGAAATCACCGTGATAATGGATGGCTTTTTATGGCCTTCAACGTCTCCAGTTTCAATCCTTATTCACTTTCTTCTGTCACTCAAAACCTCATTGTTGTTGTACCACTGTCGTGTACCTCACTTCATTGAGAGCACAGAATGGCCCGCTGGCTAACATAAACCCCTTTTCGTATCTTGCCTGTGCAGTATTAGCTTTGATTTACATTTGCTTCAACACGCAATGGCAAACAGCAGAGTACGGCGGGCGATATGATAGGAGCCGTACAATAACTACTAACTGACTAAATAGGGGCACTTGGATACGTTCTGTTGCAAATATATGAAGCAATAAGGCTCTTCTCGACGCTGTAGTGAATGGCAAATCGCCAATAATGCGTAAGAGAGACTCTGAAATGCCGAGCTGCCGCCTATTGTTTGTATACGCAAGTATTTTCTCATATAGTGTTGATGTTGTTGGCGATAACGACGAGAAGACTGACGATACAAGTTGTCTTAAGATACGCACATGTTATTCGTGATAGACAGCCGCATCAGTTACTTGTACTGCCAGGTAGCTCTTATGCATATGTTCTTTCACCAAATAAATGTCATGTTTCATTCAAACGCAGCGTCGGCAACGACAGTCTTGTCGAGGTAACAAGACAAACATTAGTGTGCATACCATCCGTCGGCGACCCAGCCCTAAGTTCGTATCAACTTTCATGTAGCCGATTTCATCAAAAAACTGTTCACGTTCATGACACGCAAGCTAACCACTTGCCGCCCCCGTGTTTATTTTTGTTACGACCATTCTACTCTTGTTGAGCGGAAGGCAGAGCACGAATCAGCTGTTCACCCAACTTCCCGAGCGATCGGATGGAACACACATAACGGCGGTGTGCACTGGCGGTGACTACGAGCGGGTGATCGATTGGTGCTAAAATAAAGAGAGCAACTGCATTACTCCTAGTGACGATTTGCCCACGGATGATTGGCGCAAAGACAATGCAGATTCAAACAGAGAGACACGGCCATATACAACGATAATAACCGGCTATATCATGGACATATGTTATTACGCGGTGCTAGACAACGACAAAAAACAAGTGGCCGTATGAACGTCATGTGCAAATGCCGGCACGCAACGATGCAACAGGTTGACTTATCGAAATAGCTGCTCAAACTAATTGACTCTACTAGCCACTCCTACTCTGTTAAGACGGAGCAGCAAATAACAGTTATGACGACAGGATTATGTACTGTTATATAAAGGCCAGAACTTCACGTCCACTGGGCTGCACTTACATTCGATTACAAAACCACTGAGATCACTCAGATCAGTTTATCAACACTTCTACGGCAGGCGGCTACCGGAAAACACCAACCTGCGCTGGAGAAACAAAACACCGTAATTACTCCTCTTTTCTCCTGTCAGTGGCTTTCTCAATTCACGGCGTTCCGTTTATCCGGGTACACCTGTGACAAAAATCAGCGTCGGCCGTACAGTTCGTACCCATCTAGCCAATTACATAGACGAGCAGGTGAGCCTTCAACCAACGATAGAGCACAAGATAAAACTAGCGGCGCAAACATCAACCGCAACTAACGGCGTTGGTCAGGAACAGAATCACTAGGTACCCGCAGACGGCCAGCATTTGTGCTGCGTCTGGAGTGACAGCCGTTATTCCCGATGATGTGAGCAATACGGCGTACGGGCGCAGGCTGAGATAAAATAAACGAGTTATACTGCCTGGAGAAGATGGAACTTAACGACGTGACTCACGGGAAAGGGCAGACGGCACAGATGTATTCAAAGAGGGAGAAGGCGTGAAAGGGAATGGGCGAACCCCATATTTATGGTGAAGACACTTCACGATTAAACGCAGGCAGCAGACAAAAACAGAGACAAATAACAACGAGAAAGGGTAAGTGAGAGGATGGATGGTTCGTTCTGTGCTGAGATGCCCAGTAACCGTCTGAAGCAATGTTTAGCTAAGACAGTAGAATTGAACACAAAACTCAAAACATTTATTTAGGTAGAATTTGTGCGCTAATATGAGATAGTTGCTGGGTAGTTGATGGAGTATTTTCGATTGGATTCAAAGGCATGAGAAAATAATGGTGTTTATTATTATAGTAAATAGCTTGGAGAAGTTTGAAATAAGCTCACTTAGCGATAGGGAAGTGATAGCAGTGTGGATGGACGTGATAGGTTATTAAGATAGCTTCATGGACATCTAGAGTGAATGAATCGTTGCAAATAAACGCATCTTAGTATACTCCGTGTTCGACAATATTACATATACAGCGCTCCCCTAAAGATACAATCATAATGAATTATTAGATGGATATTAGCATAATGCTTATGAAATCTTGGATAAGTTGAAGACAAAAATGTCAAGTCTTTTCATTGCGTTTTTATATAAATGTATATTGAAGCTGTGTCAATATGTGCCCGGATAGCATAAAATAGTCATAAGTAAGTTTTCTGTGGGGAGCAAAAAATTACTTATTCATATCATCTTTCACAAACAGTAGTTCGAGCATTTTTTTCCAGTTACAGTTAAAAAACCTAGGTATCTTAAGTATATATCAATATCAAATAAGTACTTGTCTATAGTGACGAATAAGTTTGAATCATTTATCTACAGGAAACATATCAAATTTGTGATGGTACGATTGACAGTCTAAGTGGCTCTTTACTTTCTAGCAAGATTGTTTGGAACCCTTATGTGAGCTATGTCACACATTATGATACATGCTACCAGATCGTTTAGACAAAACGACGTTTCCTGTTCGCCAAATTATCGGCCATTGCCGTTCAAGGCAACGATATTTCAACTCGACACAAAATGGGGGTCGCTTTTCAGGTATGGTGTTCTGTTTAGTTTGTCTGCTGGTCCCGTACCACAGCCCCGAAACCGATCAATACGACTACGAAAGCCGACGAACTGATAAATGCGTTGAGTAAATTTAAAATAAATCACACAGAACGAAAGACTAAATTTACGCTTAGTCAAAAACGTGGATGTCTGCTGAAAGTGATTCTCTGAACAGATCCCATTCCGTTCAACTCGAGCACGCAAATCCTCAATTTACCGAGAATTCAGCTCTTTTCATGAGTCTTACAACAACCCTGCCACAGTCCGTGCATGTTATCAGGGCAATTTTCCAACCAAAAACTACTTCTGTCTTCTTACATAGAAGTGAATAAGCTTTTTCAAAGCACACCGGATTGTACTGTTTCCATAAGGGTCAGTGGGGTGCATTAAGAAGCTCATGGAGGACTCTAATGGTCCGTTGTTGAAACACGAGCCCAATTAGACCGAAACTCATAACCTGCGCTCATCCAATTATTAGCTAAATGCTATTCTATCCAAATGGCGTTGTCTCTCCTATAAAATTTCGTAGTAAATGTCTGATATATATAATGTTGTTGCAGCTTTTGGAAAACCGTTTATTCAGTTGTGTAATATTATAAAGTTTATCGAAAATTACGAATTAATTTTTTTTTAGCGACATTATAACGAGTCTAAATAGTTTACTAGATGGGGTTCATGTTGACAGTGCAGAGCAGCTGCAAAGAGGAGACCAAAGAAGTTTCAAGTTGATACTTTCAATTTCAAACTTATTGCTCATATCAGCTCTTATTAGCCTTCTTTCCGAGGCGTATGCCGTCTCTGTACATTTGGAACAATTACGCCTGCTTTACCGATGTGCATTTTAAAACGACTATTACGTGAGACATTTAAACTCGGACAAACTTCGATGGAGTGATTTTCGTAGCGAGTATTTGTTCATTCGCCGTTGTTAGTACCCGAAAAACGCTATTTATTAGACCTATATAACAAATTCTGCATAGTAAAAAATCGCAATGACATCACCAAGATTAAAGTTTTCTTTTAGTCCGAAATCTAGGGCCTGCTTTTCATGCGGCACTTAAGTCATCTGAAGAAGATTTCTGTGAGATGGACCAGAAGGTCGTCAACAGATTTTAGTTGACGGCTCAGGAATTCGTCGTAACGGTTTTTAAAGTCATGTTACACGCACCTGGATTTCTTACGAAGAAATTAAAGGTTTTTTTGGAAAACAAAATGTACTCTTTCAACTCGGACATTCAAGTAAGCGATAACAGTCCCCAAAAAGTCTGAAAATGCGCTGAAAACTTTCTGCGCATTTTCAGACCTTTGGGCTTTTGGCCCGTTCCGAACTTCCATTTTTGGTACTTTTTACCTGTTATAAGCCTAAAATTCAATTCCATTGGTATTTCTGTTTGAAGCGTGTTAAAACAATAGTAACGAATTCAGCCAACGAACAGTTTGACGCACAGTTACGATTAAAGCAATATTTGTAAATTAAGGGAGGAATATTGTTCTGAATTAGGGAAATAATCACGGTGAATGATGTTTATGTTGAATATACATAAATGTCAGAAATGACAGTTCTATTACACAGAACAAATTTCGTTCTCTTTTGGTTTAGATATAGCTTTAGGAAGGAGTTAGAAAAAATTTAGATTTAGAAACGCCACCCTGCCTATACAGAAAAACGCCATGATATATGAGATTAATACTACTGGGCCATTGCGAGTAAAGGAACACTAATAGTAATTTCCCATGCTACCAAATTTCCCAATCTTTGGGTGCGCAAAGTCAGACATTACTGTAATTCGAGCTTCTGGGTTCTTTCCTTTGACCAAAGTTTAGAAGGTCGGGCCATATGGGAGAAATATTTTTCCGCATTTCATCGTAGTTCTGTTGCACTATAAAAAAACAAAACAACAAGCTCGTTTTTCCAACACGGTTTCGCCGGTCCGAAAGTTGCATTTTTAGAAGTAAACTAAAAGCTGAACAAATGTTATGGAAAGTCCCTATGAGTCAAATCACACGATTACTAGCCAGGGGGAGGTAAGGCTGATACGCAGCCCCAGAGCACAACTCAAGTTAATAGGAATGTGTATATAGGAGTATATATCAGGTAAAGCTAAGACATCACATTGTTGTACTCGTTGTACTGCATATCGTTTTTTAAAGAAAAACTGATCTTTATCCGTAGACAACATTACAATTCTACTGTAAATTTATTTTAGTACAAATATAAATAAACCAATTTTGTTATCGTAATTGATTATTGATTGACGAATTTGATATCGTGTTCAGATACCTCTATTATTTATATTACCTCTATTTATTCTATGCCCCTTAAAACATGAATTCGTCAATGAAGGTAACCTACACATATTACTCTTTATAATCCAATACGTCTAAATGTTGATTTTACACATTAGGTTAGTCTTGGAATGAAAAACTGTTGACAAGCGAAATAGAGTAACCAGAATATAAGCGAATTTCTCTGGACTCCTGTTGGACCGCTAGCACATCAATGACATGTAGCTATAAGCCTATTTCAAAAATTTTGATTACTGTTTATGAAATATAGAAATAATATGTTGCCATAATAAAGATACAATATCGATTTCTTTTCTTTTTTATGAGTTGTATACCTTTATTTATATAGTTTTTTTATTTTCTAATTAAAAAAAGATTGCATCCTATCTACATGAAAATGACAATTACCATCTCGTTATAGAAGTACTACCCACAGGCACAGCGCGTGGCCGTATGCAGCTTGACATATATAATGCCCCAGTGAAATTCTATATGCTGTACATGACGTAGCGCTCTTCTAATTCCTTGGCAAACATTCTTAGCTTCGTGTCAGGCTCCAGCGGCGGATCATAATACCATTTCGGTGGTTGTCCTTCTTCTAAACGAACATATACGTGAGCGTACCTGAAACGCGGATATAAGGATAGCATGTATAGCACTAAATTTATTATAACTGGTAATAATTAGGTTAGCAGGAATTGAAAGGTATGCAATAGGAATTGGTGAATCGTTACCAAGGGACGACACACAGATCTCATAGATAATACGAATCGTTCTTATAAGTTACAATGTCCAGTTGCTTTATATAAAGCTGAAACAAATGTGAGCAACTGGATGAAGTTCTTGATTCCACTCTGAAACAAATTTCTAGACTTTTGGAAAATAGTTACATGGTCCCAGACGAGAGCACCAAGGTGTGCACCAGGATCGCGAGCTTCACTTTGAGTTAACAAGCCACATTGAGCGAAAAACCTGAATCCAAATGCAACAACCTGATCGACTTATCATTGTTTTAAATTTTTCCTCTAAAATTTCCTTAATCAAGCATTGTTTCATACAGCTAATTTCTCTCAGCACAGGATGAATATGTCGGCTCCCGGTTTCGAACCTGTACCGCCACGTATGGCTATGTTCATTTAACAACATAAGGACACCTTCATGTGCCATTTAGTGTACACTGTATAACAAATAAAGTTATTACATACGCTAAAAATGTCAAGAGAACACCTTAAGCCCAACTTAAGCAAAACCCGTCTTTCTTGTCGGTTCAATTTTGCTTAGAATTGCGCATGTAAAGGCTGCATGTTCAACAAATATACCTTTATTTTAATCAATTATTTTCTGTTTTATCGAATTTGTCTGAAATAACAGACTGGTGACAACATGCTATTAATATATATATATATATTTGCCTTAATGTGATTTTACCACTTGAATCATGTGTCGTCACTCTCATTAGACACGGCACTCTAGATTACTAAAACCGATAGAAAATCTCGTTCTGTCAAAATCGAGATATCTTTGTGGTGGTGGGGCAAGCCAAGTCGTTTTTCTGAACGAACTTTGTCTCGAAAATCACTTCAGAAAGCACTGGCTTACTTTCATGGTAAGGTCCATCTGAGGTCCGCACCAAGATGATTTTGCTCACCCACAGACATGTTGGGATAATTAAGACGTAAGACGTTGCCCCTTTCTAATGAGTTTTTTAGTAATTTTAGTCTTAGTTACTTTGTGGTATTTTCACAGTGCTGTGTAAGCAGTTTGTCCAGATCTTTTTGAAGCTCCATAGAGACTGCTAATCGATACACGAGCTAGTTGTGAATAGGGAAAAAATCTTGTAATCACGAATTTAGCGCAGTTGGCGCAAGGACCTTCAAACCTGCTTTCGAGTCCTACCGTTGCTATCAATTACACTATTACATAATAAAACTTTCGTTACAGATATATACATACTTATGAATTTTTATTTTTTGTTACCAGTAAGCTTACCTGTGTTCAATGATGCCAAATCTAGCCCGCCCATGCTTTCTAAGTCCTTTAATTGTTTGCCCTTTCGTTGCAAATGCCTCGGCCACCCAGAGGTTTGAGCGAAATTCGATGTTATGCTTCTTCACGGCCAAATCCTGTGCCTCCTCTAAAACCTCTTTAAGAATCTTTGCTCCTTTGCGGTTATCAAACTCCATCTGAGCAATTGCATCGTCGATTGACAGTCCACGGATCTTCCATGTGATCGGAAGGAATTTTTTTACGCTATAATGATTCTGTGCGCGGTAATGACAGACGTAAGGATTTACCTGCAAGACAAAAAAATAAACAGACGTATGCTTTCAACATACCGACTCATGGTTTTTCTTCGTGACATAACATTTACAATGCACTAATAATAGTAATTAAACCTTCTCTCGAAACCAGCATTTCCAGTAACTTTTTCATTTGTACCACTATACCATACAGTGAGGGTAAGCAAAGCTCGAAGAACTACATGTTCCTGTATGTCACAAAAGACTCTGTTGGTAAGATAGTTTTTTTTAATCACAAAATGAACAACTGAGACTTACTGCCTCCTCTGGCGAATGGATAATTGTATTCCTTTCCTCCCAACTTCTGCATTTCGGCATCTCATATGCGTTTGCAGAGACGGGGTGTGAGGTATAAAAGCCTCGCGCGATCGCCTGCAATCCACGTACGGGTCGCGCGAACATCGTTCCGCTGAAACGGGCATTGGGAATAATGGTTTTGTTTGGTTTGAGGAAAATTATTAATGCACACCAAATACGTGCTTAGTTAAAGCTAGTAAAGTATAACCATGTTCGCACGTAGCTGAAATTATTTTTTTGAGCGTACTGCAAGGAGAAAGAAATGATTGGATGTAATGCACCTATACCCGTTGTGTATTATGTTTTTTGAATAAAGAACGCCCTATAGAGAGCAGTAATAGGCATTTTCTATTGGACGGTACCGAATATAGCTTGGGTCGTTATTATTCGTGTTTATTATTTAAAATACATTCGACATAGTCTGGCTGGGCTATGACAATTACTCATACAAACCAAAAACGGCTACAAATTGAGTAATACAATCATAAAACGATATAATGATTGTATGTAGATATTCGGTGAAAACTAAAAACGTACGTGACAAAATTAGTGAAACATGCAGGTTTCACGCAGGTTGCAGCACGGTAGTGCCTTTCCAATCAACTTACAATCTTTTAGGATTTTCTTATTGATTATAGTTTATTATTGGTTTTAATTTAACAAGCTTGAACAACATTCCTTGATTTGTGACGTCATTTCGATGTTGTGGATGCGCATATTATACTTCGCGCGGTTAAGCGCGCAATTCAAGTTCCTCATTGGTCACGTTGACCAACATGTTGAAATAAATGCAACTTTATACTCTTCGGTCATTTAATAGAGTTGTTCTTTGAAATTAAATTAAAGGATATAATCTACATCCAATAATGATAGAATTGGCATAGTTATCACAGATAACTCCATTCGATCAAATGGGCCTTTCGCCATATTATTTTGCGTTTGAGTAGTGCCTACTTAGATTAACATACTAACTACTTAAGACATCTACATATCATGTATCCATGGTGAGACTGTTGGTCGTAATAGCAGTTTGCTATATCTATGCCATTTGTCCTTCGTGTAGCAAAAGCATTAATTAACTTCACTGTCCTCGTACCTATTATTCCATTCAAATTAGAGCCTTCTTTTAACAGTGTAAAAACCGTATTACCGCGTTTCGATCACCCACACCTTGCAAATGTACAGTATTCCAGATAGCGAGCACCACATTTACTAACTTATCAATTCGATAAGTTTTGTAAGCGCGAAAAACACCGTGCCGGGAACATACTCACATGCGGTCGCTCAGGGACTGCTCGATGATTGTTTACATGGCCGCCATTAAAGCCGCCGAACCCTGGAAAACCCGTTTGGAGGAACACTTCTATGATCAATCAGCGACCATCAAGAAATTCTTTATGCTTTCTACTGTTTAGTAAATAGTATGAATTTTGGCAAGCGACTGGTTCCGTCTGTTGTTGGTTAGAGGCTTTTCAGGCAGAAATTTGCACCATTTTTTGTGATCATCTCTTTGAATAACTTTTCGGAGAGAGCCGTCAGAGCTGGCTGGCTCGCCGCTTTATTGAACTGCAAGTCAGTCGCATCGTAGCTTAGGAATACCCGGGGCTATCTGGCCCACCTAATAAAGACGAAGTATACAAATTGTATTCTGGATGAAAAATTGTGTATAAGAAAATTGTGTTTCCCTATGGTAATCGTGAAGTTTATGGTGCCAAATCAATGTGTTGATAATCAGAATGCCTCCATCGGGTCGGTGTCCTATATGTTTTTTCTAATCTACGTCATGTGTATAGCAGAGTATTTGTGGCAGGGTTGTATTCCTAGTAACCATCGTACTCATATGATAGTCGCAGCAGTTAAAATCAGCCTTTTCTATAAAAGCTACCAAATAAAAGATCGAATCATCGAAGAGATCCCCAGCTAGTATACCTGTATTATCACAGCTGAGCTTTTGTCAGGAATTCTTTTCACCGGTTTCCTGTCTTTACCTCTAAGAGACCACCTAATTTCGTAAAGCACTATTTGCAATAAGATCGGCTAATGAAACGTACACGTGAATGATGCTCAGCCATTGACTGAAGACGGATCCAAAAAAATCCAGAGAAACAGCGCTAAGCTTTTCTGTGTACTTTTTTCTAAATTTTGATCGTTAATTAGAACATGTGTCAATATGGTACTTTCAGTTGACTATCAACAGGCACCACAAGATAACCAGGAGATGACCGACAGAGGGATGGTACGTCACTGTAGTTAATAAAATGTACACATTTCTAAGGCATTCTGATATAATTGGTGACAGTTAACAACGCAAATAGATATTATGAGATAGATAAGAGTTAAAAGCTCCGAGTGTTTATTTCTTTTCAAACATTTAAAATGGTCAGAAGAGATAGAGATATGTCTGGGTCATCGAGCCGAGTTGAAAGCATCTAATGATCTTAATAGTGGCACAGTCGAACACGTTGTAAGAAGCATAATCATTCTGTGGGGTGTTGCTTCGAGCGACTTCGTTTTTTTGACTTAAAATCTAAATTATTAACTGCGTGTATTTTATGTGCGTCAAACAGAAGCGCTCCTTGGCGCCCGGCACCCTGCCGAAGCAGCCCAAGAAGCCGCGCCTCATCAAACTGGATCCGCGGTCGAGCCCGCTCCAGTATCTCAACACGATTCGTCCTGGACTTAACTTCAAAATCGAACGTACAGGTGATTCACATTTTTTGCTGTGAGAACATCCACCAGACATTGTATAGTTTGCTACGATTTGAGATAGGCATAACATTTAACAGAACAGAATCCATAATGCTAATGTGTATCTAAATTAATAATTCGTTGTACGAATATGACAAATGTATAGTTTTCCCTTGATATAATCATTTTTATGTTTGTAAAGAAATCTCTAACGCATGCTCACGACACCTTTGACTCTGAGGGAGTTTCAATTGCTTTTTCCATGAGTTAGAGCTGTAACTAAAAGTATCTTAACAAAAAGAAAATTCGTTTTTCATTGTCTAGCTTTTGTTTTTTTTTTCGTTACAACCTATCCTTCCGACAAGAAGGCGGGCCTGCGCATGAGCCAAGGTTTTCCGTCAGCGTCGTTGTGGATGGGCGTACGTACTCAGGCCTGGGAAAAAGTAAACAGCACGCAAAACAGTTCGCAGCCGTCGAGGCGCTCAAGGTAAGACTTTTGCGATGGTTTCTAAGCCCGAGAGTTAATGTGGGTCTGTAAGAAAATATTATGTTATTCGAAAATCATTCCTGTTTCATATTATCACAGCCTTTTTTTTTTTTTATATATATATACATAAATTGTACCGTGCACCCCTTCGACAACTTTTTTTTTCGAAATTTAAGGTGCCTCTCTTCGTATGGAAACAACATTTCCTAGATCTGTCAAGCATAAACATTTAGACTAACTGGAATATTTTTATTACAATCTTACTTCTGCCTGAATATTTTATGCCAACTGTTATATGCGTCCATGTTGCAAATAAACAATCAGGTAGTTACTGCGTTTCTCACGAAGGTGATTTTTTCTTGGTTGCAAATGTTCGCACTTGGGCCATAGTTGATACTGAACGATTCCAGCCTCCAGTATATCGAAGATGCTCCCAGGGGCCCGGGAGGTATTGTTATGCCGGAGCCTGCTCCCCCTGAGAAGCCCGTTGCGCCTGCACCTCCACCGGCACAAACCGCCCCGGTGAGTGTTTACGATTTGGATAGTTTCTTTAGCATAGTTTTAATAATCTCGCCGTTGTGTATTTTCTAGCTAAGGCCGACTAATTTACCCAATGAATTAATAGTCGTTAAGAACTGTTCAGTAGCAATGAATTAACTGAAGGCTACTGCGTAATGAATTCTCTAGTTTCCAATGCAGATCACTTCATAGAAGGACGTTTCACAAAATCGCTTGTGTTCAGGCGGAAGAACTTAGCATGAGCATAGCAGCAAAATATATGAATAACACGTACTCAATTTTGAGTGGAGACCAATTACTGTTTGCACATTAAACAGTTTTTGTCGAATTTGTCGTTTCATTGTCACTGGCACCGGAGTGAAGCTATTAATACCATCTCACACGTTTTCGATCATAAAAAAAACATTAAAGGTTCTTGGCTCTAACTCTTCTGATTAGATCTATTACACAATACTTCTACACAGTGTTCATATCAAGCCGACCGTGCTATTTTATACCTTAATAATTACGTATCGGTCAGCTGGATCCGTAGGTGACAATTCGCACCTTCTATTTTTACTAATCTGCTCATAATTGTCCGAAGGATACGCAAAATCCCGCTCCTTCAACCCAGGCCGTGCCAAGTGCCATTTCAATAGCTGGTAAAACCCCGGTACAAATACTAAACGAAATGGATACAAGTGCCGTGTACGAATGTATCGCAGAAGATCCCGTAAATCTCCCCAGAAGGTAAATATATTTTACTAACGAAACGACGAACGCTATTCTTGATGTTGAACTCAGCTTGTAGTTGGTTATGCCATGATAACGTGCGACTCGAGTGTGAACATAATGTAAATAGCTTTTAACAGCTGGTTACAAGATGATTTGATTCCGTTTACCTAGGTCGCCTGTTTCTTTTGGACTCGTGGGTCCAGTGGAGACATCTATATAGATAGATAGATAACAGGTGTATATAAATAGCATAGAACATATGAATTCATCATGCACTTGTTCACCGTAGTTTCAAGATAAAACATAAGTAAAAATAACCAGGAATGGCTACAGATAAACTAATAAATCTGCTTGACGATTTGAACGTTTTTAAGAAGTCTCCCCTATGGTTCCATGTTAATATAAATGCTAATCTATTTATCCATATTAATGCTCTAATGAATTATCCGCTGATGGGCTGCAAGCATAACTGACTGTCCAGTCCATTACATTCATGATTTCTTTTCAATCGTAGGTTCACAATGACAGTTACCGTAAAAGGAGTTACTTATCGGGCTTTCGGTGCAAACAAGAAGCAGGCAAAGCATGCCTGTGCACGATCCGCCCTTATCGCTATGGGGACACCTATTGCAGGTAACCAACGGTCTAATCTCGTCTCTCGTCCATGTACCTATGTCATATGAGATGAATAAAAAGAAACTGCTTCCCTTAAATGCGCCTTGCTGTCCTGTGTCTCGCGTAACAGATTCAGAGTCATTGGCGGAGGACGCTCTTGCAGATATCCAAGGCACAATACCGCGACACCAGGCTAATCAAAACCTGTCGGACAGGATTGGGACAAAAATGTTGGATAAGTTTGAAGAAGTGATGCGCAACAGGCCCGATAAGAAGCCGTGGAAGGTTCTCGCCGGTAAGTCGCCCAATTGAGGGTACAATTCTTGCGTTTGTATTAATGAGCTATTCATACTGCTTTTGAATGAGAAACATCGGGGTTCGGTTAGCTATTGAACAACAATGGACAAACGTTTCATGTAGCCCAATTAATGCTGAAAAATCATCTCCTGAATGTATGTTTCTCATTCTTCGAAGTAGTGTACTAGTGATGTTTTATGAGACTCTTCAATTTCTCGATTGATTTCGTGTCCGTACTGGCCACCTTTCCGGCCAGTGCTTTAGTCGAATAATGGAAAAAAAGTTGAAAGACGCGGTTGTTCATGTGGTTGCTGTTAATTTTACGTTTGTGCGTCAGTATGTTGTCTGTCGCCGTGCATTAGCCCGTCTGTATGGATCAATATTCGATGCCTGAAGCAAATGGTTGTTGTTACCTTTAGTCGGCTTTGCCATGGCCGGGCGTGACCGATACGCTGAGCGAGCACGAAAACAGGGGAGTTTTCGTGCACGATTGTTTCTTGAGAGTATGGCGTATACTGTCAGCGGGCCTGGGCACTGCAGACCAGCTGGGAAATCAACGCCATGGCGATATTTTCGCAGGAACCGGGAGTCGCTTCCAGAACGGCTACGGCAATGGCGGCGGGGGCGGAGGCGGCGGCGGCCCGAGTGCTCGGGGTATGCTAGCAAATCAGAGGAGTGGTACTAACCAGTACCAAGCGACCTCGTACTACAAGATAACTTCATACTATCAGCAGCTGTCTCCGCAGAGGCAACCAACCCACCAGCAGCCACAGCACCAGCATGCTCCGTTTCGGCCAGTAGTCAAGAGAAATTCGGGCCCGTACGGTGGAAATTTTGTGCTAGCAGCTTCCAGTTTCAACGGTCCACAATCGAGGACGAACTGGCCAAATAGTAATAATAGCAGCAGCAGCAGCAATACCCCTGGCAATTACGTCGTCAACAGCAATGTCACCAAATACAACAGCATACCGCTCCAAGACCGAAATTCCGTCAGTGCTCAGACGAGATATCAGACATCAGGTGACTCTCGGAACGCCGGATATTACGCATACGAACATTATCGGGCCCGGGGAAGTGCAATTCAAGGGGCGGACTACTCGCCACAGTCGCAGATAGCTTCGGCTAAGTCGGGAGCTACGCTTCGTGGAGGCCATGGCAGTGGGGGCGGTAGTAATAAGGCAATGACGTTCGCTTCGCTTACCTCGCCGTCATCGCAGGGCCAGTGGGTTCCGAACTGGGCGGAGACAAGTGACACGACGAATTGGCAGTATCACAACGCGTACTATGGCAATGGCGAAGCCACGTCTGCGCATGACATGGCGCCGACGGCTAATTACACAGCGGGCTGGAACTACGGTGGTTATGGCGGCCAGGACGCTAGCACCTACAGTAATTATGGCTCGGCAATGGATTCTCCACAGATGGTGCTGGCCGGTACCCCGCAGGGGTACACACAAGGAGACGGTCGAAACATCAACGAATACAGCGCATGGGGTGCCCGCTATTAATGTGACCGTTTAGGCGCACTGTGTCAAGTGTCCGTAAACCTGTGTATAACCAAACAAGTAGGAGTGGAGACTAAAAGCATCAGCGATACGAAAGACGATAAGAACGAAGGTAGCCGGGTTCAGCAGAGATAGCTTTCACTCGTGTTAAAAAAATTAATAGAACAAGTAAATGAGGCTGGAAGGATATAATAGAGTAGTTTTGGAGGCTTGGGCGAAACTGTGCTCAATGATTAGTCGTACGGGGTACGTGTTGAATGACACTTCGCTTAGATCGACATTCATGTATTTTTAGGAATAGTTTAGCAAACACAGCAAGCAGATCACAAGAGACGCTAGCATAGATAGAATTCGAAATATGCAAAAGTTGATCATGAGCATCTGCTTTCGACCAGATCTTCCTGTTCCAACCTAGTGCGACAAGGACAACCAACGAAACAGTGCCGATGCGGAAACCGAATATGTCAGGATAACCTGTCAATGCAAATAATGATTAGACGAGCGCAATTTTTTTATAGCTCTAACAACACTACATACGGTACTAGCGAAGCTTTTCATGCCAACAGCCAGACAAAAGCATAACAGTGGTGAGGAGTGTATGGCGCAAGTGTACATACGTTTTATGAGTGTCCCAAATTGCGATTGTATACAATTCAATTACGTCGTTTCGAATAGAAGGTCAATGTGCTAAGAGAGAGGGATTCATTGTAGTTTGATAGTAATATGACGTACGAAGAAAGATGTTAGTAATGATACCTATATTGCGCGAATGTATTACCGTAAACTCGACTGCGCAGCATTTGCAATCATCGCGGATAAAAACGCGAATTGAGATTTATCCGAATTTCGCAGCTAATCGTGTTTGTCCACGCCTTTTGTGCTCTTCAGTGTCATAAAGTGCCTTGTAGAGATGAGGACGCAGAGATTTGTGGGCAGTGGCTCATTGTTTCACCACCCTGAAGTGGACTTCGCCGCCTTCATAGTCGCACATATTTACGTTTTCAAATTAATAGATCATATAAACTGTTTCGTTTTCATATATATATAAATTGAATTCCTATCTAAGAGCGCCATCCACTTCACCATTTTTTTGAATCTTCAAGTCACATCGGTTCCTTTATGTAGCACGTGCAGCATTCGTTCCTGCTGTTCCTGCAACTAATATTCAACTTCAACGAAGATATCATTTTCTTTTCCATACTAATAGGATACTCACAGTCCTTGCCTAATGGGAACCGAATTCTTTCGTCTTTATTCGTCTGTTCAATTGCTCGAGCAATCGCTTGTTTACAGTAATAGCACTACCCACAAGAAAAGCGTCCAAAGAATAACAATGGCAAACTGAATCCCGATATACACGCATCATTAATTTATATATAGTGAGCATATATACGTGGAGCCGTTCAACAATTAATTTTTCTTTACGTCAATCGTCTATTGTACGAATCTGGATACATGTAGTGAACTGTATTTAAGGTATAACTGACTAGAATTACGGTGTGTAAATGTGATGACACGAGAGCAATATTTGATAGCTAAGGTGAACTATGCTAAAACTGGAATTGCTATAAGATGGCAATAAAAAAATGACTCAAGAGCAAACAAAGAAGCAAAAAAAAAAAACGATGCAGTACTTCCGTGTTGGTGTCGATTCAATCCGTGCTATTATCTAGTGTTTCAGTCACAGCATTTCGTGCACATACGTGTATTAAATTGTTGTTCTTTTGAGAGTTAGTCTTATTTTCAGGATAACTCGGCCAGCAAAATGGCGTACTCGGAGCCTGTTGATCTGCCACCTTGGTACATTGCAATTACGGCCGCGATTAGAATTGGCTTGTAGTAACGTAAAAGTAGCTATTTCTATTAATTTTTTTTACATTAGGTGATAACATAGACTTACATAGTCGAAAGTGTGAAGTAGATTTTTCATCTGGTACCGTTAAATGTAAGAGATGTCTAGCCATTGTAAGGTAAAAGCGTAAGAGATTTAATTCTGAAACTGCTCAATCCTAACAATGTATTTCCTTCAATGAATACCTTATTAAAGCGAGATACATGATTTATGACCGAGTTTCTTTCGTATCGGTCCAAGACAGTATTCGAAGAGATATACAGAATAGGAGACGCTTGATGAAGCATAGCGGATGCTATTTTTCGCTAACTCGACGAAGATCTAGGACACTGGCGCTAAGTTGCATAATAATGGAAACAGCTCGATTCGGTGTTGCTAGAACCTGAATTGAAACGCCTTAATCGGTGATAAGAACTTATCCGGCCGCGTTAATTGCATTGTACAAGAGTTGATTTTGCCTACTCTTATTTATTCAATTCTGCCAAAATGTTGAGATTGAATGATTTACTGGGCAATCTTTTAACCTATCAAGCGTTTTTATTCGATGTCCCTAAATTATCAGACCATCACAAGGGATTTCGAACGCTAGCAAAAAATCGAATTGGCTCATCCATTGTTTAGTATGTATAGAACACTTCATTAATATCCAATTGTCCAAGTGATTTTATAAGAAGTCGTATTCGGGTTGCCAAGAGTTATAGGTGTTTTTGACCTTTCACGCCACCCAATATAGATTAACTGGCGACAGCTGCGAAAATGTAGGTAGCTGACCTAAATAGGTAGGAAACGCAATTGATAAAATTTTCATAACGTTTGGTTACCTCTTGTAGAGTATCATTGATTGTCTTCAAATCGGCTAACAAACGAAACTGACAACAGCTTGACCACTAGATATATTTGCAGTAACGATCATTAAGAAACAATATTAGAAAGTGACGGAAATAAGAAATTGGCAGCTGGCAGGTACAATATAATACTAAAAAATTTAGGGCAATCAGGCTATGGTGTAGGGGTTATAGAGTGGCAAACCAGCGGGCTAGGCAGCCAGCGGACTTCAAGTACGTCATTTTGCATCGAGTTATCCGCCGCCTACGACCGAATTTCAAAGTAAGTAGTGACTTCATTTTTATTTCAATGTAATTGATGCAGATAATTTTTTTTATTTTGTCACGAATAATAACTACCTTTTACAGCGAGAGTGCATTAGTAATATAAAGTTGCAATTGTTGTCAATCACTATCCTGTGCGGGTATCTATGATAACTAAACAATCTACAGGTAATTATAAGAGAAGCACTGTGTTTCATACAATAATTTTTGTTTCACCTATTTCTAATAATAACTAGAATACTGGTAAGATAGTGATACAATTGTAACAACAATAATATAATCATCGGTCTACAAGGTGCGCATTTTTATGGCGAAAAGCTTTGCACAGATAGAAAATCAGTAGACGAATTCATCATATCATTTACTTGTTGATATTAAATTAAAATTAATATAATTTTAATTAAGTAATGGTATATGCTAGCATATTATATAGGCATCTCATGTCCAATATTTGTAAATGTTAGTTGATTAAACGTGGATCATCTTTGGAAATTTATAAACATATGCCAGTGTGAATGTATGTTTAAGACTGTCTAAATTCACTAAGCGTCAATGGAACTAAGATTTTCGTTAATTAATTGATTAATTCGCTATTACAAACCAAATAATGTTCTAATGCTAATAAATGTTCTGCGTATTACGTTAACCATTACTTAAATTACCATTACCATTACAAAAAGAAGTAACGTAGTAGAACTAATTATTCCGATCCTCATTTTTCTGCGCAACTGACATACTTACTTGATTGACAAAACTTAGTTCCCACTAGATTAATATTGTTTTCGACTAAGTAAAATTATGAAGACTTCTCTTAACCTTCGTTATGGCTTGCGAGATATGTCGTTTCGCCCTGACATGTTCAACGTTTGGGGCCGAAAGCTAAAAGACATTTTAGGCCGAGATTCGCCAATGAATAAACCTAACCCACGACGCGCGCTATCCTTAAAGAGACTAAGCGGGCCTGTGCGGCCCATATGTATGGCCATGCGCATTTTGTTGAAACGGGCTACGTTGCTCGTTTCAGCAAGATGCGGATGCTTGATAAATTCCAAGTAATAACACGTCGTTTGTGGAAGAAAGATGTGGAAGATTGCATTTTGCCCAGATCTGGACCCCTTTATATTTCGTTGTCTTTGTTTTTACTAATGATTTAACAACAATGCTTATGTATATCGACAATGATATTTAGCAGTCTAAGCTGAAAGAGATCAATAGTGAATGCATGCGTTGAAAAATCAGACCAATTAAGAATTTTAGCAAGATTTTTAAGTAAGTCTAACTTTACAGTGTAGGTCTGTACGATGAAATTTCTCCGTTCGAAATGTATTTAATTCCTCTCATTTTATAATTAAATGGGGCGTTTTTTTCTGTGCTTGTGCATATGTTTCCGTATGACAAAAATCAGGTTTGGCGATGACGAGGATAAGCTGTCCTGATGCCGATCCGAACATCTTGTGTATTACAACAGGCACGAAATGCCTCAGCGGTAAATACCTTGCGATGGAGGGTTCCGCACTGTTCGATTGTCATGGGGAGATCCTCGCTCGACGATGCTTCAAATTTCTCCTTTACCAACAGCTTGATACGTACGCTGATCCGGGTGCCGTAAGTTCACTACGAATTTAGAACACATTGAAAAATGCTTACACTTGTTTGTGTATGCATTTACTAAGTATCGAAACAGGTACGGTGTCTTTTTTGTCGAATCCGTCTACTGCGGGTACTGTGAAATCTACCAACTTTGACACGTTCAACAGCCATTTCAGTGGGGCATAGGTACGACGCATTCTTGGCTTCAGGATCAAAGACGTCAGTGTTGTTTGTTTGCAGGATAAAACAAATCTCATATTAGAACCGGACATAGTATCAGGAAAGCTGATGTTGAAACCTGGCATACAGCTACATCTGTTTATCAGCACTTCGCCATGCGGAGATGGGCGAATATTCGCACCAAATGAAAAGGCTTGCACGGAGCTCATGGATCGAAATGCCGGAAGAGCGTCCCGGGGAGTACTGCGAACCAAGATCGAGGGTGGAGAAGGTAATTAGTTAAATATGGGAGTGAGTATTTTGAAAATATTGTAATGTACATTATAGAAATCCATTCATATTTACATCCATACAGTTAACGCTAATGTGCCTATATAGAACTAACCAGATTATGGTATTGACTTTACTGCTTATACCAAAAGGGTCATATTATAGGGCTACATATTCGGTAACGGTGAGTAAAAATACAGAATCATTGTTGTCAAATATCATTTCATTACCTGTTGCCTCAGGAATTATAACCTTCACGTACCCATCCATTAACTGAATGTATGCATCTTTGCGTGTGTTCGCAGGCACGATACCACTTCCGGCGTCATTTACTGTCCAAACATGGGATGGTATTATGAACGGCGACCAAAGACTTTTGACTCACTCATGTTCTGATAAGCTGCTCCGATGGAACGTGCTCGGTCTCCAGGGCGCGCTACTGTCACACTTCGTGCATCCCGTATGTTATGTCAAATGACACTTTAGTGTATCTTGTGTCTGATGTGGTGGACCAATTAAGGTGTGCAGTCGAAAGCATTTTAGCGTGGTTCACTTACACCATGCAACTTAAGTAATGTAAATTATCACCTCGAAAAAAAAGGTCTCATTTTTTGTTATTTCCTTGGAGAAACCTTATGGAGAAACTATGGATCGTTTTAGACCTCTAAAAATGCATTATGCGAATACTACAGTTTGAAGTTCATTTCGTTTATTTACTAGATAAACTCTATACAACGATAAAAATGACGTCTTAAGTTCACACAAAATGAAACAGCTTGACAATGATTCGCTGTTTCGTATGAGTGTCGTTTGATTGTTTAGATCTACCTGAGTAGCATCGTGCTGGGTTCAATGTTCCATGCAGTTCACATGGAACGCGCCGTGGCCGGCCGCCTCACGGGTCAGTTCCCCGATGGAAACCTTCCGCCCGGCTACAGCCATAATTTTCCAGGGCTTTCGAGGTAATCACAATTATTTTGCTATTTATCCTGTTCATCCTATTGATATTTTTGCCAGTTGGTGAATTCGTTTATGTTCAAGATAATATATACAAATACTCTTTTAACTGGCGTTGCTTCGAAATTTTTCATTTTATGAGAACGTGAAGTAGTCTTGTAAAAAATTTGTCCCCGATTTTGCAAAATACCAGTAACTGTTTTATTATACGCTAAGCTGCTGTAATGGTAACAAGATTTTTCGGTATGTGCGGTCGCAATGTTTTTCAATTCAAGTTACATGTAATTCACGAATATTGCCATATCAAGACCGATAATTGCTATAATTTAAAATTATAATTACAGCGCCTTACTGTTGTATGAATCTTACAATTCGAAAGTAAATGTATCCGTTATTATTTTTATCATTGTTAGGCTAAGCTGTGTGATGACTCGTACAATTCAGAAATCTCCGAACTTCGCTGTCAATTGGATAATTGGTGACGATACCCCTGAAGTCGTCGACGCTTCAACCGGCCTTCGAGAGACAAATGAAATTTCACGGCTGGCCAAAAGAGAACTCTTTTCAAGGTAATCAACTTCAACTATTATTGTTATTATTATTAAAGGCCTTTAGTAAATGGGTATTGCTCTCAATAGGTTTCCAATAGCAGGTTCTCAGAGAATCTGACTAAAATAGTGAGACTTGATAAAAGGTATTATTCTACATACTAAAGTGAAATCCATGCTTGTTTTGCCTGTGTGTAACAACGGGCAGACATCTTGTAGCAGTATGGAATTGGCGACTGTTTTTTTCAAATTTATTTTTCTACTTAATCTGGAATATCGAAATGCCATTGATACCCTCTCAATAAATTAATTGGCCGAGCCGCGGTTCACACTGATTCACGTGTATTGTTACCGTTAACCTTTACACAACCGTATGCTTTGTCACTATGATATGTAGTATGTGAACTAATTATCAAAAATCTTTTTTCTTGATGCAGGTTCCTCAGTCATTATAAGAGTCGCACTTCCGAAGCCACTTTGGATGAGCATCTCACGTACCGCGCTGCGAAGGAACTTGCATTTGATTACGAGTTTGCTAAGCAAGCGATGTTCCAGGCCATGGAACAAGCAAAATTAGGTCGGTGGGTTACTAAGCCCGAAGAGTGCAGTGGCTTTAATCTGGCTGATTAGAAAAAGCCAAGTGACCTTTTCATCAATACCGACCAAATCGGGCCAAGTTTGTTAGTCGGTTTTCTACGTATGATCTCGTATATTATGGCCTCATTTCTGCTACCAACTGTTTTAATTACCTTAATCTGCCAAGGACGCTGGCTGCTGTTAACAGTGTAATATCTTTTACTTTAGCGGTGTCAAAAAGAACAGAACTCATCCTTGCCCTATTTTAAGATCAAACTGGGTCTACTGAGTGTTACTATGTTACGTTTCACAGTGACAGCCTCAGCTTCCGATTCCTTTTACGCAACTTGCTTAAAAGGCTGAACATTCATTTTGAAAACTACATCTCATGGACTATCCACATCAGACATTGTGGACAGATATCTTTTATCGACATTGCACCCATAATAAGTAGCTCATTTCACCGAAAATAGCTTTTAAACTATTCTGTAGGATATATTAATATGCAGATGTGACTGTCTATTGGAGGAGCTTTACTACTATTAGAAATCCATAGAATAACCCGGTAAGGTTAATCGGTTATGGATGTACGTGGGCACTGGTACGAATATTTCTTGCTGACATATAGCTCTAGTAATAATAAGTGAAGTACTCTATTATATGTTAACCAAATATTAATGCCACACTAAACTTTCGATAAAACTGAAACTTCTATCGAAATGGGCTAAACTTGTACACGGTTATTATCGTGATGTATCATGTGACACTACCTGCACTCCACCTAACGTGTTCTGCGGGTGTTAACTTTATTTTTCTGTTGAAATGTGAAATCGTATTTGTGGCCCCTCTGGACGGACTCAGTGTGGCAAGATTTTGTTCGTACATTTACTTGCATTAGTTGGAGTTCGGGCGCTGAGCAGAGTAAACTGCGTGCCTTCTAAGCACCGAAACGTCGAATTTGGCGATGTTTGTCAGGTGTCTTGTTTTCTTTGTGATTTCTCTATTACTGTTCCCAGTGGGTGGCATTTGGGGGCTGACAGTAACAACAGCGGCATTTTTTGGATACTTGTTGAATGTACTTGACCCTATCCTTGCTCACTAAGGTAGACTAAAGTAACCAGCTTTACTTAGTAAGAAACTGGAAATTGCCATCTTCATACTTGTGTAAACATTACTATGTAAATTATCTTTAGGCTTAAGGCGCGCACACAGCTTTTCGACATGATACGATATCTTATATCACTTGCTTATTTTTATAAGGCACTGATGCCTTATACATAATTGTAACAAACAGCTTTTTGGTTTCGTAAGTGCCGTGTGGTGCTTCCTGTTGTACTATAGTTGTATCGTATTGATTTTTGAAAGGTTATAAATAGAGACTGTATAATCAATGCATTTAACGCGTCTTTAATTAGGCCTTTCGGAATACTTTTTAATTCACATGTAAATAGAAGCACGTGGAAAAGCCCAACAGATTCTAGCCTAGAAGGTTTGATAGCATTATAAATGTGTTGAAGTATAATGTTTGCCAGTCCCTAAAATTTGAGTATTTCAATTGGCTCCTACCGCTACTCGAACAATCTATCTACTATCAAAAACAACGATTTCGGAATTTTAGAAAAGAATTTAACAGTCCTTAAAGCAACACGTTAGTATCACACGGACTAATACGCGCTAATTTAGGCTTATATGAAACGACAACAAAGAAGGTCAACGAAACCCATACAAGTATAGCGTTTTTTTTTATTACTTTTTTCATTCCGCATACGTATAAGCATTTTCTTGGTGCACCACAGAGATGGTACTTCAGTCCATAGAAAGAGCAAGTCGTCGCATATCAGCACCTATTGTGAAGTACATATTTACAATATATTATAGCATATCTAGCATTAAACGAATACAGGAGTCACTGTTAGGACATTATGTACTGCTAACCGCCGGGGCTGTTTTCGTTTCTTTTTTGGATTAAAAAAACAGAATCGGCATTTCAATGGCCGAAAATGTATAAATAGATTTTTTTATCAACAGAATCAATACACAATTGATCGACAATTCGATTTGTCAACTTCGGCTGTCAATGATGTACCTCAACCAACATATTTAATTAGAACTTTTGATCTATCTAATTATGAGCACATGTGATGAAACGTTTGTTTATATAAATGGAAAATAACAAGGGCATTGTAATATAACATTTGTTCCTCGACTGCCAAATATGTTCATTTGAAGGTCAATGTAGCGGCTGGATAATCACTGTTCGGCCACGATAATGTCTGTCGCATCTTACTTTTCACACGATCTATCTTCCATAAATGAGTTCATCTCATCATTAGTTTCATGAAATCGCATTCATAAGTCGAAAACATACTATCTTCATTCTGCGATTTACTTTTGCAGATCATCAATCAATTATCTATCCGTGCACATCATCCATATGCATGTGTATATTTATGTACTCTGGTTATCGTCCGGTGTTGTCGCTTTTCTTTTTGCTAGTGCTCCGTCTTCATTCACGTGCTCATTATTTTCCACCGTCATCTTTAAGTTTTCTTGCCACGTAATAAAGTTCAAGAGGCCGATTCTGTTTCCAATAGCGTTCATTGATTTGGTCGAGAGTGACGTGGGTCGGCAGAGCAAGGAACGACGCCGTACCTGTGCTCACGTACAGAGTATAAACGACTTTCGAGTCATTTGCGCCTCCGGTGCCTGCACCTGCGTCGTTAACGCCGCCAGCGGCCGATCCCAATGAACCACCACCAGACTGCTGACTTTTGTTTCCACCGGCACCCCCGCCTCCGCTGTGGTTGCTGTGGCTATTACTACCATCGGAACCTGACGTGTCGAGCTCGTAGCGAGTTGTGCAGTAAGCGGCTAAGTGCTCGGCCGTGGCGTTACCTGTCGTCTTCATGTATCTATAATAAACGGTACGAAGCGGTAACAGGAGGCGATAGAAAAACATCATGCAAAACATTTATGACAGTATGCGTGGCGAGCAGTGAGTAGCAATATTATACTAAATAATAATGTGTGTTCAAGACGACAATTAGGCATTCCATTACACGGTAGTATTAAATTAGATATACTATACAGAGAGAGTCGAAACGTTGTTAAGGTGAGCATCGAAAAAGAGGGAGCTCAACATATTAAACAAAATAAATATAATACTAAATGATCTGGATGTACTGTTTCTTCATATATGTAGATAAATAGCACTGCTCTTAACATTTGAAAAGACAATATTCTAAAGTTGTATCCTCGATATTCGTCCAGATGCAAAATCTTGCTAAATTCAATTGCTTCAATTGTTCTGTTGGTGAATCTTAAGACAAGAACGTACCGGATCTGGCTGTCTTGGGAGGGCTCGCTGGGATGAGGTTTAACGACCAGCTCAATTTCGTTTACTGTAACAACGTTGTCGGTGGATGATTCATCCGTGTCTTCGGGACAAGCCACCGCCCGGCCTCGTTTGCGTTGAGGAGGCTATAATAATTATAAAGACACAATTTGCTTGGTAAATAACAAACACATGTAATGGTGAAAAAAAGATGTATATATATCTTGCACTGCATCGATGGTACTTGAGCAAATGCGATGTGTCTAAACGATCTAGCTAAATCTGGTCTTGCATAGGTTTGTGTCAATTGATGTTAACGCTACCCAGGTAATTTTCTCCTCCTCAAAAAGGCTGCTAGCTATAATATACTCATGAATTCCGTTCATATTTAACTTTTTTTTTATTTAAGATACATCTAATTTTTGCCTCAAATACATAACAAGCTAGAATACTAGTCTGTGAATCTACAGCCTACAACATTTTCCTCAGACACTCCCGTTCAGATGGATCTTCATCAAAAATATATTAACAGACTTTCAGCAGATCGTTATTTCCGCAAATCTTACAGACCACAGTAATGACCAACCTGCGGAGTAGAACTGCGGCTGCTTCCGCCGTCGCTAACCGATCCGTCATTGTGACCGCCGGTCCCGGTCTGTTGTGGACTAGGAGCGCTATGGGGAGCCCCTACTGTCGCTGAATGACCACTTGCTGGGGTGGGCTCCTCTTCAGCCGTGGCACGATCACCCGCTGGTCGCTGCTTCCGGTTGGCCAGTTTTCGGCTGAGGGCCTGTGCTTTGAGGCCCTCTTCGATCGATGAAGCGAAAGCTTGTCCACACGTCTTGTTCAACTTAGCCAACACCCGCTCCTGGCAATCGATAATTGCATGGTATATTTATTGCATTCTCATGAAATGGCAGACAGGTACGGTAAGATAAAATGGAAATTGAACTGAACTGAACTGAACTCGACACTGCGCAAAACAATAATTTCGTTGGCGATGATATCACAATAGTATGTATCCAATGGCAGTAATTAAAGCACAATTTAGCTTTCCAAACTTAAGTCACTAAACGCTTTCGATAAACATACAGATTCCGTTTCGCACTGATATGGGTTAGTCAAAGGTATGATCGACCATTCAGGCTGGTGTTACACCCTCAATAACAGCAGGCCGTCATTATAAAGGTTGCCTCTTATGTACGTTATCGTTTTACTTACGTACTTAACAAAGGTGTCAATGGAAATTATTATTATTCAGATTCAAATTTCATTTGTATACATAAATGAGATGGTTAGACAAAACGTTGGAACATCTCCTTTAGTTGAACTCACCCTGCACCAGTGTAAAGGGCAGTTATGGCACCAATTTCAATAATATCAATCTAAAACACATTAACAGATTCGCATAAAGAGAGACTATACACACTGAGTACGGGTAAAGTATTAAATAATACTTACGCTACTTAAGGGTAACAGCATGGTGAACTGATAAGCTATTGCTATCATTTTTCCATGTTATATAGTTTTAATCAAAAAGGCCACTCATAGATTTTCAACGGATATATTTTGTATGCCTTAAAATAAATAAAATAAAAAATAAAATCAGTGCCGATCGAATCGAATGGAAAGCTAAATAGTTTAAACCCTGAACAGTCAAAGTGGATTGAACTAGTAAATCACACTGATAACTACCTGATAATGGTCGTACTCGTCACGAGATGGGTAAATCTTGGCAATGAGTGCATCAAAGTTTGGATCGGCCCGAAGACTACGTTTGGAGACGAGCTTCTTACGACAGGTCGGGCATTCTTTGTTGCCAGATCGAAGAGCTATTGCGGGAGAATTGATAGATATTTAGCACGAAGCATTTAAAGGAGTAACCATTAGCACCGCGCGTAAATGAAATTCCAACTGTGCTACCATTATATCGTATTCCAGTTGGAGCTCCATGATCGTGCAGTGTTATCGAGAACCCTTACCAGTACCTTAATAAACATGGTAAGCCTTTCAGTGTCTGTATAGCTATAATAGGACTAAACATCGCCATACATGTTTAACAAATTAACTGGTGTAGGATGTTTCCGGTTGATCTCAACACAGAAAAACCCAGGACAGGCTCTGCAAGTAGTCTAGCCATCACAGCAGTAGAGCGACCTAACTTGTATGAGCCCTATAGTTTTCGTTTCTATGCCAACGACTGATTAATCATTCAATCAATGTTTGGTCACTGCGAGTGCCATTATTGCAGTAGATCCATTCAAAGATGTAAAAGGTACACTCACACAAAGATATATAGACAAATAGATATGCAGGCACGTACTTACACAACACGGAGAAAAAAAACTCAGGTCAAGTACCAAAATCATACTCATATTAGTGCGCCTTTGTTGATTTTAAGGACTGGCACAAACAAGTTTTCACATATTTCCTGCTGTTAATGCTATCGGACACGAAGTAAACGCAGTGATTAGCTCCGTCAGGTTTCGAGATGCCCACTAAATATTTTAGCCCTCGTTGAAGTTACAGTGGCTCACAGCTGAGTGACTCAATTTATTGCTTAGTCACGCACATATTGATTTGATTCGGATGGATGAAAAGAAAATGCCCGTGAATACAAGTTGTAGCAAAATAAACAGCTCTGTATATAGGATGTCATTCCCAGCTGTGTGTAACGCCCTCGCTAATATTAGACTAATAGATGAGTCATGCCGTTAGTCAATTGTTATGCTACAGAGTTACTACATTAAAGGCTAGTGAATTGTAACGGCCATGCTGTAACCAGAAACGTAAAAACAAAAAATTGCAGACTCCGCGCTCAACTCCAACGATCTTGTGATTTCATAAAAAAAAGACGAATCGTGCAATAGTTTTATATCAACAATAGTTTATTATTCTAGTGTTTTATAAGTGACTTATCTACTTAACTAGGATAGGCGCGATGAACCCACGCTATTAGATATAGGCACAGTAATCAGAGTTAGTAGTATACTAACCGCATTCCAGGAAATGGTGTGACGATATCCAATCATCAAAGGCAAAAAATCTACACAATGGATAGAAGCATTTAGCCGGAACTCCTAAACGAGTAGGCAGCCATTCATATTATTGCGTTGTAATAGCAAAACTCAGTGAGAAGTCGCATCGATCTATTTGCTAGCTTGGTTTATATTAAAAAATAAATTACCATAAGACGTGTATGGCCGCCAAAAAGATAACTTGTCAAATATATTGTACAAGGTTTTAGTAAATGCACGGAAAATGCCTCAATTTAAATCAGTATGAAAAACGTCTACCAGAAAATAAATGTTTCGTAATTCAATGAAATATTAAATTATGAATGTACGAACATGGCCCGCGTACACAATTATGGATGTCAGGTGCAGTATTGTAGTTAACAAAGAGCTCTCCGATCAAAAAAGTTCGGTTTCCGGAAAAAATTCCAAAGCTGCTAATTTTGGAAAATAAAATCACTTTACTCTAATTACAAACTGTGCCGTCGGATGTCATACCAGGCAAAATAATAAGACATGGCAGTGCTCCTTTTCATTATAGCCGGAGAATTCCAAAGGCATGTCCAGAGATGAAATACAAGCATCTGTGCAAGATGTCAGTCTATATGTCTTCGCTTTTTTGGACCACAGCAAAACATGATTTCTATTTACTCAATTCATGTGAATTGGCTAGTTAGCTGAATATATACAACACGTCCTTATAGAGTCCTCACTTTGTTTTTGGCAACATACATGTGGGCCACGTTACCACTGTTGTGCAAAGTGGTATGCTCAATGTGACTTTACACAATAAAACACGACATTTATGGAAAAAAAATACGGAAGTGCTTAAACTTCCAACATACGGCTATTACACAAATACGGTTATATGCTTCGTGCTCATCGAGCATCGGCGTTTTGTAACGTAAGTTTTGCTGCAAAGTTAAGGCTTGAAGTGCATATTTTTAGTCCTATTGTATCTCCTTATTTGCATCTAGCACTTTTCAACCTACGAAAAAGCCCATACCTGCTACGCATGTAAGTATGATGATGTGTACAACGTATTTAATTTCTCCATACCTATAACAATCCAGGTATGTAATTGCATACAACGAACTTGTGCTTCTGCTTTTACTATTGAAAGGTTTTAACACTCACCTGTAATAATGCACTCTTGACAAAATCTGTGTAGGCATTCTTTGGTGGTCATGGTTGTCTTGAGTATATCTAGGCAAATGGGGCACATTAATTCCGAGTGAAGGGAACGTTGAGAAACCGCAATTTCCGTATTGTCAGTGCAGACCTAGAACGTAGCACAATATCACAATAGGTATTTTTTTCTAGTTATCGGACTACAAAAGAGAAATATTCACATTTATTAACGTTTCGTAAAAGTCGTCATAAATTCGTAAAGTAATGCTCGACCATTAAGACATTCTGACCTGTACTTTGATTCACTCGTATTATATCGATTGTTGCATTAGACACCTACCCCCCACTATTATCTGATAGACATCTACTACAACAAACTTCTTTTTATGTTATATTCTCACAGTCAAGGCATAAAAATTATATTCAAAATTTGAGAGACTAAGGCCATTACCTGCAGTTATTGTGCTGCCGCGTAATCCTAGTTTCTACTATGATCTGTAAGATTTTTGCGCAGTTCAAATACAATATTCTGTAAAGGTTCTTGAACCACACTCGCCGAGCCTACTCAACGTCTGCTTAACCGACCCCAAGAGCAAACTGACAACCGTTAGGTCGGAGTTAAAAGATGTGTAGGAGTTAAATAAACTCCTACATATCTTTTATTAAACACTGTCATACCTAAGTCGATCATGTGTTCACCCACCGCGGACTGAATAATAGTTGTAATAAGAATAGTAATAATCTTAGTTATTATTACTATGTATTAAAATAAAGTTCAGTGATGTTTTCGTCGTATAAAGTAAGTTACGCGGTTTTTCACGCTATGCTTTCGTGTCTGGTGCACTCACGCCGTCTTATTCTAATTATATATGTCATAAGATTATAAGCTGTTGTTAGTCAGGAACGGCTATTGCGTAATCTATGCTCAACCGCGTTAAACAAATCACAAATTCATGAGTGCTGGTAACGCGAATACAGTTTTTATAGGAGTATTATCGAGTATCGGTAGGTCTATAATCTGTTGATAATGTGAACTTTGTTAAGAATCTTTATCTCATCACTTTATTCTCATTATGATTCTTTTTACTAATTCGTTCTGAGTAATAAATAATTGTTGACAAGTTTGTTGTTAAAAAGTGAAGCCTTTCTAAGCTGATCTTCAACTGTTCTCTTGTTTAGCAGAACCTTAGAATCAGCTTTTGCTATTCCTCTAACGACTGGGAGGAACACGAAATGTTCAGCTGAGGAGACGCGGGGTTACGAATACACAAACCTCTTGTGGAGTGCGGTGCATCTCATACAGGGACAATTCCCAGGTTCGAGCTGTTCCTAGGGGGTCCATCGTTGTCATCGCCTAACTCTCCTACGACGGAAAGTCAAGCACATCAAAGGAAAATGTCGCAAGACACACGATATCAAAGCGCCAGCAGTAAGAAGCACAAATACGCAATAATATGTTACTGCCAGGCGTACTCCAACCAGAACAATGAAATATGCACATACACCTTCTGATGCTGCTACAAGCTGTCTCGTATCCTGTCTGTTTACAGAGGAATGAACGACGGACTGCACACCCCTCTGACAGAATGTTGGCTGAACCCAACCAACTAGCCAGCGGAACGGCGGTACAATAATACAAATATTATTTTTCCTTCGCTCTAACATATAAACAACAGCTAGCATCTACGGCTAATTCAGCACGAAAACAACAGTGAGCTATTGCCTCAATAATGACATTGATCTCTGACTGGCTAACTGCTCTGGCTGTACTGATTGAGTGAGTGCCGAGATCGCGCATATCAGAGCTTACCGCTACGGGGGAAAGATCTGAGGGTTTAGATAAGGCCTGTGTGGCGGGCGGCTCAGTGTTGCCATCAGCCATATTTTGCGAACCTAATAAATAAAGCAACCAAATTTTCATACTAATAATAACAGTAGAGGATATCAATTTATCTTGTATGACAACATGGCGACATCGTTTTTTCTTTGAAAAAAAAAAACGAATTTGATGCAGTTTTAAAGTTCAAAAAGTAACACAAGCATTCACATGAATACAATCTATTGCAATATTTCACATGAAACTAATATGGGCATTCATTCGATTTTAGTAAAATAAACAACTCCATGCTGAATAGAATAGGTCCTGCATTATTATTCAGTTTATCGCCAGTGATACTCCAATGAGAACTGCACAACGTGCACATAGAGTGTGGTTGTGTATTTTGTTAAATGTGTAAGTGTATAAGATTACAGAGGTTACTGTGTTTCCGCAGTGAAATTCCGGATTCTAAGTTGTGACATGAGTCATCTGAGCTAGACTCATAAAGTGCAACTTTTGATACTACGATGCGCATCTGCTCGGTGTAGCTAATCTATTTACACAGCCATGGTAGAAAGTAAGTCGAATTAAGCTGACAGAGCTTGACGTCCAAACATGAATCACTTAAACTTTGGGATTTATATACATCCCAGAGATTTATGTCTATTTAAGTTCAATAGCGAACTAAGGAAAAGCTTCACTTGTAATAAGAAAAAAAAATAACCGAGCTTCTACTGAAGACCTACTCATAAATTCTTGAAAAAGACCAGAATGTTCGATGCAAATATTAGACACGTTCAGCGTTACTAATATCAGCCAGTCTGACATGATTGATGGTAACGAATATATAAAAAGACCCTCAATTCCCAATAACAGACGTTTGCTCAATGATTTCATGATGTCAAAGGAGTCGTTGTTCAACCTGATTCTCCTATAAGCACGCGAACTAGCGACATCTATCTAAATTTTCTGGAGCGGATCAGCACATGTCGCAGCAACCTGATTTCAGGGCTATTTATGTACGAAGCAACAAACATCGCACCACTTATTGATATTGACCTTATCTTCAAGCGAGCCGTTTTCGGTCGCCCCATATAATTTGGAGCAGAATTTCCAGGTAAGCTGTAAAATATCCACCCACTTAACTAGGTTGATTCGAGGTTCGCTAGTTACCCTTGGCGCGGGTATCAGCCATTGTCACACCTCTTAACACTCGTCTGCTTCGTTAATCGGTTTCAGCATTTAGCGTCATGGAATTTTGTTTAGCGAAAGTCCTCATGCGTACACCATTCGCCATATCGTGTGTATCCGTCGTGTGCGTGAAGTCCACGCTCCCTCCCCGACCAGACCCCAGCTTACTCATCCAGCGGCAGAGTCTATTCGGTGAGATAACAAAGCAATTTGCTCCGAATGTATTGTGCAGTGTATGCGAGCTAAATTTGTCCTTTTCACTAGAATTCGGCAAAAGTTTAGTGGAAATCTTTTTTTTTTTTTGTTGCTAACGCAATAACGGTGTGATGCTACCTTCGATCAACAACCGTTGTTGATAGATTACTAGCAGAGCGTCTAGTTGTGAGGGAAGCTCATATTTTTACCGCGTTAACAGATGATCAGCAGCCGAAGTCAATTGATGTAAACGCGCTCTGAGCGACAAATAGGTGTGAGTAGACGCCAAACTTGATGCGGGCAGTCTATACCTGTTAATTAAGCCCTGTAGGAGCAAACTGTCGCCACCTGTTGAATTAATTTCGCTGATGACCCTCATAGTGATAATATATATATATATATATTCAGTATTACGTGTAGGATTCCTATTATAATAAACATTTCGCGCTGTACCAACAGTGGCAGTAGATGTGTTTCGATTAAACAAAGTCAACCATATTCTTCAAGTGATTGTGTCAACTGGAGATTACTGTGGCTCAGTCATGGTCATTAATAGATATTGGTTGTAATCCACAGTGAGTGACTCTGTGGTTCCGTTCTTGTCTTTCGACCGTGCATCGTACGACAGTATTCTGAATTAGATTGGGTATCTTATTTTTGAGAATTTTAAAATCCACTGGTAGGAATTGAGTGGTCGTATTTGTTTGAGAACTGATGAAAATGAAGACGCGTGCAACGAAAAAGCAATGACGTTGGCTTCTTATAGCGCGAACTCTGGCGCACTGCCATGTTTTTACTACGGCTATTAGGTGGTATTGGTTGTCTATATATATTGACATAATGTGGCAGAGTTTTTGGGGCACAAGTTGACGTACGGTTTATGAGCGCACAGTACGATATTGTCAAACGCTACGAATTATCCCCGTGATTGTGTTGGTAGTACGTTTGTTCACTACACGTAGAGACGCATGAAGTGATTTAAGGTTTGAAGTCACGCGTTTCCGTCTGAGGTCTGAGGAAGCTTGTTTAACTAAGAAATAGAACATAAAACTGGAAACATTTAGAATGAGACCGACGAGCTGTTTGCCGCTCCACAATAGTGTGTTAACCTCGTAGTGGGAATAGTGGCTTTTATCTTGCTACAGAAATTCGTTGATCATACGGATTGATAAACTTTTTCAGTTAATTCTTGTACTCTTCTTAGGAAAACATATTGATTATCAATTTAGTTTATGGTTACCATTTAAGGAACATTACATAAAAGAACGTCATTTCTGCACAAACTGCGCAGTATTTGCGCACCGATGTACCATTGGAAGGAAATAATATATGACGACGAGATCGTCTTGCTTCGCCGCATCGCAATAAAATGCATTTTGCGATGTTCTTGTGATTTCTGCCGATTACGAGTTGTGCTCTATTTCTGACAGGTTTCTGCAGAAGGGATTCACTCATATCGTTTTTTGGGCACACAAAGTAAATAGAGTTTTACGAACTGTTTTTATTGACAGGACGGCTCGGGTAAACTACCTGACTCCGATAACGGTGCGTCTCTTCCAGAGGTACATATACGCCGATGCACACTTGGAGTACATGTCAGATACTGCAGATGCCATGAATTGTAATTATCAACGTGTAGAATACTTGGCTTGCTTCGTAATTACCTGAAATTCAGTAGTAAATTCAAAGTAGTTGTTAAAGTCTTGCAATCACGGTGATACCAAATAAAAGAAAAAGTCCTTGTAGTTGTGCAGTTGTAACGGGTTTGTCTGCGAACCGTTCGGACACGTGGGGTAGTCGAGGTTCGAACCATCGAATGCACTAGCTTCCGTGCTGGAGGTTAGTTGCGCTTGAAGCCAAGTAAAAGATGCAAAACTCGAAAACATTGGCGATAGATAATAAGTTAATCGACAGACATTTGCGTACGTAGGTATATCTGACTAGACCTAAAACCTATATTGCATACCGCTGATGGTGTTCTTTTGACAGTAAGGCCTATTTTAGATTTATGCACGACAATTTAATATACGCCAAAGGCTACCTTTATCAGCGTACGTGGATGAAACGCTAGCCTAAGGCCATCCACCCAGTGAGATAAAAAGAGAATAATTTGATAAATTAAGTACACAATTTTTACCCGAGGACACATAAGCTATATGCGCTTTGAGCAATCGTACGAAACGAAAATAATTATGTATACTACATTATAATTTTAATTATTCTCATGAATTTTGTGTAGTCATTTTAATGGTTACTTAGTGTTCAGAGATTGTTGTGCGCATTTGTATGGCTTAATTAAGCCATTTCTAGATCGGCATCCCTTTAAATAGTATAAATAATAACATTTAAATTCTATTCTTACATCCTAATTAAAATCCCTTTAAATAGAATAAATTTAAGCGTACGACTACGATCCATTAGCGTGTGCGGAATCCATATCCATTGCTTTGCTTAATCATTAGCCCTATGTGACCCGACCCTTGTTGTGCATATTACTGGGTAGTGCATACACAGAGGTCGCAAGCTTTCCCAATAGTTAGTATGGGGTCTATGCCCAGTCTGTTTCCGATATATAACTCGTCATTGTTTCTTTATTAGGTTTGTCAATCAAAATTACTCATGTTATTGTGAGTGTAATAACAATGTGATATATTTATAGTAATTTGTATATATATTAACAATATATAGTAATTTTCAATAGACGTCGGCGTTGTTCGAAATGTGGCCATTTACTACCTTTTGTTTAATTCTATGTCCAAATATATCTAATATATTATAGATAGAAAAAAACTATTGTAAGTGTCGTATCTTGTGCATTTTTGTATCCTTTTATCGCAGCCAATGTCTGACGAACTGCCGCGCCTCGAAGCCCGAGAGGCAAAATTGCCCTCGACATGCAACCTTGCCGCAGCCGGAGATGACAATATGAGTGAACCTACTGAACAGACTAATTCTGTCGAAGAGGATGTTGAGCAAGTGATGATCGACGTCGACACGGAAGAAGTGGATTTCAACCACGGACGTCTCACGGAGATTCGGGGACTTGAGGAACTGAGACGAATTCGTGTTCTGGGCTTCCGGAACAATCTTCTTAAGAAGATAGAGAATTTGGAAACGCTTACCACTCTTGTCGAACTTGAGTTTTATGATAATCAAGTAAGGAAATAAGGGATACCAAGGGAAGAAGAGACCCTACGTAGTGATGAATACGATGAAAATAATAATATGAAATGTTTACATTGTCTGTAAAGCGTGTTTGTATTGTGTTTATGAGAGCGCCAAGCAAGTTTACCCCGTATTCAGTGCTCCGCTTAACTTTACAATTTATTAAGTGTAGATATCATGAACATCAGATCGCTACTTAGCAAGAATAATAGATTCGGTTATATATTATTTTCGAGTATACATCAGATAACTGAACTTTAATTTGTATACGATTTGTACGTACTAAACATATGTAATCATTCAAATCTTTGCAGATTACGAAGATTGAAAATTTGGATACGCTAGTAAACCTGAAGATTCTTGACCTGTCATTTAATCGTTTGACAGTAATCGAAAATCTTTCGTCCCTTCGCAGTCTTGAAAAGCTTTACCTCGTCAACAATCGTATCTCGAAGATTGAAAATTTAGACGCGCTTGAGAATCTTCGCTTGTTGGAATTGGGTGCCAATAAAATTCGTGTACTCGAAAATTTAGAAAAGCTCACGTCACTTACCGAGCTATACGTTGGAAAGAATAAAATTGCCAAACTTCAAGGTTTAGAAACACTCGTTAACTTGGAGACGTTAAGCGCTCAGAGCAACCGACTATTGCACATTGAAGGGCTTGACAACTGTACTAAACTTAAGGGGCTTTATCTTTCTCACAATGGGCTAACAGCAGTGGAGAATCTTGAACAAAATGTAAGTGAACTTGCTAGTGGTGTCTGTCAGGTATAGCTTTCTTTTTGAAAATCTAAGGTATTTTTCGGAAAGAGTTACACGTGGCGAGATAGCGACTATAAGATTGACCAACTGCGCCTTGATTTAAGATTATCAAAGTTGGAGCTCTAACTAATGAATATTACAGAGGCGATTAAACAGAGTGGGCTTTTATGACGTTTAATAATATGGTACAAAAAAAAAGTATTATATTGTTTCTGTCGGTTTTTTATGTGTGTTATGCCTAAGGTTATCCTATACTTTGTAATTATGCATTCAAGCATAACCGCTAATATTTTTGACGATCTAGTAGTAGCTATGATATCATCACGATTGATTTCGCGCTCGAAATTTAGCAATTTTGCCTGTTACGTAATTGGGCATACAAGAAGGACAGAATCAATCCTATCAAAAATACTTGATGCAGATACACTAACTTAAAAGGCAAAAGCAAACAATTTCTGTTAGTTTACATACAGATTGCTATTGCCACTAACCATTGAAATCTACAGGTCGAGTTAGAGACATTAGACTGTGCCTCGAACCGGATCAGCAAACTTTCCGGAATAATACATCTCAGTAAACTTACTGAGTTCTGGGTACGTTTATAACACGTTATTTCCCTTGATAGGTTACTTGATAACGTATAAATCTGTGATCTTCTATGTCAGTACCCTTGACATCTCATTTTGCTACAGAACCTCTATATTTTATATATTGTTAAGGTAGCTTAAATTGGTTTGTTATATAAACTACGATAGTAGACGTTACTCCGTTCTACTCAATTATAGAACAATCAAGCGGCAAGACAAAGCTTTACGATTACTACCATTATCGTAACCATAATATGACAATTTCAGGAAATGACAATAGTAGAGTTTAACTATTTAACTAGCAAATCCTATCAAGTATTTCCTAATCCACTACATGCCTTTATGAAATTGTTTTTTTGTTAACCATTCTCATTTGTTTTTATTTTTGATTATGCAGTTCAATAATAATCTCATCGAAGATTGGCATGAGGTTGACGTGTTAAAAGAGTTTCCCCAGTTGGACACCGTCTACTTGGAGGGCAATCCGATTTCGATGGATCCAAACTACCGTCGAAAGATCATGCTTATTTCACCAAGTGTCAACCAGATCGATGCGACACTGTGTAGACAGAAGGCATTATAAGCACTTGTCCTTATACATATACCACCTTTTAGAACCAATCCATTGTTCGTTTAGTGAGAGGTGTACCGCCGTCGTATTTGATCTTCTTGTATCTTTTTGCATTACGGGATAAGTTGCTTCCCGCCACCTTTCCTGTAAGTACCTTTACCTCCGTGTGTGTTGTGGGCATGTTTGCGCGTATAATACTCTGTAAGGCTGAAAAAATGATAAATGTGAACCTTATTTGTATTTGGGACTCCTCCGTACCATTCACTGCGCACTATAACGTTGAAGAGTAGGAGGAACGGAGCAATGACTACAATACCAACGTAGTATTATTATGTGAGATAACGATAATAGAGTTATTGCGTATGTGGCGGTAAACTCGTTGAAGTAGGTACTAGCTAAGCACCGGACCCCGATTTGAAAAATGTAGTTGATTAGACGAGAGAAAATGAAGTGACTTATAACGCAAAGAGGAAAAACAATCGAAACAATCTATTCACTGCTTGCCAGTAGTTGAGATGCTGCCGTGCAAGAAGAGGCTAGATGAGGATTAACAGGCCAGAAACACGGCGAAGAGTATTACGTGAAACAAAAGGTGATGATTGTTGTATGATGCGGTTCTAGCCAAATGGCGCCAATGTTTGTTATCTGTTTGTTGTGTTCGGCTATATAATTTATAATTGAAATTTATTTTCTGCCAAGTCGTTAATGCGAATTTCCGTCAACGAATCGTGACCGCTTTGTTTTGTTTTAAAACTTATAAAACATTAACGTAATCGTACTTTGATATTAGGTATAAAATGTTATATACTACTTAATTCATGGATTAAATTCATTGATTTTAAGTAGCCCCATTGAAATTTTTGTTAACAGTTAGCAGCTGCGTCGGCCGCAGCCACGTGAAGCCGTTCGAGTACCTCTTTGTTAAATTGTTTGTGCTTGTTTCGTTATCTTGTTATTGCTATATTTTTCCTTTACGTTTTGTGATTGCTTTGAGTGAACACAGCGTTATATGAATAGAAAAAAAAAAATGGATCTTTCATATTGAAGCCGTCTAAAAATTAGTGTTTTTAATCACTTATTGTTACCTTAGATATTAATTTCATTGTACCCTTCGTAAGGTAACAGTAGTTAACAATTACAGTGGTAAGCGCTGGACGATAGGTTGGACGTGGTTCGGACGTCGAGGCCACACAAATAAGGAATTTACATTTTTCCGACATCCATACAATTAAACCTCGTGCAACTATAAAATAAATGAGCGGGATCATACCTATTGTTAGAGCTGGTAACGTAATAATATGGCTACGATTGTTTTTCTAAATAAAGCGTAAAGTGCTGAAGTGAATATTGTCGTTGATCGTTTTCTTACGGACTACACTGCTATTACTCTTTAAGCCTTATAACGTAGTACGGAGTCAACATAATACGCAGAATCGATGCGGAGCTACACATCCTGTTGGAAATTCGTTTCATGAAACAGTGTAGTTTCAAACATCCAATAGCTTGCGAAGAATCTATCTAAAGTTGCTAAATATTGGGTTAGATAATAAGTTACCTCATTTTTTTTTTACTGAAAAAGGAAATACCGTATCGTGTAACAATATGTTGTTATGCAGTGCACTCTCCGTCATTGTCTACCTCTATCTCCTTGCTTCTCACCGAATCATGTATACCGTCTCGTCAGAAGGTAACGGGTTTCGAAAAAAAAGTTCTAATTACATTTTTAATCGTTGATCCGTATCAAAGGCAAGGCCACGAAGATGCTTGTCTGATAAAAGGATAAAATAAAAACTCGGTGGCGCAAGGTGCGGAGAGAGACTATGTAAGGTACAGTAAGACCTATTATTTGAATTCTAATAGGGCAGCACTTTGACGATGTTTGCCGTACGTAGCCTTGCGTTTTCATAAAGCAGAATGGTCTGACTTCTTCTGTGAAGTCTTTGCTCTTAAACAGCCTTGACTCGATACAGGTGAGACAAATAAACGCGCCGATCAGGCTTTATTCCTATCCCTTGAAGTACTAAATATAAGAAATGAAAAACATGCTTCTTAGGGAATAATTTGCAGTGAATCAGGCGCATAGAGTCCCGCCAAATTTTTTGAGATAATTTAGTTGGACCCTTGGCCTTGGCTTCCCACCCGATGGCCATCCATTCCAAACTGCAGTTGATGCTGACATACAGGCACCGCTTTGCACCACCGATGATAATTCTGTGCAAAGGTCGGTCCTTGTGGTTGCGTGATGCTCAGTATGAGGCCAAATGCTGAGAGGCAACGTTCTAACGACTTTTTTGGAATCCATTTTTCTCCAAACTGTCTTCGGGTGGTTCTGATCGAACTCAAAATCCTCTAAGTTCCAGATACTGTTTTTAAACGTCGTAAACCACTCTCGTGCAGACATTCACCGATAGCGCCGTTTATGTACACAAAATGAATATCCCGGCTGTTCCCGCAACATCTTGATCTCGATGAAATACATAGTGGTAATGTGATACCAGCAATATAATAGAGTCCGCCGCTGTTTCGAGCTGTGTGTTATAAAACATTATACGTAAGGTACTATCGTATCGATGATTCGAGTACTTCAACGCTACATCGTTTACAGCAGGACTTTTGCCTTTCTCCCCTGAACATAAACAAACTAAATAAGCAAAATAACAACACTGTACTGGGTTTAAACTTTACATGTTGTATTTATCTTTGTCGTAACATAACATTGTTAATGTGACAGCTATAATTACATCTGTGCACTCTTTTGATGTTCCAGGCCATTAACTTCATTAAGTGATTATGAGCCGACACGCATTTTTTGTGTGGAAGGTTTTACAACTTATAAATAGGTTCCATTTGATATGCATTCGTTAAAGGCATAAAAAGGTAAGCTACCAGCTAATATAACCTCAGTGTATAAGTGCTGAATTTTTCACGTCGAATAATTTCGAAATTATTTTCGACCTTCTCTTTATAACAACTGGTTTTTTGTTATTATTCTGGAAATAAGCATATGCGGTTGGAAACTCATCAGAATCTTCGGCGTATTTTCATAATTTTTGGAGCTGTGTTTGATGTAAGACAACTCCGTCGCAACATCTAAACAGATACGTCTATGATCTTAGATTTTGATTCGGATATCTAAGCAAACAGTTCGCTCTATGTTTTGAGTTTTACGTCTGGTACCGTCATTGGTATTCCCTCAGACGGCTGGTTCTCAGCAACGAGCAAAACAACTAGTTTTGCTAAAGTTAAATCAACTTTAGCAAAACTAGGTAGTGAGCTGTTCTGCAAGCGGCGTGCGATCGCTTAGTTCAATGTATAAATGATAATATGGTTGCAAAAATATTCTGACTACCGTTTTCCCCTTCACCAGCTGCTGTTGTCTGTCATCGTTACTTATTAATTATTGACTAACTTCGTAACTTTTTTTGCTTCGATGATTCGAGACTTAGTATGCGCATGAGTGACTTTTCAGTCCCGCTGCTTCCCTATAGGAGTCCACAGCAATCCTACTCATTCCTACAATATAGTTCAGCAATAGCATGAGCACGGGGGTATTGCTCGACACCGTACCCGCAACAACCATAATAGCGACATTTAGGTTACCTCCTTCCTACAATTTTCCCTGCTCACTCATTTTTGTGCTTTTTCTTCTATTAACAAATTTGGCTCTCCGTTCCGTCCTTTAAACCTTTATCTTCTATGAGATTTGCTGTTTCTTTTGCCTGTTTTACTTTACATATAACATTTCACTTCGGCGAATGACATCGCAATCGTTGCTAGAGCGACTAGGACTTCTTTAGACTAGGAGCTCGTCATTTATTTCTACCATAAAAACGCTGTTTATAATTTTCAGCGTATTCGGATGGCCAGTAATAATCATTCAGCATCAGAAGTATTGCCAGTTGAGAGTGCACTTAAGTTATTTATTGAACTTTATTCAACGGTATTTTTTCGTCTTGGTAATAACAGTGATACGTGTTGCAAATAGGGACGATCAAGGCTGGCCCAATAGCGGGCCACCGTTGGCCAGGTCGAATTTGCGCTTGATTAAGGGTAACGACCGAATGCTATGAGCGCTTTGAGCGACGGGAAAAAAGACCTATCAGGGGTAAAATTGCAGGGGTACGCCATCGCGTATGAGGAGAAGGGGACTGAGTCAATATTGCAATTTCCCTCTGTTGACCATGGGGTGCAGCGAAGGTAGCATAAAATCACGAGTCGCGGCCGTAGAATGGAATGCAGGTTGATCTAGCTAAATGCTATCATAACAATACAAAAAATCAGGAGAAAATCGGAGGCAGTTGATAGGTGTCCAGTGTTACACTACAGTTGTAAGCCAATTGCGGAAATTTTTCCGCTATATATAAACTGCGTGATCGAGATATGAAAAATTTGGGTAGAAATAAATAAAATCACCGAACATCTACAAAATTCACTCTCATTTTCACACTTCAAAGGATCATACATTCAAAAAACGATTTGTCGCAAGTTATGTTATTACTCCATGCAAGGACGCCATGGCTTTGTAGCGATTTTGTTATTGAAATCGAAAGGGGAAGCTGTAGCCCTGCAATTAGGTAAAGTACGATTCTACAGCTTCATAAGTAAGCCTTCAGTTCAAAAAGTATGTTTTTCGACACTTACCTATAGGGTGTAAAAGAAGCGCTTAACAAATGAAGGAAAGAAATTTTAAGAAGTAACATTTTTTCTTTAAATAAGGCTATATAGTGTTGATATTATTTTTGTAGTTTCATGAATAAATTCGCAGCTGTTAAACGTACGCGCCAGCCAACATCCCATCCCAGAATTCGCCAGAATCTGTAATACGCTCAACGCATCAAACATGTGGTAAGATAGGTGCTTTATGAGAGATTACGGATCGTCTCAACGAATATACCTCAGCCAGGTTGTTATTTAAACCCTCGCTTTCGTATACATTTATGCAATGTCTACTCGTAAATTGAGCGGCTGAGATCTTTTCTTCAAATTTCTCACTATCACTGTGTACATTCTGCCCCGAAGAGGTCCAACAATGGCCGCCCTCATCACGCCGATTCCGTAGCTCACATGTGACCAAAAATAGTTTACGTGGGAATAATCGGACGTCCCATATTTCCGTGGCACACCCTGTCCAACACTGTGCACGTTTAAGTTGTTCCGGTTTGATATTTGACGATAACGAAGTAGTAAACATTGGCTACTATGGGAATAACGGGAGGACTCGGCCCATGAAGGGGGAACGAACGGCGGCGGCTGCGTCCAGGAGTCCGTAAAGAGAAGGAGAGGCAGTGTAATTGCAGAGCACACACGCCAGTCCCAAAGCAAAACGAAGAACAGAGAGGGAAAGATAAGGAAACGGAGAGACATGAAGAAGTGAGTCCAGCCTAGCTTCGTCTCAGCCCAGGCCAGACTTCGAAAGTGCGGGGGCGAACAGTAGAGAAAAGGAGAGAGGCCCAGATAGAGGATAGTCTTAGCAAGCTTACAATTTCGTTCCTTGTCAGACGTACGGAGGGATACGAGGAGTAAATGTAAAGCGGCAAGATCCACCACAGGCGGACGGACGAATGGCGAGAGGATTGCGGGGAGCTTTAGGGGAGGGCTGGAATGGGACTGGGGGAATAAGTTTATTATATTATCATCAGGAGCATAGAACAGCGATGGAACAGACAACGGACGGCGTGTTGGATGGTAGAACGGATAGCATGCGCCAAACAGAGGTAGCAACGGCCCAATGAAGACGAACACGTTGAGCTTAGGCTGGAGGTTGGAATCGGGTCGTTGTGTTCCCGGTCGAGGGAGAAACGGAGCGCTGGAAGGAAGTGCGTTACAGAGAAAGGAGAAACCGTTGGAGTTGTAGTCGTTTGCTAGGTCTGGAGCACCACAGGATCAACATGCGGGGAGACGGGTCACAGGATAAAGCCAAAAGCGGGAAGCTGCGGGGTGCGTTAACGAACCGCCGCGCCCCAGGCCACACGGGGCGGCTACGGCCCGGCACAAGCTCCAGTACACCTAACACGCCCAATCCCGCTAGAGATTCGAGGTAAGGGAAACGGACAGGCACCGATGGACATACGAGTAGTTCGGCATTTGCCGTCGAAGCCAGCATTTCAACGGGCGTGAAAAACCTGTGTAACGTGAACCACGTCAACGATAGCTGCAAGCTGTCTGCGAACGTTTAGTCCTCAACACCTCGTGTAGGACCTGCCAAGCTGCGCGAACGTGCATAGTTATGCGGGCTCCTCGAGTGATGCCGCTGTCAAAGCGATTGGTGGGTAAGACGAGAAAACTCCGTGTAGGGTTCTTTTCGGGTCCCCACGAGAGTTGCAAACTAAGGGCCGTCCATGCGGTAGCTTATGGTAGCAGTCCTGCGGAAAATGTGTCAATGAATCAAGCACGAGGTTAGTTCCTAGGTCGGGGAACCGGCAAAAATATGCGGTCTGGACATTGTCCACACGCTTGCACTGAACATGTTGCATAATGAATTAGACCAGAGACGCACAGTAGGGGACAACTGTTCGTTCGTATGCCGTTAGCTGAATAATCGTGAGTTACTTCGTGCTCCGTCCGTTAGTTAGTTAAACGAAGAAATAATAATGTTAGTGGAGTATGAGTTGGGAAGCATGCCTTAGAGGTTAAATCAGGCACGAGTAGGATTCAGAAAGGGGGACTGAGTTAGGCAAACGTTATTCAAATTGGTTCCAGCAGTGGCAACCACCGAAAACTTAGTTTGGTCGGCAGAAGCTCTTTGGACGCTGATTTAATTGGCCGTATGTCTACCTCTATGACAATATGGTAATTCTATATGGCAAGTCGAGTGGCACTTTTGGAATAAAATGAGAAAATCAGGTAGATGGCAGAATAATCTAGGAAAGGGTTAATTTTTTTAGAAAAAAGAAAATGCGGCGTCAAACAGCGACTTCCCCACGTTACTTTTCGGACTAACCGACGGAAGTGTGGCCCTAGGATTTGATAAAAGCTTATGAGTAGAGAAAAGTATGATTTGTGCAGCATATAACTGTACATTATTTTCAAAGATGATGAAGAGCTATGTACATTTCTTTACAAAACATGGTAATATATCTGGTATAAAAGTTTAATTTTCCTAACCATAGTCCTTTGTATGTGCCTGTCTTGGTGCTATTAAGGTGAGCTTCCCTTGACCCGTGAGCTGTTCGCCAAAATTCAGATGAAGCGCGGTAAGCTCCGCCATAGTATTTGTCGAATCCCAGCCCCTTCGCTTCTCACGTACCTCTCGGAATGAAAGCATTGGACCCCGACTGCAATTTTTGTTTCCTCACGGCTTGCATAGTGCTGCGACACGCGGGCCAAATTGTATTATCAAAGGGAATAGAAGACGCGATACACGTTCGTAAATGTTGTGGCCCGAAGCCCGCAATTGGAATTTTGAGATCGTAGGAGCGCAAAGAAATGACGTGGCTTTGTCAATACGATACAGCGAGACAAAATAAAAGAAGAAGAGTAACAGGGAAATGGGTGCGCAGAACAACTTCCGTTGGGCACGAGCGTTCAGCATTGCGGTATCAAGCCTAACAAATCAACTTTGCCTTCTGTATTGCATAGAGTTAAACCGTCAGGCGATCAACTAATATATTTTTCGGCAGACAAAGATGCAGTATATATGAATAAGAGGCAGTGAAATCCTCGGAAAAGCAACACGTCGGCTGCTGGGACTTACGGATTTTGAAGCACAAAGAAGGTCTTTGGTGATTTAGGCAGTGCGCTGTGTAGGCGCGACTAGGTAAAAAGAAATGCATGTTTGATGTTCGGACAAGTATGACTATAACAAAAGAAGTTTAAGTTAACAAAGATATTTAATTGCGGCAAGTTGAGATGTGACATGTTCACTTTCGCACAAAACGTACCTAATTGTTTTAATCGGACTATCCGAGATTCTGACACTGAAAATGCTTTTATGAACGAAGTCTGAGAACATTCAGATCAGTTTATCATAGAGCCGTAGATTGGTGTTCATGTTAGCTTTCATTTCAACGAACTGCGGTCTAGATTATTACATAGCCAAGAACTTTACATTCTGCTGCTGGAAATGAAAAATACAAACGACTATATATGACTCATATACCGAGCGATGCGTAAACAATTACCTTTCGCAAGCAGTACTACTTGGCAAGCTCATCACTACCACATGGATGCTACTAAAGTAACAATATATTAGCTAACAACGAACAGTTGCAAGACCAGATTGTCATTCATTACAGATCACTGCGAGGCTAAAGCGCTCCCTGTGCTAGATTTTGTTGTGCTACCATCTCGTCCTATTGTCGCCTAATCCCTACAGGGCCACTGGGACGAGGTTCCCTAGCCATTTTCACTTAGCAGCAAGCGCCAGTCGACCCGCCCATGTGGTTCTATCTTCTCTTACTGTATGCTGCCAGCTTTTCGCACCCACTTCCAGCTTTGCTGCTTTAGCTGATAAATGATCTGGTACGAAAGTACGTGCGCCGAAAGCTCGTTTCTTTCTCTACGGGACAAATGACCGTGGAAGACAGCAGAACCAATCGGTGAGACGGTTTAAAAAGCGGATATCTATTCTGTAGTAGTCCGTTTTTTGTAGCTGCACATTCAGTCGGTGCACACAGGTAAACGTTATTATTCGATTTCTTCGATGTTACCCTACTCTTCTGACCAGTCCTTTTGTGGATGTCAGCCATGCAGTCTCTCGGCGATTACTACCAATCTCGTGCGTATCTCGCTCTGCTCGTGAGGCTCTACGTTTAAAAATAGTATACTAGTTACATGGCATGATATACTTGCTTCACGCGGACGGAGTGCGGAGCACGAGCTTCCGATTGGCAGACGAAAACCCAGCTCCTTTGCTTGGCTTGTGGTAACAAACGGTTTGGTATTAATGAACATTTACACCTTGAAGCATAAATTTCTTATTTTCTCTATTACAATCTTCGTATCGGATCGGATTTAGCGTTTTCTTTTACCTCTTTACAACGCTATCTTGGAGATATGCGATTCTACAACGAAACATTGGAGCTGTTAATTATTTAATGTAGCCTTATTGGCAAGCAACATAAACGAGCAGGACGTGCCATTCAGAGCAGGGCATGTCATACTTTATACAAGGAAAAGGCTAAAACGTCAAAATGGATAGCCTGGAGTTTCCTCTGGGATTCGCAGGAGCTTGACGTAACCGCTACATTGCCTGTGCTTCTTCGAAGATGACCGAGCGCGTTGGAAATTGATGGATATCATGTGTGACACATACACTTAGAGAAATAGGGATATATACGTAAAGATCAGGAATGTGTGCATGTGTTATTCAGGTGTCAGACAGATACATTAAGATGGGAATGTATTGTGAAAGATCAGGATTCTGCATGTGCTCAATAAAGATTGGGCAGTGCGGTGGGCACATTATCGTGCATGTATAAACAAGCGTGTAAATTCATAAAGCTCCTCTGATTATCAGATTCCAGATAGGTCGCGCTAAAAGCTTCATCAAAGCCTGGTTAAGCAAGACGCGGTAAAAGCTTTATATCAGCAAAGCCTGAGAGTACGACAAACAACGATAACAACAGGCAACCTACCTAATAACGAAGCATCTATAATTCTATCTATAATAATAACGACTACCTACGCATATAATTGATTCGATCAGTCAGATAACTGATATATATTAGTTAACTAATTACATATGTATTTGTTTTGTTTTTTTCTAAAAAAAAACGTTTAGCGTTTAGTTTATGTTAACTAAACGCTAAACGTCTGTTTTTTTCTACACATTCTCAAACAGAAAAATTGTCAAAATACGAAAACATTTTTTAATAAGCTCAAGAATTTCGCTCCCGCCCTCCGAAGTACGAGACATGGCTGTTTTTGAAATTCCCAATGAGAGAACTTTAGTGGCCTCCATAAGTCTTCAAATGTGTTTCTGGTTTTACCAAAGCAAAAGCAAACGTAAGGACAGTATTTTAGGTTAGAAAAGCGGTCTTAATCGTATAGTTCTGCAGAGCCTTTGGACCATGTAAGAACGCCATACGGAGCCGTCTTATCACGTCGATGTCAGCCGTTGCGCGCGCCTCAGTCGCCCCCTTTGCTTATCTACGTAAATTTGGCCCGATGAAATGACGGCCGCCCCCTTTCCTTATCTACGTAAATTTGGCTCGACGAAACGACGGTCATGAACGTTCTTTTTCCTTGTAGCATTAATCGTAATATAACACTTTCTTCTTAAAAAAATATTCAAGGTGCCCAATTCTTGACCGGACGGACTCCCAGTTGGGCTTCTAAACATTTTTTTCGCGAATGACTCAGCCGGTTGTGTTAGGCGGTAGGATGCACCTATTCCTCGATGCTGTCAAGAGCTTTTGCTTTTAGCGGAGTCGAACTGCTGGAGCCCGGACCAGCAACGCACGTGGAGCTTACTTCGTCCGGATGATCATCGCAACTCATTGAGGAACATTCTGAGAAAAACGGCGCAATAGAAAGAACTCATAAGCTTCATTCTAAATGCATGGACAGAATAACCTATGCAGTTAGAACTTGATCTCGTCTATGGCGTTGCACTAGAAAGGACGTTACATAGAAACCTGATAATACGAAAAGAAACTAAATCTATGTACCATCGGTGCAGTATCCACTTGTAGGTGATTGCGTCGCACTGGACGGACAACTCTTCACCATGCTACTAGACAACGGAGAGGACTCTCGCTCTTCACACTTATCTAGGAGCCGCGTCGCCTGGTTCGTCAACGTTTTGTTTGTACCCTGCTCCTCAGCAATGATAATTTCAGGTGTATCCATCTTATCGTTATCGGCGTCAGTGTCTTTGTTCACGGCGTCCACATTGTCGTTAGCAGCAATGAAGGGATCGGTTTGTTTTGTTACAGCAGAACCAACCCGTCGTTTTTCATCATCGATACCATTAACGACTTTTAGTTTATTACCACTTGCTGCAGTAGAGCCCACAACGACAGCTTCATCTTTAACAGTGTCCTTAACGGTGACCTTGGTTTTTTTAACGTGCTTCGAGTTCTTCCCAACAGTCGAGTAACGAAGGGTAAACGCGTGAGCAATGGGATCATACATGCCACGCTCCTGCAGCTGGCAAGCGATGCAAGGCTCCCATGCGACGCGCTGCCGTGCTACTTGGACAGATCGCAGCTCGAACGCCGATGCGGACTCACGATGGGCTCGAGGTCCTACTACGGGCAAACCACAGTCGACGATAGCGGGATCACTGCAATACATTACATTTCTCGGATATTAGCGAAATACACCCAGGCAGGTACGTCAGATAGAAACCTACAATTCACCTAATTCTATCTCGCTTTAGATTATTATAGAAGTGTTTTACAGAAAACATTTTTTTATATTATAATTATAGTTTTTTTTACCGGGCCATGGTCTCTCTAAATGACTTCCCCGCGGTGCGTCGTGCGCACAGTTTCTCGCTTTCTTCATGCGCCATCTCTGGGTCTGCAAATGAATTTTAAACAACGTTGGTTGCATGTCTGTTTTAGAATGTGCCTGCTAGAAGAATGATTTAACTAACGTTCCATACGATTGTGTATAAAATAGAATTATTTATATACCATAACAATATCGTCGATCGTATGCACTATGCTGCTGTGGGTGCGATTCAGTACTTTGCTTTCGATCCTCATCGGCTTGAAGGGCGAGTCGAAGGACGCGCGTCAGCTCCTTCACCTCTTGAGGATCGTGTAACTTAAGATGCATTTGGGGGTGCGGTTTAACCGGCAACAAAACTGGAAGCTCTGGCCCACCACAGCCGCTGCTTCTGAACGCCATACGGGTAAGAACGAACAAAGCGGTCTCAGCTTCACGATGACTGGAAAATTCGACGAATGCAAGGGCCTTCCACTCGACCTCGAGTAAGGCGGGATTTCTTGAAAGGAACTTTCGTACATTGGTCAGCACAATCTCAGGAGCGTCGGGCAGGGCGCACGGGACGCATAGCATGCGTGGCAATACGTAAATTGCGTAAACCTGCGGGTCATTGAGACAAATTTGCTGTTTCACCGTTCACAGGATCCAACGTCGAGCTTGTCACTTAATATCTAGATACCAAGTGTTTGTTTTTGTTTTTAAGGTTTAGTGTTTTTCTCATTTAGGATTGCGATTTTGAAAAACAGACGTACAACGATCGACCGGTTAAGAATACGAGGAACCAACTGACCTGTCCAAACATTTTGAATACATCAAAGATCTGAGACTGCGACTTCGGCATTTCTTGGTGCAGCTGTACGACAGCCCGTGATGCAAAGGTCTCATCATAATGTGGGAAGGGGATTAGTCGACGGACCTGTAGAGAGAATGCAGATTCATAAAGTTTTCTATTTTCCTCTATAATATATGTGAGATGATAGTATTATATCAGCCTGCGGATCATACCTTGGTTTCGTCGTCACTGAGTTCTAGCACTTTTGATGCTTTAACTGCTTGCCTAAGTATTGTCACCGCGGTATGGGATCTTGTTACCGTTCGAAGGCGTCCGTAAGTTGCCATAAAGTTAAGAGAGATCCATCCTGACCAGCGACGAATCTGCTTGACCAGTAACTCGTCACGAAGAGCAGTCTAGAGAAAAATTTTAGTCACAAAGACGTCTTCGTCAAAGTTCTATGCTATGACGATGCATCTGCTATTCGAAACATCCGAAAGAAAGAAGAAGAAACCCCGAAGAGATCTGTCTTTTCGGCCAAAACGTTAAGTATTTACTGCATTATTGAGGTTAATCAGAAACACTTACCTTATCATCTAAGTAGAACTCGAGCAGAGATTTTGCCTCCTCAATCAGATTGCGTTCAGTTCCGCCCTCGTTTGACGCTGTCTGAAAATCGAAAACGTCCTAAAATAATCGAAAACGTCCTAAAATAACAAATTTGCAGAGAAATAGCAAAAGGAACTCTTTATTCCTTGCTTTCATGCGAAAAAACTTGCGCCTAAGAAAAAAAATGCTGTCAATTTTAGAAATAGTGCCAACCTGTTTCTGAGGCGTCGTAGGCCTTGTATCTTCCATAGAAATATCGGAGGTATCGGATATAAATCGCTCGTCGGTATCACCAAAACCCTCAATTTTTGTTCTGGCAATGCATCCGCCGATAGAAAACTTCAATGGTCCTTCCTTAACCAATACTTCCCTAGTAGATTTCTCTGTAAACAGGGCGTGTTTTCCAGCTTCTGATGCACCATCTAATAACCTCGCAGGCCTCTCACTGACGTCAGTTGAAGGTCTGTCAGCCACTATGGGGTCTCCCACGACGCAGACAGCCGGATCGATTTCGGCGAGTGGTATCATCTCGCGCATTCCGGATGCTCCCAGCACTTCGACCAATGATGACGCGCTACCCTTCAAAGATGACTTCGCGTAGTTTTTACTGCTGATTCCGAAAAAGATTAAATATTAGTTTCATATTTCAATTGAGAATGAATCATTTGAAACAGAAGTATGGCTGTATCGTACCATTTTCGCTATACATCACGACCAGTCAGCTGGCTACGATTTTATTTCGCAATATCACAGCCTGTCCAGCCCCTAAATTGTGCCACAAACGACTACGTATTCTACAGAAATTGGGTTAGTATGCACTAAGAAGACCACTGCCATACTTACTCTTCTAACGAAGACCAAGGTGTTTTCTTGAGAATGCCTTTCAGTGGTCTATGTTCACGAGCCTCTTGTTTTTCTTTTAAGGCTTCCTGAGGCGCCCTAAAAGAAACAAATCACAACCACGTAGGCTCCGCTGAATAACAGTCATTCCATAGGATGATACTGACATATGCAACATAACGTACACACTTCCACATGCATTGCATTTACCCAATTACCTCAAACAGAGGATACATGCGTACGTGTAGTGTTCATTGACCACACAAACTTTGATTTACATAAACGAAAAATTTACGCTATTCACCGTAACACTACAGCTTCCTTTCGTTGCCTTTTCTTAGCCTTGGATCACTACATCATGGCAGGGTAAAATCCAGAAGTGAATTAGGGTTGGATGGAACAGATAAGGAAAGCTTCCCATAATAGTACAGATGGAAGCAAAAAAATTATGTCAACAGCAGTCAATGGCCAACAGAAATTGCTGCATGGCGGAAAATAATCACTCGAACCCTAGGTAATAAAAATTTTTAAAGGTAAACATGGCGATTGTATCTATTAACAGTTTCATGGGTTTTTAAATTCCGCGCAATGAACTCTGGCTGATACTACGAGGGCCGTTCGCATTTCTCACAGAGGGATAACGTCCTTTTACGTGCAGTATCCGGAGAGTTCATAAACTTATCGACAAAAACTTACGCTTTAGGACATACGTAGGATTTCCAACACAAGATCGCCTGTCACAACGGAACAGACTGATGGACCATTCCATACGAAAAGTTCTCTGCCTTCGTTTTCTACAACCAATACCGATCGCACTGTTATGTAGCATGAATAGTTGCCCTAAATGGAATTTCGACCCTGAAACTCGCAAAGATCTTGGCGTTCCCCCCAGCCTGGACACTTCATGCAGCTTGCAATATTTCGTTGGCACCTCACAACCACAGCTGATAACATTAGTATGAGGGTACCGCTGAAGTTGATCGTGTTAATCCTTAAGCGAACAAGAAGTTCGGTAACATGAGGCCTGTATTGTGATATTTATTGAGGAGAATTGCTGAATTCGAACACCAACCTTCGGTCGATTGTTTTTTGGGCAAGTTCGTATAATGAAAAAATATAATCACAACAAAAACCCTTCCCTTTTGAATAAAAATGAACTCACCGTGGAATAACGTGCTCATTGCAAAAAGACATCTTGATACTTTTTGTGATTTGACTCTTTGAAGCTGACGATGTTTGCCCTAGCTGCACACAAAGACAGATTTTGAATAAAGGCGCGACTGGATAATTACATACATTTATAGATGTCCCGGAATTTTTTCTCTTGATATGTATGTTCGTATTCATGAGCCGAATTAATGAGACTCAGATTGGAATTGGTGTAAAGGTTCTTCTCTGGCCGTATGATTCGCTGTGATTTTTCGAGTAGAACTTTGCTAACCAGTCAACAAGTACCTTTTTTTTTTTCTATTACAGGGCTGAAGCCTCCAGCGTTGATTGTCCCATTAAAGGCCTGTTGATCGTGGCGCGGGCAATCCTTACCTTCTTTTGAGTATCTTCGAATCCTTTCAGTTATGCCTAGCGGATAGGCACTGTCAGCAATTAGTTTTTATTTCACTGTAGAATGAAATAACAGCTACTTTCTTAGGGCAGATGATGTAAAAATCGCACTTCAAAAAAATGTCTGCTTTGCAAGAACGAATAGGCTTCGCAAAAAACTTATCTTGCTTCCCATTTTTTTTCAAAACATTGAGTCGTTTTCGATAAGCTAGGGTACATCCCCATCGGAGGAGCACACCTGGTAATCTTGGTTCCAGGTATTTTGGTACGAGCATTCTGGTACAGAATACTCTGATCAAGGGACCGCACCATAGACTGCACAAATGACAAGCAAAGCCAAAAGGTAGCGCAAGATGGAACTTATCGTTAAAGTGATGTTTACACCTTCATGTATATATTATATACATTTTCTTCCTGCAATATGGGCCATATCAATCCATTGCAAAAAATTAGCTTTATTAAAGAAGTTTGATGGAAATCATACACCCCACAAACTCACTTCTGCTTCAATGGGATGCTTCTATATTCAATATAAAACACTTTAGTCGACCAGAAACCGAAAAGAGATATTTGCTTTGAGTTCATTCAAAAGATCCATTCAAAAGTTTCAAAGCCGAAATGCTTTTAACTATCAGATTATTATTATTATCATTAGATCAGCGTGGACAACGACGGTTCACACGGCATCTTAATAATTTTACAATACATTTCAAACCCATGGAACCAAAAAAGGTACCATTATCGCAAGCTTAATATCGTACAGCCAACGTTCGGTTAATATGATCAGACCTCCAGTCGTCCGTTCAGATGCACTGAAGACATGCTTTCACAAAATATACTTACTATTGTTGCTTCAAATAATATATTTAGCTCTAGTTTTGGCTCTACGCGATCAAAACGGGGTTTGGCTTTTGCTTCCAATGCCGACTGCATTGAGTGATTTTGTATATACATCAATAGGGGGGTTTTTCTCATTGAAACACGGTCAAATTGTCTCTATATGAGACCTTCAATGTGCGTCCACCTCCTTCACCCCTCATCCGCATCAAATGATGGTGAAATGTAGCGTGATAAACGCATTAAGCCGCGTTGTTTCGGCACTCACAAGCTCGTCTTAGCAACTTAAAAGGCGCTCTTAATGGTCCCACTCTCAAGCTATTTCGTATGAGTAATGGGAGCTACTGATTAATGTGCCAGTCTCAAGACGAAAGAAAACTATTGTCCAAAAATACTGTTAAATGTTTGTTTAATATTTAGAGCCAGTAAAGGTTGAATCTGATCATGATAAGCCCACGTTTAAGGTGTAAATCGTCATTGCAATAGTGGTAAGCGGTGTTGTATAAGTTAATCGAGTCAGCTATAGTTTGTGTGGCCTAAACTTCTTATCAGGGATGGCCGTTTTCAGCCTATGTTATAAGGAATGCGAAAGACTCTCGGAAAACGACTCTAATAACTCTAGTAGCTCTTTTTGTTTGATCGATTTATGTTCCTAACATAGTGAGACTTCAAATGAGCCAGTACTTATGAAACTTAGGTGTTTTACGTCCCTTACTTAAGCCATTCAATATCTACCTTAAACAGACAGCTAGTTTCCAGTACGAAGTAAGGTGTTTTCGGGTGTGAACGGTTGGGTGCGGGCCTAGATAGCCACGTGTCCGTAAGTTCAGCAGACAAACATTTGACCGCAGTTATTATACTTAGTAATTTAGTGAAATTCACAAATGAAGACAACGCTCGAATGCGGTGACGATTCAACCTTGGATGCATCAATGTCGTATCTCTTTGTTCTGAACAAAACTATAGTCACATCAAATACCGAGCTTTGCGGTTTATCGTCGTTGTACGAAGCAATACGTATTGACGTCTTTGTTGGCAATCGTGGACCATTTCAGGTCTACAGTCAGACAACGCTCACCTGTAGAAACGACCGCTAGCGACACTACAAGAAAGCCCTGTCGAAGATACGGACCGATATTCAAAACGTAAATCAAAAAGCAACGCAACTCCGTGACGAAACCATACAGACAAGCCGATTAGCAACTGCCTTGGAGGTCAAGTTAACAGATAACCTGGGAATAATTCAGTAGAACCACAGAAATCTTCCTGAAATCTAGCCGCAACAGCGATTAGTATTGCTATGTTAGTCTGACACCTCCAGAACAGAAAGGCTGGATCTTCATCGAAATCAAGGTTGTAGCATTACCAGGCTTAGGGCGCCATACTCGTTACAAAATGCCGACGTACGGTATGAGCGACATAAAATGACGCAGTTATTATCAAAAACGTAGCAAAAACCGTCGCTGAGGTTGTGTACCACCTCGCGATTCGGTGAACACTTCTGAAATTTTTCGAAGCACCAGTTACTATTCTAAGAGATATATTGCATGAATACTTCAAATACATTGCCACCGTAACTATGAGCATGCGGTTTATTGAAGTTTCAGCGTTGGCAAATATTCACTGTGGGATATGGTTACCATGCCATGCCGTTTCATAGAATTGTTGGAAAAATCACAGGTATGGCAAGACCTATATTGGCTAAATTTTTGAGTAATAAGAGCAAGGCCTTGATGCTACACGGAAAGGACGATTTCGAGAGTTTGTGGCCGCCGAAAAAAAAATGTATGTGGACCTTAAAAAATTAATGCACTAAAAGGAAAATGAAACGCAAACGCCAATATTAGCCAGTAAACGATATTCGACATCATTCGGTCCGGGTCGACTTTCAAAACATGAATTTGTGCCATTTGAACTAGTTAGTTACTGGACGAGCAAAAACAAGGCGTATACACATACGTTTGTTTTTTTCACATATATATTTTTACCCCAACGATTCTGCGTTTTTATTTAACTGTTGCTAACCTACAATGGCTATTGTTTTTGCTTGTTCCGAAGGTTTGCTCTCGGGAATTTGGTGCGAAGGGTGTCTGGCGTTCGACAATAAATGGATGTAAATATTCTAGCTATGATGGAAACTACTATAGACCTTGTAATTATTTCTGAGCTTTTTTTGAACTAATTACCGCTTGACTAGGGGTATCCGTGACGGCTTCAAGCCCATGCGTGCATTATGGAAGTAAATATTTGTTTTCTCTTGTTTCAAACGTCTGCTCCGATAGTACTCTTTATAGCAGCACAAATCGTACTAACATAAAAACATATACATAAACATGCAAAATGCGTAAAGTATTGGCATTATTATTGAATTGTACGAATCATTGTAACAGCGTTGTAGACTCATAGTGGAACTACTCGTCATGATATTATACTTACAGCAAAGACGAAGCCATTCAGATACTTACCGGAGAGGTGATGTGAACGAAGACCAAGTAAATTACCCACTTATGTGCTTTACCATCGGGGGCTGCTGGTGCTCCTACGGATGGTCTGCTTTGTTGGCACTTCGTTGTGTTCTCTCTCCTTCTCTCTCTTGCTCATTGCTCCGCTGACCCCCGAGGTAGCTGCCCTTCCTGCCTTCAGGCTCTGCGCTCCACTGGTCTCAGACAGCCCATCAGGCCAATCACCCAATCAGGACTTGCACCCCATTTTCATCCCGCTCCCAAGACTTCCCCCAGTCGCTATCCCTAGTTGACGTTCCGGATATCTTTGGAGTTGTGTGATCCGACTGGTAGCCCCGTAGAACGCCACCTCCTGTTCTCGCCGACGCTAGCCAGGGTGTTAAAAGGTTCAAGCTAGATTTAGTCGGCGTCGCTAAGTGGATCTAACGATGCTTACCAACCTCGTATAGGGTGTTCGGTGTGCAGTGTATGCTCAAGGGACATTTTTGCTCTTCTAAACCGAAAGCTCTCTTCTTAGTTTAAAAATCCCGTTCTCAAATGTTAGCGACTGCACTTGTTTGTCCACCACTTCGTTTGGCCTTGAGAAGTAAAACACATATGAGATAGATACTAAAACGAATTAATTTAACTATTTGTGCGCGGAATATCTATAGAATGTACACTAGTATCTTGCATCTGTTGGACTGTCTGGCCGTTTCTAAGTCTGGCTTATTCAGCTCCTTTGTGTCACACTCTCTCAAACCGCGCGTGCGCCGCCAAAAGACACTTAGGCGAATCATTTAGTATTTTGCGTAGTGCTATCGGTACTGCTGCTAGCTGTGGGTCGTGAGGGCGTCCGCTGGATTTAGGATAACCGTACAGACGAGGCGACACACGGACGCCGGTAACGGGCGTGGGTTCAAAAAGGAGCCTTCTTTAATGTCGGTAGTGCCTCCTAACGAGCGCCACGCGCTGGCTTTTCTTCCAAAACGACTTGAACACTGCTAACAGCCCGTCTGGCCCTGTACAGCTCGACTTCTCTTACAAGGCTTGGTTGCCCCTGTACGACTTGTCTGCCTGAACTCCCTCGTCCACCAATTTTTCTCTTCCTTCTCCCTACTTCTCTTTTCCATTGTACCGAACGGGGGTTGGCAGGCTCCTCAAACCATTACGGTCCGAACGTGTCATCCTTTTGCCGCT